GAAAAGCTGAAATTGCTATACTAACATAAGACAAAATAAACTTTAAAATTTTTAAAAAGTTACTAAAGGGACATTAAGTGTCAATCCAAACAGAAAATATTTACAAGCACGAATGCACCTAATGACAGAAATGAAAGGAGAAACAAACAACTCAACAGTAATTGAAGTCATTAAGACCCCACTTTCATTTAAACATCTAACAGAGTCTGAAGCATATGACTAAATCAGAACCCTTAATTTCCCTCCACTTAAAATCTTCTCTTCATTCAGTCTATCTCTGTAAGCAGCAACCTTATCCATCTAACTGCTCAAGCCATAAAACTTTAAGTTGCTGTTTCTCATACACCACTTCCAAAAAAATCAATATATTCTATAGCTTGTCCTTTCAAATTGTATCCAAAATCCAGTCACTTTTTCCATTTCCACCCTGGTTGAAACACCACCATCGCTCATGAAGGATTACTGAATTAGCACCCCCTAACTGGATTCCATCTTTCATTCTCTGGTGCCCTGCTATCTCCATACAGCAGCCAAGTGAACCTTCTAAAATTAATTAAATTAGGTCATTCCTCAGCCCTGAACTCACTCTGTAAATCTGAAATGAAATCTAAATTCTACCACCTTTTTTTTCAGCTTTCCCCCTACTTATTCCTTTAATCACTGCACTCTCTTTGCACTGAATCCTTTGTTTATAATGCAATTCTTAAAAATAACAACATATGTGTGTATGTATAAAAAGTGAGAAAGAATAGGACCTACTAAAAATGTGAATAATAATTACCTATAGGTGAATTATAGACAAGTATAGTTTTTTATTGCAAAAAGTATTTCTAACTTTTGTTTTTATGAATGTTATGTAGTAAAATATATAAAGAGCTGTGTATAAAACCTCTTAGACCCAATGTGGTGATAGTATTTAACCATATACAAAATCTGGAAATACACCATGCACATCACAAAAAAATTAGAACATTTTTTAAATAAAAAAACGAAAAAAACTTTACGTGTAGAAGTAGTAGCATTTACCAATAGATGATCCAAGCACTTTCATGCATGATTTCAATTAATTCTCCTAATAACCTCTGTCATGAGAACTATTATCCTCATGTTACTGATGTGTAAAATGGGGCTCAGAAAGGTTAAATAAGTTGCCGGAAGTGGCAGAGTGGTGAAGCCTAGGAATACCTGCCTTAAATGGTCACGTTCCAAACACTATTGTAAATTCGGCTTCATCATAGGTATATACAATAGTGCAAAACTGAAATTACATAGACATCCAGTAAGTGACAAAAAAAAAAAAAGACAACATCACGTAAAAAAATTTGCCGACACTAGAATTATGTAGGATATATGGGTATGTTACATGAAAAAGACATCACATTCTACACGAGTACAAAAAATTTAATATTTCATATGGAAACAGGTCAAAATAAGCCAATACATTAATGTTGCTTCAGTTTGGGCAATAGAACTCGGGCAGTTTTGTTTTCTTTTGCTATTTGTATTTCCCAGATTTTCCTGAATGCATCAGAATTGCTTTTAAAACAACAGAATTGCTTTTAAAACAACAAAACCCCTAAATTTCATGGAACAAAAGTTTTTGTTTGTATTAAGAGAAAAATATCAGCCTCCAGTATCTTCCCAGCTACAGATTCCAAGTCTAGATCTAAACCAGGTAAACTATATTATCTAAAAAGTGATCTACATTCTTAGAATTGACATCTGGGAACTTCCATGTATGAGTTTTCTTCAAAGGATCATGATACTCTTTGTAGCCTACGTTAAAATGAGCCTATTTAGAGCTTATCGGGATTGAAGCCCATTTGGTTTAAATGGTCCAAACATAATAATCTCTATCCACAGGTATAACGTAATTCAAAAGCACTTCCAGACTATCTCTGGAGTGTGTATTTTGCAAGAAAGTAGTAATACTTAAAAGGAAGGAAAGATGGTTGGGGGAAAAAAGTAAAAAACGCAGGCTTGTTCTCAAAACCTTCTCAGGGCTGATAAACTTTCTAGGTAGCAGGGCGCCAAGCGCTGTGGGTTTTAAGCTCTCTGTTGGCAAAACAAAATCGACCTCCGCTTTTTTGAATTCGGCCTCCAATAGCGTCAACAAAGTGTCGTCAGGTACACGGCGATGCCAGGTCTCCAGGGCCGCAGGCCGCGGCTTAGTACAAGTAGGGCCAGCCGGGCGACTCCGGAAAACCGCCTTGTCGGTAAAAGCCGCATGAGCGGCGAGGCGGACAGGGGCCAAAGAGCGCAGGCTCGCGGCCGGAGGGAGGAGACACAGCAGCTGGGCGGCGCGGCCAGGCAAGGCGCGAAGATACCGACCAGGAGTCTGCAGCTCGCACCCTACATCCGCAGCTACAGGGCAGGATCAGCCTGGTATGGCGGGCGGCGGCCGCCCCGGGCACGCCCGCCCCTTGCGCCTGACGCACGCACGCACGCACGCACGCACCTCCCTGGACCCGCGGGCGGAGGGCCCAAAGTCGGAAAAGCGCATGCTCGCGGAGGCCCCGCCCCGTCAGGGACTTCCGGCGGGCGGGTTCGGTGGTTATGCGGTCCCTCCCTAGCCGGCTAGGGCTAAGAGCTGCCTGTGGTTTTAAGGTGCAGAGGTTCTCGAATTCTGGGAGGAAAAGCGGCAAGAGTGAAAATTGGCTTTAAGTTTCTCTTACTAAAGGTTTACTGAATTATTAAAGTAATAAGTGATGTTTGCTTTAATTTTAACTCTCCCTTCCCTAAACTCAATTTGTCCAAAACTGCAACACAGCTTTGGGGGAGTCCTTGACAAATCGCTCCTAGTGCGATCCGAACTGATAGTAACCGTGCAAGCGAATTGGTGAGAAAATCTTAATGGAAATTTGCCAGTATCATTTTCTGAAGCTTTTTCCCCTCTTCTTCTTTTTACTATGCTTTAAAAACCAAACCAAAACAAAACCGTGAAGGGTTTGTCCAAGTGTAAACTTGAGCCAGTCATAATGTGGCTTCCAACCTGAACAATTTAGCGTCTGTTCTATTACCCACAACTCCTAAAGTATGGCTAGCACAGGTAATGTATATTAAACTGCCAAATTACTACATTTTACGCTAGAAACTAATGTAACATTGCATGTCAACTATACTTAAATTAAGAAATTTTTTAGAATCGTAGAACAGAGGGGACCAGGGAGGTAATATGGTTGAGGAAACTGGAACTGGCTTGTGAACTCTCTTCTACTCAGCAACAAGGAAGAGACTACTGCCTCAGGTTCCAGAGAAAATAAGATGTGTCTGGATGGTAATCCAGAGCTCTTTCCGTTACCTTTATTTTTTTTCTTTTTTAAAGGGACCGCCTCCTTAAATTTTTTTCACCAATACTTCTAACTCCAAACATATTTGAATATCAAAGAGCTGTGTCGGTGGCTACTCCATAAATAGATACTAAAATGACACTTCTGTGGGAAGCAGCAGAGTAAGAAGGAAAGAACACAAACTTGCCACTTAGATTTCATTTCATACCCTGGCTTGGCACTTAGGAACTGAGTCATCATAAGCAAGTTACCTTACCTTCTAGTGCCAGTGTGCTAGGCTTCTTCTGCCTTAAAGTATATCCTACTTTATATCCAAGAAGAGATCTCTTACAGGTTTGCACTTCTTTCCAAAAAGAAATTTAATAGGTTTACACATACATACACTTATGTTCATTCATTTTAATTTAAAAGTTATTTTAAACTTGTTTTTGTTATTTTAATAACATTTGAGCCAATCTGGATACAATGACCCATGGCCTAGCCTTCAAGAGGAATGGGGCAGAGAATAAACCATAATATAAGGCTCTATTCATACTAGTTTTAAAAAGAATTCTGAAATCCCATATATAGATACATGGTTTAAGATACAAACCGTCCTTAACATATTTCTGAAACCTTTTCCTCTGAAAGCCTTCCAAGTTATCAACCTGAATGTCATTATTAAGAACGAGGAAAAAATCCTTCACAAAGAACACAGTAAAATTAAGGACCATATGAAAAAATACTACAGTGGAGTTTGGGAGGAAAGGGAATCCACAAAAATCAGTAATTATCCAAGAATTAATGTTCCATATTAATAGAGTCCACGAAGGTAAAACACTGAACATTTTAAACACGTTTAGGAGTCAACCAACGAAGGGCTCATTTTGTACGAATGTTTGTAAACCTTCCCCTCCGAAAACCAAGATATATTATCAAGCCAGATAGTAAGCGCTCAAATTTCTATGGTTAAACCAAACTCAGTAAAAATGAAAACGGTCATCACCGTTTCAGGTTTCAGGTATCAGAGCATAAAGATATTTTTGAGAGAAAATGTAAAAACCTACGTGGTATTAAAAGCTCTCCAAGAGCCAGTACATATTTTCTCATAAAACATCTCATTTAATCCCATTACTGTAGAATTCATTATTACAGAAAAACAAAATCACGTTAAGTGACTTGGACCAAAAATATTACCGAACCAGCAAACCTAACGACTCTTGAATCGTTATTCCTGAACTTCGCAAAAGCTGAAAGGAATTCAAACGTTTCAAATAAATCTAACAATTAGTAATTCCATATTAAAAGACATTTACGTTCTAAACACAGCCCTAACTTCCCACTATTCTCAAAATGTCTTTCTACGAACTTTCCCTTAATGCCACTTCAGATTGGGTTATCTAAAGTAAAAAGGTATTTATTGTATCTTCAACGCAGCCCCGCAGGCAAATCATATTGTTTGCCCTCGCTTGAGAATTAACTCAATTTGTGGGCCCCACCGTGAAACCAGTTCTGGGAAGCGCACACAAAATACCGATATTCCACCCACTCTGGCCCCTTCTCTAGCAAGTTTCCAGACCCAAACGCTCGGTGCTAACACTAACTACCATGCAAACCCCAGCCACTGGTCACTAAACCCCTAGCAGGTGCTGCCTATACTTCCACACGCCCAACCCCCGTTCCGGAAGTTGCGTCATGGCGCTCGTGCGCCCTGTCCCCGGATGCACTTTTATATCCGGATTCTTAGAGCGGACTCAGAGCTCCACGGTTCTCTACGCGGTTAGCACATGCGCGACGGCTCTGCTCCCTCTTCCTCCACTTCCACTAGCTTCCACGGTCCGGGAAGCCGCCGCCACCGCCGCCGAGGAGTCAGGAAGTTCAAGATGGCCGCCGCGGAGACTCTGTCGCTGCGGGAACAGCCCGAGTGAGTAGTCTCTTGTGAGCGGTGCGGAAGGCCGGAGCCCAGGACACTGCTGAGTGGGAAGCGGCGCAGACCTGCACGGGCTGGCGGGAAAGTTCAGGCCTAACGGCGAAAGCCAAACTTTGCCTTTCCCCGCGCGATACGTTGTTGGGCGGGAGACGTGGGGGGCGGGCGGGCGGCCTTCGAGCTTCGCTTTCCCGGAGGCCGCGGCTGTTGGGTCGGAGGCGGCCGCGGCCTGCCGCGCGTCGTTACCCTGGGAGGCGTACGCGCGAGCGGCCTCTACAGGTCCCGTGCGCGAGGGCGACTGTGCGGTCGCGCCTTCGTATTCCTCCCGCGGGGACTCCAGCGGAGCTCCCTGGCTGCAGCATTGAGTGGCATTGGTGTTGGCACCCGCGAAGCAGTGGCAGGAGAGAGGCAAGCCGTAAGACTTGTCCTCTGCATGCAGTAACCTGCCGTCGTCCTGCTGCTGGTGCCAGTTGTAGGACTTGAAAGCAGGGAAGAGGGGATGCTAGCACCACCTTGTTTGACTATCCCAGATCTATATAATAGCAGGGTCTCCTCAGCCCTGTGTTCTTAATCCAGCATCACTCGATATACACACATAATATATGTATATGTGTTTTTTCCTTCTGCCTAGTGGCAGCTTATTTGCCAACTTGCAAACTTGAGGCAAAGTAAGATCAAGTCCTTGGTTTTGAGGCCTGACGTTTTTGGCCTGACGTTTTAGGGCTTCTTTGGAAGAAATAGTAGCCCCTTCCAAACCCAAGCGCTTTATGTCTGTAATTAAGGTAATGTAAGAATCGATGCGGCCGGGTGAAAATGTAACTTGTATGTGCTGCAAAGTCTGATCGTTGCTTAAAAGCGGTTATTCTGTTCCCTGTTCATGTTAGGAAAACTCAAACAAGAACCTAAAAGAAAATGGATTTTTAAAACAGTACTTATATAGCGACCGTTTGGTGCATCAGCATTGTCTGATCTTTTTTTTCTTTCTTTTTTTTTTTTTTAAATCCATCCTAGAAAAGAGGTAGATACAGTCTCCCAGCAACTAGAGACTGAGAGGAGACATTTTTTTACTACCAGCCAGCCCAACACGTCATTGCTGTGCATCCAGTTCTGGACTCCTCAGTCATTTGCTTTACTTAGAATTATACTGAGTTTTTCATTAAGGGCTTTTGAAAGCTGCTTTATTATTTTCTCAATTTTGACTTAGAGCAAGCGGGTTCTAAGTTTTAACTAGACTTTCCCTCTGTTTCTCACTGAGTTCACAGTGGCACATTTGCAGTATTTATGCCCTTATATTACAAATGTTATATAGCTGTTTTTTCTAGCAGTCTCTTTAAAGTTCTTTAATATTCTACCCATTTATTTGATTTCAGGGACCATATTCAGATTCATTTTGACGAGGGCTTGAGCCATATTTTTTATGTATATTCGGATACTCATCTTAATAATTAACATTTATTTAGGGCCCTGCAATATGACTGCCACTGAAATAATCCTTAATTCTACATCCCCTCCACACAGAACTCTTGGTATAAATGGAGTGTGTGCTCTGAAAGTGTCCCACGTATTTTTAAATGTTTGACAAAATAAATTTGGTATGAAAGCAAGCACTGTGTATGCTGTTCATAGTGAATGCTGAGATATAATGTCTACATGGTTCTTTAGAGGATACTGAGTAGTTTACAATTGTATGGACTCCATTCAGAGTGGAACATTTGTGAAGAAATATAAAAAAGTTTTTAAGTTCTCTGAAGGCTTTTTAATGACTTTTACATTTGTCCATCTCTTTAGCTCAGCCTCTTTGATGGTTTTAAACATTTAAATTTTTATCTGCATTCACTTATTTGCACTTACCAAGCACCAGGTACTGTTCAAAGCACTGAACAAATAATTTATCGTAATAGCCCTTTGGAAGTAGATACTGTTTTCCTATATTTCACAGATAATGAAACTAAAACACCGAGAAATTAAGTTCACTTAGCCAGGGTCACACTAAGTGATAGACCCAGGAAGTCTGATTCTAGAACCGTGCTCCTGACCATTGTACTGTCTGGTCCCCTGCTATACTTTGTGGTTCCTTTTAAAAATATCCTTCAGGGTTTGAAATCATTTTTTATTTACTTCTGTTGCCCCCAAAAGGTCCATTTTTTGATGTGACAGTTCTAATTCTTTGAAGCTTAATTTTCCACACTCGATTTGGAAAGGGAGAGGTGGAGGAGTTCATTTTAAGACTACTTGGTCTTTTGAATCCATTCTTACTTTTTACGTCTACATTAATACTGTGTTAAAGTAGTTTAACTTATCAGAGAAGCAGGCTTAAATTACTTTTTTTGTAAAGAAGTAATGGCATTCACTTTACTCTCCATTCTGTTTCCAAAGCATTAATTGAATGCCTCCCAAATAAGATATCATTAAGAGCATTCTTGTTAAAAAATTTGAAAGAAATTGAAATAACACTAGTGGTTTGTAATTAGTCTTTATTTTAAACTTTATTTTAAAGTTGTTTCATTGCTGTTTTCTTTGTGCCAAATGCCTAGAGACCCTTGTTTGAAGGATTAAACTTGTACATTGTATTTAACAAAATAAATGAATACTGTTAAACAATAGTCTTCACCTCAAATTCAGCTTTGTTTCTAAATGTGATTTGAAGGATGTTAATTCTGAATGAGCATGAGAAATAATTATAGATCATGTTGGTTTAAACATACACCTGCTAAATGTGTAGTGTTAAACTGCAAAATGTAAATTAACGTGGGAGCTCTATACCTGTATTTATTATAAATATAAACTATGCAAAAAGACTGTCAGATTTCTTATCAAGGTACTTTTCTCTAAAGTTTTAGAAGTTGATGATGAATCTAAATTAGTTGTCTTAGCACAAGCTTGTTATATGTAATATGCCTTTGACTCCTTGAGTTCAGGTTTTCCTGATTTACCTAATCAGACTTCAGTTGGTATTTTCTATGGAATTTGCATTGAGAGAGCAACTGAGGAGAGCGTAAAGGTCTGCTAACCCTACTGTAAGGGAGAACTCTAGAATTATTAAGGTAAATTAATAGTTCCTAAGGTGCTTATAGCATTTTGATCAGTAAAGTAGTCATTATTTCTTGAGGTAACAGTCATTACGTTACATTAGAAACAAGGATCACTCATGAGAGTAACTCATTAAGAGACATTGGGCATCATAATGTAGCTTCTGATTCTCAGAAGCTCTAGGAGCTAGGTTTTCTTTTGAAGGAAATTACTTCCTTTGTGGGTAAACTCTTGAGAATTTTGACTTGAAACTCCTTAGAGACTTGTAAACTTGTAGAAAGCATTAGAAAAGTGTTCAAAGAGTTTTTCCTGGGGAGGGAAATGATTAAATTTAAATCACTTTAAGTTATTGCATTCACCAGATAGGTGTGTGCACTCTGTGAGGCACTGGAGATCTAACTGAGCAAAACCAAACTGGATCCTGTTAAGAGGTAAGAGTGTAGTTTAGCCACTATAAACCCAGTTGTAGTCTATGAATACAATTGTGTTATTCTATATAAACCATTTCATTGACACAACAAATTACTTACTGAATACCTGCTTACTGTAGGTTAGATGGTTTACTAGGCCCTAGGGATAGTGTGGTGAACTAAACAGATTAAAATTCTGCTCTCATAAGACTTGTGTTATGGTAGGCAGAGACAAAAATTTGGTGGCAGTTACTTTAGAGAAAAAAATAAGAGGAAGAGACTATGTATGTGGTAGAGCGAGGATTGTGATTAAAATGAGTTGGTGAGGAAAACTTGACTGAGAAAGGAATTTGAGCAAAGACCTGAGGTAGGCAAAAACCCCAGCAATGTATGCATCTGAGGAAAGCATTCCAATTGGAGAAACAGCAAGTAGAAGTACCAAGGCCCTGAGGTAGGGGTGTTCCTATTCAAGGAGAGCAGTGTGGGTGAAGCACAGTGAGTGTGGGAGGAAAGTGGGATCAAAGTTTGGGGGAGGTTGGGCAGACAGTATGAGTATGGCGCATTATAAACAATTTTGGTTTTTACTCTGAATAAGATAGGAAGTGGTAATAAAGTTTCACACAGAGTAGGGATATGGTCTGACATTTTAAAACCATCTTCGATCAATTGGAAAAGCTCTTGACTGATTTGGAATGTAATACCAGCCTTCTCACTAGCTTGATATATATGTGACTGAAGGCAAGACCATTAAATTTCCATGAAACTTAAAATTTCCTCTGTCGTGGAGACCGAGACAGTATTTCTTCAGTGCTTTGTGTGGTGGCCTTTTTTATACAAACTCAACATTCTTAGTATCAGCCTTGGCAGCTCCCCAGTGTTATCGTGATTACATAGATTTATCCAGTCTCTAAAGAATAATAATCTCTTTACTAGGTTTGTTCTAGGCACTGTGATGAGCCTTGATAACATCTGTTAACCCGTGCAGTCCTCACAGCTTGCTTTGAATATTTTCTCCATTTTGTAGATGAGGTGCCTACAGGCCAGAGAGAACTTAAAGTTTGCCTAATGCTGCACAACTAGTAAGCATTCAGACCAGGATTTGAACCCAGAGTGTCGGGCTCTGGCTCCCAAAGACACATTAGGGGATCCATAGATAGTTTTAAGTTTTGGCTTCTTGACTAGAATTTTGTACTTTGGGCACTGAAATTTTATAGACCTGAAAATCATTTGCAACCATTAAACAGGTTCTCCATACCTGTCTCCATATCTTGAATTAGTCTAATTCAGTTTTTCTCCAAATTTGCCTCCTGTAAGTCAAGTTTCAGGAAAAAAAGGCCTATACCCCTACTTTCTAGGTTGTGCGATAGGAGATTTCAGGGGAAGGGATGTGGTTACTTATATGAGGCTATAGTCTGTACCAGTAACAAAGTTGAAATTCTTTGTATATTCTACTTAAGTTTGTGATTTACCCCTACCCATAATAGAACCATACTGTTGTTGTTGTTGTTGTTTTTTAAATGTTTTATTTATTTCTAGGAGAGAGAGACAGCGTGAGCAGGGGAGGGTCAGAGAGAGAGGGAGTCACAGACTGAAACAGGCTCCAGGCTCTGAGCTGGCAGTCAGCACAGAGCCCGACGCGGGGCTTGAACCCACGAACCGCGAGATCATGACCTAAGCGAAAGTCGGAAAGTCGGACGCTTAACCGACTAAGCCACCCAGGCGCCCCATATTGTTGTTTTTTAATGTAAAGATGGTATACTTTCTTTTTCCAACTCTCTGAGAAAATTTGATGATCCAGAGAACACTGCTGTATTTATTGTTTGCTCATACCCCATTAGAGAGAAGTCAATCCAAACTAAAACCTCTCAACTAGAAGATCCAGCTTTCTCTGCAGCTCTCTTCAGCACTTTCTTCTTTCTCACATTCCACAGTACCAAAATGGAGATTGGCAACCTGACAAAAATGTAAAGTTCTTGCCATGTGGTAGTTACATGTTCTTCCTGTTCTCCACATCCCCTCATTGTTGTCAACTAGTAACTTTCCAAGCATACTGCTGGTGTATTCCCTCCTTCCTCTAGCCTTTTCAAGTTCACTGAAGACTGAGACCTGGCTGGAGGACCAAACTTGCCTCCCGCCTCCTCTGTAATGGCAGTGTCCTTACCACCTATCCGGCAACTCATCTTGCAGTTCCTGGGCCTCTGACCCCAGTTAGCCTCGAACTGTGTCTTAGCCACTCATTCCTGAAATCTTGTGTAGTATCTCTTCATCTCCTGCAATTGGTCTCTTGAGATCTTAGCCACTAGACCAGTTTCTTCACAAGTTTTGATACCCTGGCAACACTAATCTGCATTTGGTTTGCTATTTATAACTGTGCCTTTTGTCACCTTTTTTTCTATCTAAAATACTCTTTTCCCTTCTTGTTAATTTTTTACTCATTAATTAGAATTATGTTACTCAGCTTTTATAATTCATGTAACTTCTCAATAAACATTCCTTCTCTCCTTTCAGAGTCCTTGCTTAACACATAGCTTGGGTTTTCCTGTGATCTCCTTGACCATTTTCAAAGTGGTTTTAGGTGATCCTTCAGCATTCCCATAATGCCCTTATTTATTGTCTTTATCTTTTGTCTTTATTTTTGCCTTCTTTCAGTGTTTCATGTGACTTTTCCACTGGACTGTAATTTCCTTGAGAAAGGAAGATACTGGTCTTGTACATCTTTGTTTTCCTGCTACCTTTCTTAATGCCTACATTAAGTGTAGTGATTTTATTTTATTTTAAATTTTTTAATGTTTTATTTATTTTCGAGAGAGGGAGAGAGACAGTGTGAGCAGGGGAGGATCAGAGAGGGAAATACAGAATCCGAAGACCGGTTCCAGGCTCTGAGCTAGCTGTTAGCGCAGAGCCCAACGCAAGGCTCGAACCCACGAACTGTGAGATCATGATATGAGCTGAAGTCGGATGCTTAGCCGACTGAGCCACCCAGGCACCCCTACGTGTAGTGATTTTAAAATATTAAAAAGAAATTGAATTCCTTAGTTCTTTGGCATGATAATTTTGCTAAAAGTACAGCAGTACATAATTTGAAGGATTTGTACAAAATAATTTGTATCTTCCTACAAAAATAATATGATCTAAATCCAGATGGCTTAGTCTTTTGGTGTTTGTCTGATATTCTGGGGCGTGATGTTTTAGTGTGGAGTGACTTTTTAAAGGGGAAAGGTAAATAATGCTATTGTGTTTAACCTGGGATTAACAACAGCAAGGATTTAGCAAAATAATTTAGTGTCATAAATTAAGCATAGCCCAAGCGTTTAAATACAAATCTACCCCCTTGATGTAATTATTTGTTTTTTCCATGGTACCTATCAATATGAGCATATTTTGGGAAACTAATCTTTCATTTGAAATGTAAGGAGAATAAATAGCCCAGTGAACAAATATTGGTTGAACCATACATAGGCTGTTGCTGATATTGGACTGTTGTTCACCTGCAGAAGACCCTTTGATGTGTTTCAGTCTAATACCACATGGTTGCTCATTCACTACCACAGACTGAAAGTATAGTTCTCAATTTAAAGAAAGAGACTAGTCTCCCAATGTATGTCAGTGTTTTATGGAAAAAGAAAATGGGAGGGGTGCCTTTGGTGTTAAGTCTGTGTGGAGAATTCTCGTTTAAAAACAAGTTACCAAGTGACTGTTTAAAGCAATATTAACATTTTACTGTACCTGTTTTGGATTTTCTTTTTCTATTCAGTGTAATCGTTTATCCTCCCTCATTGTGTATTTCTTTTATGTATTTGAGTTCAGCCATTAGAAATAAAGCTAAACCACTATTGGAGTCAGTTTTGCCATTTATTTTGAAATGTCTGAAGCTGTTCTGAAAATATTTCATTGACTAACTTCATGTATTAAACTGAGATGTATTATCATTATTTTGTTGTGACCAAATCTTGATAATTGATAGAATTTTGAAATGTGTTTGATACATTTATAGGATGGAAGATGCTGATAATTCTGAGAAGAGTGTAAATGAAGAAAATGGGGAAGTATCAGAAGACCAATCTCAAAATAAGCACAGTCGTCACAAAAAAAAGAAGCATAAACACAGAAGTAAACATAAGAAACATAAACATTCCTCAGAAGAAGATAAGGATAAGAAACATAAACATAAGCATAAACATAAGAAACACAAAAGAAAAGAGGTCATTGATGCCTCTGACAAAGAAGGTATGTCTCCAGCAAAAAGAACTAAACTTGATGATTTAGCTCTGTTGGAAGACTTGGAAAAACAGAGAGCCTTGATTAAAGCTGAACTTGATAATGAGTTAATGGAAGGAAAGGTCCAGTCTGGGATGGGGCTCATATTACAAGGTTATGAGTCTGGCTCTGAAGAAGAGGGGGAGATTCATGAAAAGGCAAGAAATGGAAATAGGTCTAGTACCAGATCGTCAAGTACAAAGGGGAAACTCGAGCTTATGGACAATAAAAATAGTACAAAAAAACGAAGTAAAAGCAGATCCAAAGAACGGACTAGACATAGGTCTGATAAAAAGAAAAGTAAGGGAGGTGTTGAAATAGTTAAAGAGAAGACAACTAGGAGTAAATCAAAGGAGAGGAAAAAGTCCAAAAGTCCATCCAAAAGAAGTAAGTCTCAAGATCAAGCAAGGAAATCAAAATCCCCAACCCTTAGAAGGCGATCTCAAGAGAAAATTGGGAAGGCCAGATCCCCTACTGATGACAAGATTAAGACTGAAGATAAAAGTAGGTCAAAAGATAGGAAAAAATCCCCAATTATAAATGAAAGTAGAAGTCGTGATCGAGGCAAAAAATCCAGATCCCCAGTTGATTTAAGAGGTAAATCCAAAGACAGAAGATCACGATCCAAAGAGAGAAAATCAAAACGGTCTGAAACAGAAAAAGAAAAGAAGCCAATTAAATCTCCCTCTAAAGATGCTTCTTCTGGGAAAGAGAACCGGTCACCGAGTAGAAGACCTGGTCGAAGTCCTAAAAGAAGAAGTTTGTCTCCAAAACCACGTGATAAATCAAGGAGAAGTAGATCTCCACTAGTAAATGATAGGAGGTCTAAACAGAGCAAATCTCCTTCCCGAACTCTGTCTCCTGGTAGAAGAGCCAAGAGCCGATCCTTGGAAAGAAAACGAAGAGAACCAGAAAGGAGACGACTTTCTTCTCCAAGGTAACTTGTTTTCAAAATGTTAATGCCTTTTACCAATGCATCAGATTTTAAAAAGGAGAAACTAGAGCTTGTGAACAATAAAAAATGAGGTAGTGTTAATATGGTTACTATAGTTTTATATAGATCCTGTCCACTAATTACATTAATATTTGTACTTTGGTTAGCAAATATCTTGACTGTGGGATTTTAAAATACTGAAGTATTGAATTATATATTAAAAATATTGAAATATTAGCAATCAATTTTTTTTAAGTTCTTAATTTAGTATCTAATTTACAGAACCACTCCTTTAAACCCAAGTAATTTGGCTGATAAATCTGTGTGTACTCACAGGAAGTGAAGGGAATTTCTAGAGTAAGGATTATTACTTCATTGGACAGTATCGGCTTCACATTTTAACTTTAAAAAAGGAGGTATCTGTTTAAGCATTGTGATGTATCCATTCTCTTGAGTTGACGTGATTTCAAATTCTGACAGGATAGATTGGAATTAACAAATTTTTTGGCCCCCCAAATAAAGTTAAATTGAAAGTGGACATTTTTTTCTTTCTTAAATAATAGTGCCTTTTAGTTTAAGGAAGAATAGTGTAAGAAATGATTTTTTTTCTTGTCAGTAATAATGAAAATAATTCATATTTGTATAATACTTTTGGCCCATCAGATTTTTTCTCATAAATCCTCATGATTATCTCTTCTCATAAAGAGGAGTAACTCTCATACTCCATTTATAAATGAGAATATAGATTGTGAGCTTATTTAATTTACCTAGGATCAGAGACCTAGCAGGTAATGTAGGCACATGAAAGATTTTGGCAGAGTGGGTGGGGGTTGTTTAGACTAATCTAAACTACTGCAGAAACTTTTTTAGTATCTTTAATAATCAGGTTAAGTTATCAGTCAAGTTTAGCTTAAAAGAATGTTGGCTTATACAATGTAAAGATCCTAATTCCTAGCCATTTACTTTGTGTAAGTATAAATACAAGCTGACCTTGAAGTTTAAATGGTTCTCTGAACAATTTTAAGAATGTTGTTTTCAAAGTGCTGTATCTTAGGAAATACTCTTGATTTTTCTAAGTGACATTGTAATTAAAGGCCAGCTTCTTCCTTTAGCTTTCTAAATTGAGACTGTTGTTAGTGTTGCTGATTATGTCTTCTAAAGCGTTTCCAAATGATCCTTGTCTCTTTCCATTTTTTCCATTGAAAAATAAATTCTGAGCAGTTTATTAAGGACTAGAGTTGAATATTTGAAACAAAATTTTCTTTTAGTTACAGAAAAGATACTAATTCAAGACAAATTTAGATAAGGCAGAGCCTGTAAATTCTCCCTTTCCATCCCTCCTCCAGTACCAGTCACAAGAATGTCCTTCTAGCCCCCTTTTTTTTTATGTACATAGAATTCTGTGAATGTTCTTTCTTACAAAAATGGAGTCCTCCATTCATGTGAGCGGTGATTTTTTTTTTAATGACACATTATTGTGATAATAAAGATCTCTTTTAAGTCTTTATATAACAGTACCATATTTCACGGTATAGATCTGCCATAATACAGTTGACCCTGGATCAACACAGGGGTTAGGGGTGTCAGTCCCACACACAGTTAGAACTGCGTGTATAACTTTTGACTCTGACAAACTTATTACTAATAGCTTACTGCTAACTGGAAGCCTTACCAATAACTTAAGTCAATTGACATATATTTTGTATGTTCTATGTATTGTATACTGTATTCTTTAAGTTAAAGATAAAATCATAAGGGTGAGGAAATACATTGATAGTACTGTACTGTAAAAAAATCTATGCATAAGTGGACCTGTGGAGTTCAAACCCATGGTTCAAGAGTCACCTCCCCTTACTGCAACAGATGAAAATTTGGTTGGTTTTGGTTTTTCTCGATTGTATACAACAATGTTTGTTGTTTATGTGTAAAGGTTCTTTGTAAAATAGATTCATAGAAATGGAATTGCAAAGTCTAAGGTAATATACATTTACATTTTAGAAAGTAACTGTCAAATGCTTTCCGAGGAAAGTTAAACCAATATGTATTTCCATGAGTAGATGGACTATCACTTTTTCTATACCCTTATTTATATCCTCTGTTTGAAAGTTAACATTGATTGTGAGATGCTATTATATGTAGTATATTTTAAAAACTCTATATTGGAAAAATGTCAAAATTTAGAAACTGTCTTCAAACTAAGGAAATGGAATACTGTTACTCACTTAGGCAAGTTATATTTGAGTTTATCTGGAATTAGAATCAGTGACTAATAACGTGAATAACCATTATAATTCTGTAAATTGTGAGACCACAGGAAGTAGACCGTTTTTACTGTGTGCCTACCATAACACCAAAATGTCACTGTGATTTTCTGAATTTAAGTTTTTGTTACCAAAACCTATTAATCTTTATTTACTTCATGTTTAGTGCACCCATTCTTAAGATGTTCTTTATGTGCAAAACAAATTAATTTGATTTTTTTGTAACTTGGATTTGGTCCCCTTAAGAACACGACCTCGAGATGATCTCCTCAGTAGACGTGAAAGATCAAAAGATGCCAGCCCGATCAATAGGTGGTCTCCAACCCGAAGAAGAACAAGTAGATCTCCCATTAGGAGGCGGTCCCGTTCCCCACTCAGACGCAGTAGGTCACCCAGGAGAAGAAGCAGGTCTCCTCGGAGAAGGTAAAATATGTTACATATGTTGTCTTTTTGATTCATTAAACTGTATGCTTCTGCAGTTTCATATTAGCTCAGTTGGTGGGTATTCTTAGAGACCATTTTTCTCTGTGAAAAATTGTAGCTGTGATCCCATAGTTTCTTTTTTCTCAATGTGATATTTCACACACACAGATTTTTCTTTAATATAGCTTTTTTTTTTAATTTAAGTAAATCAGTGTTCATTAAAAACTCAATCTTTTAAAAGGGAAAGCTTTTTTTCCCTATTTCTTAAGATAAATACTATATGAGCTGTGCTTACTGGGTTTGTTTTGTTTACAGGATCATAAGGCAATAAGTAGCCCAGTTTCTGGTCATTATATAATTGCATTCCTCTATTTTTCTATTAACTTGTGTTTGGTCCCCTTAGAACATGACTTAAAGATGATAATCTCAGGAGATATGAAAGACAATCTGGGCAAATACTTGTTTAATTCACAGTAGTAGAAACCGTCTTATGTGTGAAGCACATGTAGTGAGTTGGTTAATCAAAATGTTGGTTTATAAAGCAGGAATCATTTTTAAAATATATGTATTAAATATTTTAAATCAAACATAAGTAGACTTTGATTTTTCCAATTTTTTAACATTTTTAAAAGACAGCACACCAAAGACTTATATTGCAACCGGTGGATATATCTTTACATTATCTCTGAGTATTTTTTTATACTGGATTCCTGAAAAGTAGAAGTGCTTTGTTCAAGGTTGTTGTGTATGTTAAAATTTTTAGAAGAAGTTATTACCATATTATCTATTGATTTCTTATTTTGGACAATTACTGTTTTTTAATTCCCCCTACCCCCACTTTTCTACCTGATTGTATTATGTTTCTCTGTGCTTCCAGTTACAGTCATTATGTTCTTGTGCCTTTTGCACATTGCTGAGCAGACAGGGGAAAGGGGCAAGAAAAGACCTTCCTTTTAATGCTTCTAGGCTTTGAACTCCAAACTAATAGGCCTGCTTAAATAGTTATCATTATAGGAATTGTTTTCCCTTTTCTGTCGTCTTGGCAGTCCCTCACTTCTCTCTTATTTTGTGATTTCCTGTATCCAGCATCTTCATGTTTTACTTCTTGCTTTCCTAATGCTTTTACAATAGCTTCCTAAGCAAAGTACATGGAAAGGACATTTAGGGAGACCGTTGTCTCTTTAAAAAAAGAAAAGGCTTTTGTCTTCACTGCTGATTTGTTAAGGAATAGAATTCCAAGTTGAAATCGTTTTTTCCGCAAGAATTTTGAAATTGTTATTCCACTGATTTCTAGTTTCCAGTATTGAGAAGTTGAGAAGTCCTATTTTGATGACCTGGGCATTTCTTCTAGGACTTGCTTTTACCCTCTCCCTCTCTTTTTATAATGTCCTGTTTCCTGAAATCCCATTATAATGTACCTTGGTACATGGCTTTTTTTTCTTTTAGTTGTCTGGGCACTAAATAGGCCCTCTTTACTTTTTTAAGTTTATTTTTTTGAGAGAAAGCTTGGGGGGGGGGGGTGGCAGAGAAAGAGGGTAAGAGAATCCCTAGCAGACTCCATGCTATCTGTGTGGAGCCCAATTGGGGGCTCGAACCAAATGGTGAGACTGGAGCTGAAATCTGATGCTTAACCCACTGAGGCACCCAGGTGCTCCCCAATAGGCCCTTTAAAGCAGGAAGATTATGGCTACCTACTCTGGGAAATTTTCTTTTTTGTTTTTGTTTGCTTTCTTGCCCATTGTTTTCTTCCACCCCCACATTGGATCTTCTGTATTGTTCCACTGATTTCCCTCTCTACACACACTCATGTGTGTCCTTTTGTTCTACTTTTAGCCTAGGAGATTTGTTCTACCTTCTTTCTATATTTTTTCCTGTGCTAATATATATTTATTTTTATTTCCAAGACTTGTTGGCTGTTTTATTCTATCATTTTACTCATTTTATAGAAATAGCATCTCTTACATCAAAGATGATAATGAGTTTATTTTGTGGAGTTTGTGTTCTTGGTGGTTTTCTTTTCTTACCTATACTTTGTTCTCAGAATCCTTTTGCTGCTCATTTATCTTTTTCATTTGAGGACATAACTCAAACAGCTGGATCCTTCTTTTGCCTATTTTCATTTAAAACTTAGCCCTGAGAAAGCTAAATGGAACCTTTCCTCCATTCTGAAAATGTAGAATTTGTGAATTAGTGGGTATCACTTCATTGTGATCTCTTTAGCATATCATTGACTATAGCTCTTTTGGGCTGGCAGTTTTCCAGAATCCTCTCTCATCTGCTGGAAAATGTAGGCATGGCTACGAGTAGAATTCTTGTTCTTTATAATGTAGACTTCCCCCTAATCCTTCCATTTTCACTACTGTGCCTCCCTGCTACCTTGGGTCAGCTTTGATGACAACCAACACCTCTGTAAAATTTAAGTATTCTGCCAGAATGTGAAGGGGAATGGTTGGCATTTTCTACTGAGTTAGGAAGGAGGCGGAATATACAGAGCCCAGCTCTTCCTAAAGGCTTTCAACCAGTTTTTAGCTTTTAGCTCATACCACATCCAACAGGATATTGTGTTGCCAATTCTTGAGGCTTTCCGGAGTTTTGTGGCATGCATTTACTTGTTTCTAATTAATCTTGTCTGTTCTTGTTAGACTTATGTTTAGATTTGATCTGTTATTACTCTTTTGTCTAATGTACACATCAAGATTTTTGATATCTGTTGTCCTAATAGCTCTTCGCATTCTTTAATTGTTCCTTTCATGTCATTTTTAGTAAGATTTCTTAAGAAATATGACATAAGCATGGTAGTCAGATGTGCCATTAATGGGGAGTCTACCAATTCTTTGTAGACTTAGCAGCTTTTTCTGTTTGGAGTTAGTTCTACAGCACCTTTCTAACATAAACTTCAGCTTTAATGCTTGAACCACAATATCAGTTTTTGTTTAACATGAGGCAAGACCTTTAGGCACTTACAAAGACATATGAGGGCCATTTAATTAGACTTAGAATTTTTGTCATTTGTATTTTCTGTGCCTTATTTACAGTGATCTCTTTTTAAATCTCATTTACTGAAACATATATACATAAAGTAAATTCACCTTTGTTGGTGTAAGGTTATGAGTTTTGACAAACACATAGTCACTTAACTACCTTTTATATCACCCCCAACGTTCTTTTTGTATCCTTTTGCAGTCCAGTAAGAACAATAACTGTGTTTTAGTTATTTTCAATTAAACTGATTAACCCAGTCTTTCTGGTGTGTTATTTTACTCTAAATTTTTAATTAACCCCTTTTTAAAATATTTTATTTTTAGAACACTTTTAGGTTCACAGCAAAATTAAACTTTTGAAAAGTACAGAAAATTCCCATGTACTCCTGCCTAAAGCACGACAGCTTCCCCACCTTTAGGTGACCTTTAAGGTGTGTGTGTGTGTGTGTGTGTGTATATATGTATGTTTTTATTTATTTATCCCCCCAACCCACCAAAATAGGGACAGAGGTCGAAGGAGCAGGTCACGCTTGAGAAGGCGGTCTCGATCACGGGGTGGTCGTAGACGTAGGAGCAGAAGCAAAGTAAAAGAAGATAAATTTAAAGGAAGTCTTTCTGAAGGAATGAAAGTTGAACAAGAATCTTCATCTGATGATAAGTAAGAATGGAATTTCCCATAATTTTCCTTTTTTTCAGTTTAGACAAGTACTATTTGACCTGGAAATCTTTACTTTCCACCTGGATATTGCAAGCAAATCCATTCATTACGTCTTGAATTTAAAATTTAATCTTTAAAAAAAAATTTTTTTTTAACATTTATTTTTGAGATACAGAGCATGAACAGGGGAGGGCAGAGAGAGAGGGAGACACAGAATCTGAAGCAGGCTTCAGGCTCCAAGCTGTCAGCCCAGAGCCCAACATGGGGCTCGAACTCACAAACCATGAGATCATGACCTGAGCTGAAGTTGGATGCTTAACCGACTGAACCACGCAGGCACCCCGAGTAAACTTAATCTTTTGTGCATATTTTATATAGGTTATGTGGCAGAGGTCATGATTTTCTGAATTTAGAGGCTTCTGTTTTGGCTGAAATGAATATTGGGCCATCACTTTATCATGAGCCTTCCCTGCATTTTTATTAGAGACAACAGATACATTAGATAGTTCTGATGATCTTGATTACCAGTTTTGCAGTGGTGTGGGGGTGGGGGGGTGAATACTAGTATTTAAACTTTTCAGTTTGTGTAAAATGATACCTACTTTTGCAGTTGAGGCTATCTGATGGTAGATATATATGCCTATTACCATGTGGAAAATGCAAAAACATTTCAGTGTCTAATGGAGAAATGTTTTTAATGAGAATTTAGTTGTGTAATGGAACATCTCAAAAAAATGAGACTAATTTATAGCAGTAGTTCTCATTCAGGGGTAATTTGCCTCTTTGGGGACATTTTGGGAATATCTAAAGGTATTTTTGATTGTCAACTTGTGGCTAGAAACCAGAGATACTGTTTAGCATCTCCCAGTGCATAGAACAATGCCTCTTATATAACAAAGAATTGTCAAAATGTCAGTAGTGCTAAGGTCAGGAAAGCCCAATTAGAGCTAGGTGATATGAAGGTTAAGTGAACATCCTGATACCTTGAGAATGCATTTTGCTTACTCGTCTGCAGTGAGCATTCAGCAGATCATAGAAAAGGCTGTGCTGGGAGGGATTGTAAAGACTGTGGAGTTCTTGGGGTGGAAATTGGGAATAGTCAGGGCAGTGTTGGGGTAGAGCCACATTTCCCTTCAGCCTGTATGTGGATATTTACATGTGCATTTTTGTTAGGAAAGGATCCATAGCTTTCTGTGACCCAGAAAAGGTATTAGTTTGCTTATGTGTCTCACCCTCTTGTTCTGTAAAGGTTAAAACAGGCTAGGTAGGTGAAATAACTTTAGTAATACCAAGGTCATGATGGAGCCAGGGGTGACTTTTTTTTAACTCCAGGATCTTTCATTTGTTTCCTGGTTTGGTGCCATGAAACAAGTGAGGAGAAAAATGAAACACAGAAGGTTAAATTACTTGCTACGATTCCAAACCAGGCAACTAAGAGTTTCGACATAATAAAGAGAGCAAGATGGCTTAAGACTTTGGTAGAATTAGCTGATTACTTACGTTTTCCGGCTTTTAATTTTAATTTGTATCACGGTTACCATTTGTGAATCAAAGGATTTTTGAAGTATGTATATATGTGTAATTTTCTTTTTTTTTAAGCCTTGAAGACTTCGATGTAGAGGAAGAAGATGAAGAAGCTCTAATAGAACAGAGAAGAATACAGAGGCAGGCAATTGTTCAGGTATGTGATTATTAGTAAAATTTTGAGCAGTCCTGAAATAATTACTCTTTTAGTAAAACAGCTATTTCTAAAGAAGTGATGGTAACAGCAGTTGAGTAAATCTTAAAGAAGAGTATCTGTGAAATCATCTTCGAGAGATTTGGAAAGATGATAGTTTTTTAATAAAATTGAAATGATTGCCCTGTTTTATTATAGAAAGGATTCTGATATAAACCTTGTATAAGACAAAACGTGAAATTTGCTTTTTATTAAAAAAATATTTTTAAAGTGTATTTATTTTGAGAGAGAGAGAGAGAGAGTAGAGCATGAGCAGGGAAGGGACAAAGAGAGAGAATCACAATATGGGGCTCAAACTCAAAAACTGAGATCGTGACCTGAGCCAAAATCAAGAGTCAGATGCTTAACCAGCTGAGCCACCCAGGCACCATTCTTTTTTGTTTGTTTGTTTTTAAGAAAACCCTCATAAATGAGTATAGAATAAATTAGAGGAATCTTAGTAAAAATTATGCCTTTTGTTCTACGGTTTAATGTCTTAAAAAAAATAGCATGTTTCTAATGCAAATGTGATTATTTACATGGAACATTTCAAAAATTTAAGAGTAGTTTAGAGCTAGGTCATGTAAGAAAGTGGGGTCTTATAGTCATTTAATGATACGGTTCTCTGCCTTGGAGTTATGCCTCAGCCATCCTGACTTAAAGCGACGGCCATTAGATCCTTTGTGGATGGCAGTCCCTGTAAAGTGTAGTTTTCTCCTAATAATGGGAAGATGAGCAATGAAGTTGAAAATACATTCTGGAGGAAGTGAAAAATGTTTAGACGCTATAAGGAGAGCAAGCAAAAGGAAAGGACAGTTGTGCCAGCTCACTTACATATACGTAGCAAATCATAAATCATGCTCTATGTCAGAGCAAAGGAGAGAGCTTGAATCACCAGAGGACATAGGGCAAAACTGGAATTCCAGAGAAACTTATTTTCTGGGGCACTGATGAAATTGTTGTTATTAAACTGATATCCCTAAAGACTTGGTTGAATCTTTTTTTGTTCTTGCCCAGGTCCACAATCCCTTATCTCCAGCCCTTGGGGCCAGATGTGCTTCAGAACTCAGAACTATTTGAATTTTAGAAAGGTAATATGGTGCATCTATGTGTATTACTTAGCCCCATCAGTGGGCTTTAGGAACAGCACCCCATCATAAAACACAGTATTTTCTGCAGTGAGACATATTCTTTTCACACTGGGGGAGATAAAAATAAGACTGCACATAGCATCACATCTGTTCATGTCAGGTTTTGTCACCTAATGAGTGTGCACCAAACATAGAAAACCTTTTTCAGAGTTTTGTGGATTTTGGAATTATATGTAAGGGATTGTGGATCTGATTCAATCAAGACATCAATGCCCTTTAAAAAATTTTAACATTATTTAACACTCTTTTCAGTGCAATACCTCTTTAGCAAATATGCATCAGATTTTATGAAAATAATATGTTGTATTGTTGTTACAGAAATATAAGTATCTTGCTGAAGATAGCAATATGTCTGTGCCATCTGAACCCAGCAGCCCCCAGAGCAGTACCTGTACGCGGTCACCTTCACCAGATGACATTCTAGAAAGGGTAGCTGCTGATGTTAAAGAGTATGAACGGGAAAATGTTGATACCTTTGAGGCCTCTGTAAAAGCCAAGCATAATCTAATGACAGTTGAACAGAATAATGGTAAGTTAGATTTTTGACCATGTTTTCCTCTGAATTCTTAGCTCATAAATAATGAGATTGTTTTGGAATGGGGAAAAGTGAAAGGGATTAGAAATGTTAACCCATTAACGTTTGTTAAATCTTATGCTAATCTAGTATTAAATGTGTCCCAGTGAATGTTCTTGATAAATGTTTTTTATTAGTGCACATAACCTAAACGGTATACCTAAACGGTATACAATGTTACCTTCTGTTTGGGGCGCCTGGCTGGCTCAGTTGGTAGAGCATGCAACTCTTGATCTCAGGGTCATGTGTTCAGGCCCCATGTTGGGCCTGGAGCTTACTTAAAATACATACATACATGCGTACACATATTTTTAAAATATTGTCATCTTCTGTTTTGCTTGCTAAAGTATTCTAAAGCAAATCCCAGCCAAAATTTCATTTCATCTGTAAATACTTCATTTCTCATCTCTGCTAGATAAGGACCTTTTTTTAAAAAACATGATATTTTAAAATTGATTGTTTTTAAATATCTAATGTCTAATTACAGTTGGCTGGTTTGAATTAGAATCCAAATAAGATGCGCCTGTCTCAGAGTCTTTAGTAGTTATTCTCATCCTTCCCTCCCCCCCCCCTTCCATTTACTTGTGAAGATACTAGGGCCATGTGTCCTTCTATACTTTTCTTCCCACTCTGATTTTGCCACATTCTTGTGTCTTTTATTTTCCCCTATCCTTAGTGTTTCTTGAAAACTAATGTGTTGGAGACTTGAGTAGATTTACTAGTTAATTTTTTTTGGCAAGAATACTTCATAACTAGTGGTGTGCACTTGCATACCATCAGGTGGTGTGTAGTGTATGCTTGTCCTGTTTGTATTGACCTGGAGTTTTGTGTTTAGCTGGAGTGATCCACAGCTGTCCAGTAGGGAGTTTCCCTTCAGCCATTCACCTAGCACTCTCGGTAGCCATTGGTGATCATTACTCGGATCCATTCTTTCATGAGGGTTGAGAGTGGGTTGGCATGGACACACCCAAAGCTGTCATTCTTAAATTATAATTCCTTCTGAATCCTTAGCCTTAATTCCATAAAAGAGGCTTCCATTCTTTGGTTACCCTGAAACACAGTTTGTACAGGAGAGTTGGGATAAATGCTTATTTTCTTTTATTGACTAATTTTTAGCGTGGAATAGAGTTCAGTGCATTAGCAACCTCCAGAGATAACCAGTGCAACTTTGGTTGTTTTTGTGGTGTTTTTATGATTTTGTATCATTTTGTACTTAAATTCTCTCCAACTGAGATGGGGAGGAGCCCTTTTAAGTTGGTTTCTAATGTCTTTTTGACCCAAACCCTACAGGATTGATTGCTATTAATTTATTAATATGTTTCTTTCTGGGATAGGCGTTTGCAAACTGTAAAAGATCAGATGGTAAATATTTTAGGCTTTGGTCATTTAGACTTTTTTTTCTCTGTTCTAACTACTGAACTCTGCTGTTGTAGTGCAGAAGAAGCTTCCTTGCCTCCAAAAAAACCTGTGTGGACACCAAAATTTAAGTTTCACATGTTTTAAATTTCAAAATATTCTCCTGTTTTTCCCCCCAATCTCTAAAAATGTAAAAATGGACCATATGAAAACAAGGGGCCAAATTTGCTTCACTCTAGTTTGCAAAATTAGTTCTACCACAGTGTGAGATCTCACAGGCTTACCTTGTGTGTGTCTTGTCCCAGAACAGAAGCAGCTGTTGCTGTAAGGAACCCTGGTGCCATTTAATAGGAAATGCTGTTCAGAGATCACAGGGCACATAAGGGTGCCTGTTATACATAGGACTTCCCAGTGGACAAAGCTAGAACATACATACCTTTTTGGGAAGAGGAGGTTCATACTGAAAAAGTGCCAATTGAAATTCAAACTTATATAAGGTTTTCAATAACTTATTTGATTTTTATATTTCTATTTTAGTGAGAAACTTGACTCCTAATATGATTAGGTTATTTTGAAGCTTTTATTTACATAGTTATCAGTATGATCAATAGTCTTTCATACGTGTTTGTATCCAATCTATACAAGGACACACAAAAATATACACACTCCTTGATTTGAAAAGATCTTTATTCCTTTTTATAGATGTGTACCATTCCAGTATAATGAACGTGCCAAAGTGTATTCCTTCTGTCTTTAAATGGTAGATGTTTGGGTTATTTCCAGTTGTTGGCTATTCATTGGACCATGAATTATAATAGCATTGTGCATTCTCATTTTTTTAATGCTTACCACTCTCTGAGATGATTTTGTAGAAGTGGAGTTGCTGGGTCTAAAGAGTACAGTTGTGCTGTGTTTCCAAATTTTATTCTGTAAGGTTTGTACAGTTTTGCCCTCCCCAAGTAATGTCTGAGTTCTTGTTTATCAGGGCCTTGTTTTTTTTTTTTTAGAGGGTTTTTTTTTTGGGGGGGTGGGGGTTATTTTGAGAGAGTGTGCACATGAATGCAAGCAGGAGAGGGGCAGAGAGAGAATGAGAGAGAATTCCAAGCAGGCTCCACACCAGCAGTGCAGAGCCAAACACAGGGCTCAAACTCTCAAAACTGTGAGATCATGACCTGACCTGAAATCAGGAGTCAGTTGCTCAACTGACTGAGCTACCCAGGTGCCCCTAGAATTTTTTTTTTTTTTTAAGTTTGAGAGAGGGGGAAAAGTACATTGTGAGGGTGGGGGCAGAGAGAGAGCGTGAGACCAAGGATCTGAAGCTAACTGACAGGAGTGAGCCCAGTACGGAGCTAGAATTCACAAACTGCGAGATCATAACCTGAATTGAAGTTGGAAGCTTAACTGACTGTGCTACCCACACATCCCTAGAAATAGAATTTTTTGAAGAGGAACTTTGATTCTAATAATCATTATTGAGGTATTAGTATATTAATTTAATATTGGAGAAACTACTGATACTAGGTCTTTCAACTTTCTGAAATGAATCCTTTTAGTAAAGAATGGGTAGCTTTATATATCTTAAGCGTTAACAAAGTGACTTTAAGATGGTATTAATGAAAAACTGATACACAAGAGGAAAGAAAGTTTGAATTGCTAGTGATTTTACATTGATGACTTATTTGTGTTTTAATTTATATCCGTTCATTTTTCAAACATTACTGTTCAATTTCCATTTAGGTTCATCTCAGAAGAAGCTCTTGGCACCTGATATGTTTACAGAATCTGATGATATGTTTGCTGCCTATTTTGATGTAAGTAATTTTACTTACATAACTTTAAATGAAATGTATGTAAATAATATACAAAACATAAAGTAAAAAATATATGTAACAAATGTGTTTGTATTATATATAAAGAGAGAAAAAGATAAAGCAATAATATCCTAACATTTGGACAGTTTGAGTAAAGGTTATCTGGAAATTCTTAGTACTAGTGTTGCAACATTTCTCTAAGTCAGAAATTAGGTCAAAATTTTAAAAAACAAGTACAGCAGAACAATTTGAGAACTTCAGAAAAGTTAAATACCAAATGATTTAAAAATGTGTAGTTATTTTTCTGAAGCAACTTTTTCTTGGATTTAAAAACGTGCGTGGTTGGGCATAGTTAGCTGAAACAAGGTGATCTCAATTTTGGCTTTTTTAGCCATTTTATCTGTTTTCTTGAAGAAGTCTTAAAAACGTTCAAAAGTATGAGACTATTTTCATTATAAGTTCAAGAAAATATGAGAAATAGGCTTTGGCAAGAAAAAGTAGGAGGATAAACAAAAAATAGGGAAATTAAAAATGGAGTAGGTCCTGTGTCCAGGACCCTGAAGACATTGATCATTGGCTCAAGTGTCTGTATCTGTTTAGCACAGAAATCTAAACAATACTAGGTTAAGGGAAGATGAAATGATGATTGAGCCAGTGAAAATATCAGTGCCCATCATTTACTTGGGTGATAGTGAGGGGTCTTTTGGGTATCATGGAGAGTGATGTATAATATTCTTAATTTCCCACACAAACTATTAGTGCAGCCAGTGACCTTTCATGCATATATGGGAAGAGGAGCCAGTGGGTGGTAAGTGGACAAGGCAGTAAAATAAATGTCAAATGGGCAGAAGAGATTGTTAGAGTGTTGGGTACCTATTATTAACTGAGTGCCCATCTAATTTTTGTCCCCCTTTGTCTCTTAATAGCTATCAAAAACCAGACCTGGTTTTGAGTCTTTATTTTCATTTATAATGCCCTATTGTTTATTTATCATTTATAATGCCCTATTTATTCATATTCCTAAGGGTTTTTTTGAGAATACTTTAGCATTTTTTCCTGAGTATTATTGTGATACAAGAGACTTTGGTAATCATGTTTCTAGGTGATGGTAAGAGTTTACTTAATTTGGCATAAAATGTTTTTTGAACTATAGCTGATTTTGCCTTTTTTTTGTTTTAAGTGAAGTGTTTTAAATGTCTGCCTGATTAGTAGGTAAATGGCTCTCTTGTTGCCTCCTTCGTTTCAGAGTGCTCGTCTTCGGGCTGCTGGCATTGGGAAAGATTTCAAAGAGAATCCCAACCTCAGGGATAACTGGACGGATGCAGAAGGCTATTATCGTAAGTTCACAGTTCTGATTAATTTTAGAGTTCCTTGCAGTATTTCGTAGAATTCTATTGCTTGATGCAGTCACAGGTTGGAGAACTCTGAAAGTCCCATCACAGTGCCAGCACTTACAGAGTATGGCACATCGATAGCTGCATGAACCATGTTGTATTCTAATACTCAGCCCACGAGCTTCATGAATAGAAGTGAGGTAAAGACTTGATGTGCAACTTAAATCTATTCAAAGTTGTTTTCAGCCATGAGATAAGCCTCCAGGAGGAAGGGGGAACGTCACTTGCTCGTCTTGATCTGAAACCAAGAAAAACGACATACAAGGAACTTGGGATGCCAGTCATGCAGTGTTTGTCATGCAGGACTACAGTTGGAAACACTTCAGTGAGCACATTTCTTCCCTACTCAATGTTGAAATCCTCAGCAGTGGATAGGAAGTGGGCATGCAGCTTGAACCACATATGAAAGAGTGACCAATGGAGGCTTGGCTTTGATTCTCCCTGCTGCCTAGGACACCAAGCACACAATAGAGATTTGACACATTTTTTTAAGTGACTGCACTGTGTTTCTTTTTGATTTATTATGTGTATCTCAGAGTTTTCTTAAGTAATTATTTATTGTGGTCAGAATTCCATTTCTTAATTTGCTTTTCTAGGGGTGAACATAGGTGAAGTCCTAGATAAGCGTTACAATGTGTATGGCTACACTGGCCAAGGTGTATTCAGTAATGTTGTACGAGCCAGAGATAATGCAAGAGCAAATCAAGAAGTGGCTGTAAAAATCATCAGAAACAATGAGCTCATGTAAGTTCAGAAGACATATGTAATGAAACCTAAAAACTAAAAAAAAAAAAAAAAAATGTAACGGTCTGTAAAAGTATTAGTTATAAAATGACAGAATGATGGTATTGAATCTGTTGCCTTTTTTCTTTTATATAATAGAGATGATTGCCGTACCCATATGTTTTAATAAGCATAGTTCATACCACACAGTTGATGCTAAAGTCAGCTTGCCACTATTTTTATTATTTTTAAATTTATATCCAAGTTAGTTAGCATGTAGCACAGTAATGGTTTCAGGAGTAGAATCCAGTGATTCATCCCCTACATGTAACACCCAGTGGTCATCCCAACAAATGTCTGTCATTCTTAATGCCCATCACCAGTTTAACCCCTCCCCCCCACCCACAACACCTCCAGCAACCCTCAGTTTGTTCTCTATATTTAGGTCTCTTCTATTTTGTCACCTCTCCCTATTTTTATATTTTTGCTTCCCTTCCCTTATGTTTTATCTGTTTTGTATTTTAAATTCCACATATGAGTGAAGTCATACTTGTTTTTCTCTGACTGGCTAATTTTGCTTAGCATAATACACTCTAGTTCTGTTTATGTTGTTGCAGATGGCAAGATTTCATTCTTTTTGTTTGTTGAGTAATACTTCATTAAATTATAACTAGAATTTTATTTTATTTTTAATGTTTTATTTATTTCTGAGAGAGAGCGTGAGCAGGCGAGGGTAAGAGAGAGAGGGAGAAACAGAATCTGAAGCAGGCTCCAGGCTCTGAGCTAGCTGTCAGCACAGAGCGCAACATGGAGCTCGGACCCATGAACCGTGAGATCATGACCTGAGCTGAAGTCGGATGCTTAACCGACTGAGCCACTCAGGCGACCCTATAACTAGAATTTTAGAGGAAAACCAAATATTAATACTTGGTAAGACAGCCGTTATTAGACTCTTAACACCATAACTTGTAAGTGTGGTTCTGTTTTTGTTAAAATAACATTTACATCAAGATGTTTTTGAGATAAAATCTGTGCAGGATTGAATTCCCTATAAGCAATGTGGGTTTGTTCCTCACGGTTTCTTTCTGTTGATTATTGTGGAAATTAACTACATGGGAATAGTATTTGGCTCAGTATAAATTATTGCATGAGTGACATACAGACTTCTCATTCCTCAGTAGACTTATTAGTATTTAAAAAAAATTCCAAGCTAATCACCTATAATACATCAGATTGGAACTAGTAAATAGTTTTATTTTTTTTTTAAATGTCTTGTATTCATTTTTTATTTTCTTTTTTCAGGCAAAAAACTGGCTTAAAAGAACTAGAATTCTTGAAAAAACTTAATGATGCTGATCCTGATGACAAATTTCATTGTTTGCGACTCTTCAGACACTTTTATCACAAGCAGCATCTCTGTCTCGTATTTGAACCTCTAAGGTACACTGTCAAATCTATACGTTTCAAAACACTTAGATAAGTACGATGACGAAGTTTCTGCCTGTTTTATTTTTTCCAGTTAGCTCTGGTTTTGTCTTTTACTTTTGGTTAAGAACTAGCTTCTTGACAGTCGTTAATGTATAAATATTAATTGCACACCATGGGCCAAACTCTGCAGCAAGACTCTCCAAAAGTTAAATACTTTCACATCATGATAAAAAGAAATGGAAGTAGTGGAATAGAAATACAGTTTTGATTGTCAAAAGTATGGGTTTAGTTTTGGGCTTTCAGATGTAAACCCATTCTAAAATCAATAGGAATTTTACCATTGTGTGTCTTCCCTTCTGTTTATTTTGAAAATTGAGTTTTATTGGAAAATTGTGTTATATACACACAGATTCATGTACTCTTTCAGTGTAGAACAATTAAACATCTGGGGGGTTCTTGAACAGGTACTATCATTATAATCTAGATTGCAGATTTGATTATACTTAATGCTTGGACATGATTTTGCCATTTTTATTTCCATTTTGCATTTTAACTCCTAATTTTGTGGTGGTGTTGTTTTTCTCTCCTAAAAGTATGAATTTACGAGAGGTGTTAAAAAAATATGGTAAGGATGTTGGTCTTCATATTAAAGCCGTGAGATCCTATAGTCAGCAGCTGTTCTTGGCATTAAAACTCCTTAAAAGATGCAATATCCTACATGCAGATATCAAGCCAGACAATATCCTGGTAAGTTCAACAGGTTGCCTTGTACAGCCATATAGCTTCTTACCAGTATGTGATTACCACTGTATTAATCTAGAAAGATGTCTTAGAAGAACAACTCCATATATTAATTACCCATTACAAAGGACTTAATCAGTGTTTACTTTTATGGAAATTGGTCCATGAAATTTCATAGTAAAGTGTAAGGAAAGAAGAAACAAGCTATTGTCCCCAGTTTTTTTCCATTTGATTGATGGATTTAGAGTACACATAAATCCCAGGAGTGCTTTAGTGGAATAATGATGGGTTTCCTCTGGTATCTAAAAATAAAAAGAAATAAAAAATGCTCACATGTTGCTGTTTTGAAATTAGGAATCTTCACAGCTCTTTGTTCTCTAATTTGTTGTCTGATAGGGTTAGAGACACTTAAAGGTAATTATCTCTTAAGTCTACTGAGTAGACTTATTTGTCTCTAGGTGCCCAGGAGGGGGTCCAAACACAGTAACTCAGTTGTGATTAGGTATTACATTGAAAGACCTCCCTTTCACAGTCTTCGCTTCCTAACTAAGGACTTCTGGTATCGTAATATGCAGCTTTAACAGTGTTTATGTTTTTGAAATTGAGAGGTAATAATATCCTTATAGGAGAGTGATGAATGCACACTTACTTCCCTCCCTGGCCCCATTTCTTCACCGTCTTCTGAGGTGTTCAGAGTTGGGGGTATTTTCACAATTTGAGGAATTTTTAACTTGTCTGCTATTAACGTGTTTTTAAAAGATTATAATCCCATTAAAGTTTAAGGACCCCTTGTCAATAACTTAGCTGTTCAGATTCTTCTTTTTCATCTTTTTTAATATCTTAAAATACTTCCTTCCAGACTAGCACATAAATAATGAGACCTTCCATCAAAGCATGTTTTGTCTGACTTTACAATGTATTGCATATCTAATTTAACTTGGGGTTAGAAGAGCTGAGTGATTACAGTGAAATCATTGAATTGTAGACTTGCCTAGTCAGCTTCATAGTTTTTACCTAAGTTTTCTCTTTTTTAAATTGTGAAATATACCATTCATATCAAAGAATGTGTAAGATCTGTAAAACTTAAAGGTAACTATTGCAGTGAACATCTGTTTAACGACCGTTTAAGTTAAAGAATAAGACCTTTGCCAGTATTTAGGAACTCTTATTTTTCAAACTTCATTTTGAGTTAATGCTACTCTAACAAGGTTTTCACATGGACTTCAGACATTGAATGTTGTCTCTCCTTCCCAAGAAAGGAGGAAGTAGACCTCAGAGACCACAGGGAGCTGTTTGTGAATGAAAATCCAAAACTTCTAGCCCAGGATTTCAACCATCAATGTGGTAGGAATACCACAATCCTCATGGGAGGGTAGAGATTGTGTAGCCAAAGTGAAGTACACACAAGTGTGGCTCCCCTGCTATCATTTAAGGCATTTTAGCCAGGCCAGGAGTGGAACTCTATCTGTGGAACTGGTAGATTCTAATTTTAAAATTGTCCTGGGGTTTCTCTGCATTTTAAACTGCATCGTTAAAAAGCTGAATGCAGTTTATACTTTTTTAAAAGCTTCACAAGGACTTTTCCATTTAAGAATCGTATTTTTCCAGAAACCCAAGATGAAAAGAATGGTTATGGATATGGCAGTTAAAAATAAGCATTTTCATTAGCTTAATTCTGTGGATATCTGTAATGGGCCAATCTGTAACACTGACCAGACTTTGATATCCCAGTAGGAAGTGCCTAGGGGTATTTATTTAAAAGTGTTATGTTCTTTGGGGCGGGAACTGTAGGCCAAGTTCAAGTCCCAACTCGGAATTTGTGTGTGTCTCTTTTGAAGGGGGGAAGGGACTCTGGAATATGAATTATCTTCACTTGTTAATCCTGAACATGCTTCTGACTCATGAGTGGCAGCAGCCATGGGAGCAGCTCCAGCCTTTCTCAGCAGATGTCACTGTTACTGTGTATGTTGAAGTATTTACAAAGGAAAAAAGAAACAAATGACTAATATAGAGTTCATATTTATCAGTTGTGCCAAATATATTTAACATTTTCTTGACTAATACTTTTTTTATATTTAAGGGATTTAGTATTTTAGACTTGAAGTGATTGCTAAATTTGGGATGGTCTAGCAGCTTCCGGTGAAGAATGTTTTTATTCTGTTTTTGTCCAGATTTAATCTGAATCATCCTCTGCTTTCATTGCTATCCTAACTTTCTGGCAACTGAAAGTTAACCTCAGTCAATTGAAAGTTAGAATCTAAGTGTGGTTCCTTCTTAGTGAACGTCTTCATGTTCCTTTAAATAGTAACTTGACTTTATTCAGGTATTCTGGGGATTTTTAGAAGACACTTTGCTTCAAAGAGATTTTTCTGTTACCTCTCTCTTTTTTAAGTAGCATAGGTTAAAATTAAATGTACTTGGTATTATTCCGTATTTCCTCACTGAAAAAAATTCTTTTAAGTAATTGTAATCAAATATTTGATAGCTCTTAATTTTTTATAATTAGGAAATTGAGTTCTAAGATAATTAGAAAAGGAATTTTTAAATGGGTAACTTTGTTTTCAGTATTGGAAATAACTTCTCAAAGCCAATTGTTTTTATCTGATTATTTGTCTTAATTATTTCTGGCATGAATTAAACTTCCATGATAAAATGTTTTGCAGGTTAATGAATCAAAAACAATTTTAAAGCTCTGCGATTTTGGGTCGGCTTCACATGTTGCGGATAATGACATAACACCTTATCTTGTCAGTAGATTTTATCGTGCTCCTGAAATCAGTAAGTCTCTTCAGCTGTTCTTTGACCTGGGCCATCATATGCAGTGGAAACAGCGTATTTAATGTCTAAGTACTGTTTTCCATCGCACTTCAGCAGCTGCTCGAGGTCATTCATGAGGAAGGGAACCGTAGCAAGTTCATCCTCCTCAGGTGGAATGGTGGTAGTTGTGACAGGAGTCTTGATCATGTCTGGCAAGAGTAGCAAAACAGTTCTGGAAAATCCTCGGCTTTAGAAGACTGCTCTTGATTACGCAAGGTCTGATTATCAAATTTATGGATTATATGGGACCTTTGTTTTTTCTCCTCCTGTTGCTTTGGTTGAGGCTGATTAGCACCTCCACCAAAGATGAAATGAGAAAAGAAATACATGTGTTCTTATGCACCACCCCCTTCAGTTCCTTCCACATTTTCTCATGTTTTAAGGTTTTTAAGAGTCTAGTAGGAATTACTGGGAAAAACATGAAGCTAATACCAGAATAAGGCATTAGGATTTCAGTTATGGAGGCCAAGCTAAATTAATCCCTTACTAATGAAAATAAATTGTAGTTGATTGTTTTTATCTGCATGTATTAAAACTCCCATTTTTATTTCAGTTATAGGTAAAAGCTATGACTATGGTATAGACATGTGGTCTGTAGGTTGTACCTTATATGAACTCTACACTGGAAAAATTTTGTTTCCCGGCAAAACCAATAACCATATGTTGAAGCTCGCCATGGATCTCAAAGGAAAGATGCCCAATAAGGTAGGATGTTAGCATGAGCTGTGTTTTTGTTTTCAGGGTCTTAGCAGTAGTTTATTGCAGACCAGTGGATTACTGATGCTTATTTATAGTGGCTATAAAACAATCTCAGAAAGGCAGGTATATGGCTACTGTGATTCCTTAGCTCTTTTTCATTTCTGCTGTTTAAGTTAGTGGTTCTAATCAACCAAGAGCTGTCAAAATAAGAGGATTTGTTTTTCCTCTTTCCTCTTCCCTTCTGATGTCTCTCTTTGCCTTTTTTACTCTTTAAATTAAGCAGGAGCGGCCTAGAGTTTGAAGTAGAATTAGAATTGAGGAAAAGAGATTGATGAGCATAAATTTGTTCAGCACCGTACATGTATAAATATATGACTGTTTCATATCTTTGTTCTTCCCTTGTTCGTTTATTGTCCTTTAATGATGGGCAGAGAAGCAGCCTTGGGAACACACCGTTTATTGATAACAGCACCAAACATGTTTGAGAGGTGGAATGAAAAAAGATGCAGGTCAGGTTAGTTCAGATGTGAAGAAGGGCTCAGTTGTCAGAGAATGACGGGGGACTGTTGGAAAAGGAACTTGATGACCTTCATTTTATTCACACTGGAAGTTATTTGGGAAAGGAAGTTACCAAGAAAACTCCCTTGAAATTGACATCTTTATAACCTAAAATTCACCCTTAATGCTCAGCCACAATAATTGTTTCAGAAATGAAACAGAAACTTGAGGTATTTATAAACCTGAGGGCCATATCTTAGACTTTGATTTCAGCTTAAATTTGCTGAACTTCTGAGAGATTACAGATTTTTCCACATATAGGTCAGAAGCCACTGTGTTTTTCAGGTACTGTCCAAATTCTATTTTGTTGGACTTGGTTAGAAGTTGTTACACAGAAATTCGCTGTGTTGGTATTTATTTTAATGAGGTCTTACTTGTATCCTCTGGGGGCCGTTGGAACATAATTTGTGAAATGTCATTGGGTTTCTTCAACTGCCAAGAGAAAGGGGCCCAAATGTGTGATATTTTTCCTTTCTAAGCACAAATTATTTTGTCTTTGTTTGATCCTCAGTTTTGAATATTGAAAGCACAATGTGATACTATAATTGATTGGTTTAAGTCACTACCTGGGAAAATAGAATTTCATGGTATAGTAGTTTTAGGCACAGCATTTCTGTTACTCTTTTTCAAAGATGTTAAACTCTCCAGAGCAAGGAATCTAAGAGATTTCCTAAACGAGGAGACAAACCTAGAGAGACTAAATTAATACATATTACATATGTTATGTATTAAATTGTTAGTAGGCCAGACTGTTCCATAATAGTTCAAAATCCAAGTTTTGTTTTGCTTTATTGCCAGATGATTCGGAAAGGCGTATTCAAAGACCAACATTTTGATCAAAACCTCAACTTCATGTATATTGAAGTTGATAAAGTAACAGAGAGGGTAAGTCTTCTTTCAGCTGTGTTATGTTAAATGATAATCTTACTGTGAACAACTGAATGCTGGGTGGTACTAGGAGCTGTGAATATTTAAAACGCCAAAAATAATTCCTTTTGCTCTTGGCCAATTCCTGAATAAAACACAATCGGGTTATGAAAAAGATGAGGGATTTAAAAATGTTTGTCTAGTATAATGAGTCTATTTTTATTATAGCTCATATTTAGGCCCTCTTCCTTTGTTCTTTGGATCATTTTCTTTCTCTGGCCTCCCATCCAGTTTCTGTCCTGCTTGCCAGAGTGATCTTGAAAACAAACCTGATCATGTTATTCTCCCTGCTTAAAATCCCTTCTTTGGGTTCCTCCCTGATGAACTCTGCCATCTTCAGCAGTTCCCACCTCCTCGCAGTACTCTGTAAACCCCACCTTGCCACATTTGGCAGCTAGCCAGAGGGCCTGCTGTGTCACACCTCCGTGCCTCTGTTCACAGACTGTTCTGACCTTACCTGCCTCCTGCACGCCCTCATCCTCAAAATAATTTATCCAACTTCAAGCCTTAGGGGAAATACACATTCTCTATGAGCCCTTCTAAAACCTCCAGATTAAAGTAAGGGCTTCTTTATTTTTGCCCCATCGTATCTGTTCTAACTTTGTCAGAGCACTTAGCCACAAACACTTTTTGGATGGGCTTGTTTCCATGTCTGTCTGTTACCACTTCAGGGTAGGGAAAAGTTTAGTTCTAACTACAGTGTTTACTGTTAATTGTTATTAAACAGTTTTTAGCTTTTCACAGACTTCCTTTCTTTTGACATTTTCTATCTTTTTACAAAATTAAATTATATTTTTAAAAAGCTGTCATTGCTAACTGGGGTTGATTTTTTTTTTTTTTCCTTCAAGTTTTTTGGTTGCTTCTTAAAAAGATGTAGAGAATGTAAGCGACGTCAAAGGTTTCTATGAGTAGATGACAATACATATATTAGAAGTTTTGATAGACCAGGGAGTCTGATTTAAGTTACATATGTTTAGTAACTCATTTAGACATACACATTTTAAAAATTATTTTTAGGAGAAGGTTACTGTCATGAGCACCATTAATCCAACCAAGGACCTGTTGGCTGACTTGATTGGGTGCCAGCGACTTCCTGAAGACCAGCGTAAAAAAGTACACCAGCTAAAGGACTTGTTGGACCAGATCCTGATGTTGGACCCAGCTAAACGAATTAGCATCAATCAGGCCCTACAGCATGCCTTCATCCAGGAAAAAATTTAAACGAGATGAAGAAGCTCCAAGGGTTTGAGTAATTAAATACAAAGACTGAAGAAATTTCACAGCAGTTTATTAATGTATATAAACTTATAAATATTTCTCCAGCAAATTTGAGGAAGCATGATATATTTGAATTAACACCAAGGGTGATATTTCTTTTAGAAATGTTAGTTAATCTGTTTTGTGTCTTATGTGAAATTTCACTGTAGAACTGTTTTAATTGCCAAGACTGCACAGAATTACAGTGCAAATGTATATGGTTGCAGTTCACATAAAAGACAAAAGCATCTGTTATCAAATGAGTAGTAATATTGGGTGGTTGATTTATTTTTAGCAAACTTGGCTTCATATTGGTCTTCAGATAAAATGGCCAGCATAAATGCTGTTTATATTCACATTTTCCTAGGTGTGTGTGTGCAGGCCACAGCAGCATGCCCTTGGTGTAGTCAGTGCCGAAGGGGGTCTGTTCCTTCTTGAGCCTGCCTGCAGGGATGGTCTCCTCTTTTAAAGCAGGTTGTGTACAACATTCAGTACACTGAAGGTAAGCTAACCCATCAACATCACTGGTGTTTTAAGATGTTATTTTATTGGAACAGTTGACAAATGAGGGATATTAGCTTTGTGGCAGAATTCCCTGCATGTGTGCTAACTGATCTCGTTTTCTTTTTTGGCATCGCGACTGTGGCATAGTTACGATTTCTGTTCTGTTCATCACATTTAAAATTTGAAGAGTGTGCGCTTGATGGATAGAGCGCCTTCAGTGTACTGTTTCTTACTAACTTTAATTTTTTAAATCAACTTGCTATAGACTTTATATACATTTTGTTAAATACAGTTCGTAGTGACAAAAAAACAATGCGTAGTTTTCATTTACTAATTACAAATGTTGAGGCCTAATTCTGAGTCCTCATATTTAAAAGTTAGACAACATAATGAAATTTTTAACTATTTGTATGTCATTTTGAAAGTGTACTGCTTTATGGTAAAAGTGTTTTTTCATTTGTTCATTGTTTTCATTATTTGTGATCATGTTGTCTTTCAATACAGGCATAAACCTTCCACTCTTGAACAAAGCAGCTGCTTTTTAAAAGCGGTAATTGCTTCTTTACCTTTTATTTCTTTTGTAAATGAAGCTTTTCTTTAAGAATGTGACTTTAAAGTGTTGTCTATTGCATAAAACAGTTGACACTCACTTATTGTAAAGTGAAGATTGTTCTACTGCATGTGAAGTGGACCATGCAGATTTCTGTATGTTCTCAGTATGCATCACTAGATAATAAAGTCTTTTGTGAACAAGGCATTTGTAGCCATTTTTAAAAGTTTTTGTCTTCAGTGCTGGTAAGTCAGGTAAACCATAAATAGTTAAAAGCAACCTTTCATTTCTTCCTTTAAGTCTTTGAAAGAATTATTTGTTAAAGTTGTAAAGCCTAGCCACAAGCTTATCATTTTATTAATAATCAGGATCCTAATTATTTCATCAGAAAAATCCTACAGATATTGTCAGCTTTCAGTGTAGTGAGATAATTCCTGTAGGTTATGGGGTATAATTCAGGATTTAACTAATATTTCTGCTATTTTCTCACTTTTCCTTCTGATGGTGCGGAAAGAGAAAAAAGGAAAACGGGGCACAGGCCATTCAACGCCTTCTCCAAGGGGTCTGATTTGCTGAGACACCAGCTTCACCTTCTTAACAAGGTTATTTCTGACAGCATGTGTAGATAAACATTTAGCCACAATTTAAAACAAAATCATGTAAATCAGCTTGGTTTTGCAACACAAAGGAATTCCGTATTTTTAAACATGGCAGGGGAGCTTTTTCAGAAATGCATAGGAGTCTTTTTTCTGTTTGGGTGGTAAAATTAATGCTTGTCTTCCTGAGCAGTGTGGAAAATAATCAGATTTTTGGGGTTAAAATAATATTTTTAAATTGTAAATGGGATTTTTTTATTCACCCAGGCACCTAATAACAACAAGCATGCACGTTTTGGTGCATTCAAGAATGGAAAATCAGAATAGCAGCATTCTTCTGGTGGGTTTTGCTCCATTTAAAGACATGAAATGAACTACAGCCAGGAAGGTGATAGATGATATAATAAGCCAACTTTGAATCTACACCCCGTCTCTTCGTGGTTTAGACTTTACTAAAATAAATACAAGGTAGTTTCCATTTTCAGGTAGAGGGAAGCCTTTTACAGAAGGCTTCACAGGTGCAGCTTTTCCACCTTAACAAAATGGGTAGTGATTTTCCCACCATGATTTACTTTATTTTGGTGATAATATGCTGCATATTCGAGTCTTTTATAGTTATTTTCACTCAAAATAGTAACATTTTGATGCTTCTGTTGATTTTCATGGCTTCATTTTGTAAAATTATTTAAGTAAGTTAACTTCCACTAGAAACAGTTCATCTTATGCCTTCAAAACTATTACGTATTCTTTAAAAAACAAAGTTGCTTGTTACTTGTTCTTTGTGTTTTAGGTGCAGTTCAGTGGAAGATGATGACAGCCAGAAGACATGAGCTAAGGTTTCTGTCCTATAAAAGATTAAAACAAACAAAAAAGAATACTCCATTTAATTTTTGTCTAATTTTTAGTTTTCAGCCTTATGATTTGGGTTTCGTTAATGTTTGGCACTTAGAGTAGTAGTGCTATTGTGGTGTTCATCTGTACATGCTTGTTTTATTGTGCTTCCTGCCTCTCCTCTCTTCCCTCCCCTACGATAAAAACAGTGGTCATTGAGGGGTAGGAAAGACTCCTGAATGGTGAGATTCCACATAAACACATGGCCATCAGAATTGGTCCCTATGGGTTATTAGGAAACTAGAAACCACCAAAACCACGTGCAAAAGAATAGCAAGTGGTATTTTAAGAACACTACTATTCAACTCCCTTAATCCTCCAGTCCCCAGCTTTCCTTTTAGTCCCTTTGTTTTTCCAAGTGCTCCAGTCATGGTCTTAAAATAGACACAATGTTTAGAACCACTGTCAGTTTTTCTTCTTAAGGGAAATGAGAGAAGTCGACGTTTGTTCCCAAATTTAGCATTCCTAGATTTGTCTATTTGAAGGGAATGTTGTAAACATTCTTTATATACATACACATGATTTGATTAGAATTGGTAATTTTGCTGATGCAGAAATTTGGAGCTTTGTAAGACCTCTCTTTGATTCTGGTCAGTTAGTGAATTTAACATACATTCATATTTCATAATAACTTGTAACTGTAGTTTTCAAATAAGTTGCTCTCTGATATAAAGCTTTTTGTTTTATTACACTTCACAGCAAAAATACCCCATGTATGTGTCAGACTTCAGGGTTCTTAAGTCTTAGGACACAACCCTCAAAAAGGTCCTACCTCTTTCTGTAGTGAAGGGGTAGTTGAGATCCAGAAAGCATATACATTGTAGAGCTTGTTCTCTACGTAGACCTTCTCAAAGGTCTCAGAAATCAGGTTGGAATATCCAGGTTTTGAAGGAAGGGAGCATCTTGTCATAAATTTTAAAGATCTTTCCAGTATTCACATTCACCCTTAAGTCCTTATTAATAGCATCCTGTTTATTCAGTCTCAGTGTATAACTCATTTCCACTTTACTACTTCAAAAATAATTCTGTATTTTTAAAATACTGTAACTTTTTCCCCCCATTATGATAACCACCTCTTTTCTCTAAAACAAATACTCAGGGCATTTCTATAGTACAAAAAAAATGTATGTGTTTTATGGTACGTGGTAGAGCAGAGAAGTGTAATGTTCTCACATTTGTTTCATATTTGCATCCTTCCTACTGTGCTTTACTTGTACTTGATGATCATTTGGTAACTGGAGCTGGCTAGGTAGAAGTAAAATCTCTGCAATGAAACAGAGGATTCACATATCTTCAAACTTAGGCCAGGCAGTTAAGGAATGCCCTTTTTAAATGGTGGAGCTAGGAAGGAAGTAGATTCTCAAATAAGTAATTTCCTTTCTTTAGTTATAATGATGTCATTAGAAATTGGGCCTCATCAAGTGTTTCTTTTCTTGTATCCTAGTTCAAGCATATATTACTCAGCACAAGTTTTATCATTCTAGATGGAATGTCTTCCTTATGGAAATGTTCACTACAGATTCATTTGTGTTTCTTTACATGTCAATAATGTACACTAAATTGACTTAAAATGTTTTCCAGTTATTTGATAGATATCATCATGGCATCTTTAATTTTTTTTTCTCCTTCTGTATGTAGGGTAAGTGACTGTTCTTCTGAAGAATCTTTCCATTTAGTGATCAAGATATGGAAGCTGGTCTCTGAAAATACTCAATGTATCTCAGTTACTCATGGTATCACTTGAATTGTAACTTGGCAGTTTAAATAGAAGCAATGTTTCCAATTATTGGGAAAACTGAATAAACTATGTCTCTTGTTACCATATTGTCTCCTGATTTTTCCTTTGCTCAAACTTGGTATTTTGTGCTTAGTTTTAAATTCAAACACCTATTTCCTACCTAAAGTTTCTTAGAAACTGTTTCACTGTTGTTCATAGATGTGCCTGAAAGGTATTCTGTGCTCAAATCTGATTGGCAACTGCCAGATTAAAGTTTGATTTAGTTTAATTACAGCCTGATTTATTTATAGGCTCACAGACTTCTGATGTGCATCGTAAATCCCAGTGAAGGGGAAGGGCGTAGAGAGAAGTTTACCCAAACCACTTGGCAGAATCTGCCTTTCACAGAAACTGCCGTTTGGAAATGGCCGAGTTAGTATGATCTTCCTTACAGGCATCAGAATACTTCTAGCAACCAAGTGCACAACACACACCAAAGGATGTTGGAATCCTGTCCTTGTTACATATATTTCTGATTTGGTTTTCCTAATAGAAATATCATAAGTAATGAGAGAACTTCTGTATTGATTTAATTCAGTTTGTTCACTGCAGATGGGGAAGGCTGGCAAATATACTGAACTCTATTCTTAGTCCATCCACTCATTTTCATTTAAGAAAATGTCTTCAGCTTTAAAACAAAAACATATAAAATGCTTAGAGGGACAGGGAGATTGAGTGGCTCTTTAATACCAAGCAGGACTGGAGGATGGAAGACTGGCCATGTGTGTGGCTGTGTGAATACACCTGACCTGGCCAACAGAGGGTTAATGACCACATGCTATTCCTCTCAAGTGACTGATGAGAGTCAGGAGATTCTGTTTTTTATCAGAGAAGGTAGTATGCAGAGTGTGTTGGGCTTGAGAGGAGGTTACTGCAAACTCTGAAGAGAAAGATGTGCTTTCTCTCATTGGGGAGATCCGAAGATTCAAGGAGGAGCTAAGAAAAGGTATCCATATATTAGAGAGCTAAACATGGGGAATTTATGAGCAACCCCACGAAGCTGAATTCAACCAAAATTTCCTGGACAGAATTAACTGTCAATTTAAATGTGTCTGTTACAAACTGCCAGATGTCTCTTCAAAATTGGTGGTAGAAGTTGGCTTTCAAAGGGGGTTGGAAAATAGCCAAGTCTTTTGACTTTGTTGGTAACTACAGTGCCCCCACCCCTCAGTGGTGAATCTTCCTCTTAGGGATAAAATAGGTAATGTTTGGCTATCATTCTGCAAGAAGAACTTAAGACGGCTACATCTTCCTATGTACATTACACCCCTTAAAGGCTCATTTTAGGGACCCCATTGAAACAAAATATTTCAGCAACTATTTTTACTAATGATCATGACATGTTAAAATTAGTACTTTTGCCTCTTACTTGAAACCTGCACTGCTGCGAATGTGTTTTTTACATGGTTACATTAAAAGCAATTAGGGACGGGAGCACGTGGGTGGCTTGGTCAGTTGAGCAATCAAATTCGGCTCAGGTTATGATCTTAGGGTTCATGAGATCAAGCCTAAGACCCACTTCGGTCTCCACTGCTGTCAGCACAGAGCCTGCTTTGGATCCTCTGTCCCCCCCTCTGCCCCCCTTCCCCTCTGCTGGTTCTCTCTCTCAAAATAAATAAACTTAAAAAATAAAGCAATTTGGGACTAATTGAAAACTGATCTGTGTTTCAGTAGCTAGCTCTTTATTTTTATATATTTTTTTTTTAGGCCTAATGGCATCCTAAAGAAATAGCCTGCAGCTCAGAGCCTGGAGCCTGTTTCAGTCTGTGACTCCCTCTCTGACCCTCCCCTGTTCACGCTGTCTCTCTCTCTCTCCTAGAAATAAATAAAACATTTAAAAAAAAATGGCCTGGTTATGTTTGCAGTAAGAAATTTGCCCTACCTCTAAGACAAGAAAGCTGAGAAAATGTCTTCTCCCACCCCCCAAATCTATTTTCTGGAACTACTGACCATGATCTTTTATCACCTCTCCCTCAAAAATACCCCCAACCTCCTGTTGCCCGTGTCCCAGTCTCACTCCCACTCCTGGTCTTAACAACCAGGGTCGGTGTCTGCGTCCCTCCATACCATGTCCCTGATGCCTGGCACATGCCTTGCAAGATGCAGGACATTAATAATCTGAGTTGTTACTCCAGTGACAGTTGATTCAGTGCTGAGGCAGCTCATTCCATTCAGTGTGCCCTCCTGTGTCTGAGGAGCCTGAAATTAAGTCCTCCATTAGAAACAACCTCAGGCTGCACGTAGTCCCAGTTCCAGGAAAAGCCTCAGCTGAAGCCACCCTGGGACCGCCCTCGGGTCTGCCAATCAAAAGCAATGTGTAACATTCCTGTAGTCTTGGAGATGAGTCAGGGCTGGGAACTGCAGGTAGTTACTTTGTACAAAATAGCCAATCATTCACCGCTTGCATAAGCCCCACATAGATCCTCTGAGCCCACCTCATAATTGGTCATTTTGAAAAGATTCTCAAAGGTCATGATTGGGTCCTGCCAAAAGTAACGGACGCCTCCCAGATACTGAATGGTCAAAACTGTTACTACGGGTATTGTACAATTATGATTGGTGCTTATGTAATGATGCAAAATGTACAACGTGTGCACGGTAACACCCCCGCCCTTACCCCATAAAAACCCTGCTTGCCACTGTTCGGGGCTCCACTTCGCTGCCGCTGCGCCAGGAGACGGGTGAGCCCCTGCTCGAGCTTGTAATAAAGACCCTTTTGTACTTGGCATCAGTACTGGCTCCTTGGAGGTCTCTGGGGACTCCCGATTCGGACATAACATGTCATTCCTGTTTTCCCTCATCTATTTTGTAACTTGCCAGGCACTTTACTCAATCCTCACATGATCATATGAAATAAAAGAACTCTATCCACCTTACCAATTAGGAAAGTGAAGAATCGAAGTTAAGGAAACTGCCTGAGGTGTATGGCTGTTAAATGGCAGAGCCAGGTTCAAACTCAGTCTGGCCATGGAGCGCCTGTAACTGCCATGTCACCTAACAGTTCTCAAGGGTGGGCAAAGTCCTTTCCATAAATACTTTGAAGGGTATCTACATGCCAGGCAATGATTGTTCGGGACACAGTGGCGAACAGAACGTGCGTGTCCCTTTCCTAAAGCTTTCACAGATAAAAATTACATTATTACAACCCTAACGGTAAAGGGATAAAATCCAAGCAGGTAAAGAAAGTAGAAATGAGAATGGGTACAAGGGCTGGCAAATAAGGCCAGACTTAAGACTTAAGTCAGAATTGTAAATATGAGTATGGGTGGGGCTCCTGGACTGTTCAGTCGTCGGTTGAGCGTCTGACTCCAGCTCAGGTCATGATCTCATGCTTTGTGGGTTGAAGCCCCACATTGGGCTCTGTACTGACAGCTCAGAGCCTGGGGCCTGCTTCGTGTTCTGTTTCTCTCTCTGCCCCTCCCCTTCTCATGCTCTGTCTCTCTTTTACAAATAAACATTAAAAAATAATTTTTTTAAATAATGAGAGTAAGGGTGATTGAGAGGGGAAACGAGACCATTGCAAGCTGGAACAGAGTGAAAGCAGGAGTCCATTTTTGTATTCTATCAAAGGCAGGTTCTACCACGTTGGATAATGACACCAACTGTGTGGGATTTAGGAAAAATTCTGTATATGACCAGGGATCCTGAACAGTTAATTTTCTATTGCTGTGTTGATACAGTTTCAGAAAATTTTTGGAAATTAATCTAAAAGCCAAGCATACTCTCTGTGACCTCTGCTTCTAAGCAAACTCCTTGAGCCTTATTCTTTGACTACAAATAGCACAGAGGAAACTGAAGCTGCAGTTGCTGTCTTCTGCGCATATTTGAATCGTCCTGAAAATCCACCTCCCTGTCTGGATCTCAGATGTTATTTCATCTTACTGTGAGGAGATGCCTCACCGAAAAGTAACATCAACTGCCTTGGCAGGGAGTTGGGAGCAGGGACAGGCCTTTAACTTCTTGTTTCCCTTTGGGTAACTTTCAAAGTTTTAATCCCGTGTTACCTTTTTAAATGTTTAAGAAAAACTCATTTGAATTCACCAGCCATCAACCGAAAACCAAAGCACATGATCCTCCCCCCGGCCCCCCAAACCAACCAACCCTGAGCTATGCACTTTGCATCAATTTTTTCCTTTACAACGTTTTTCAAACTGGGGCGCAAGAGAACCACCTGCATTAAAATCACCTGGGAAGTTTATCAGGCAGGTCCCTGCCCCCACTCTCAAAGAGTCTGTGTCTGTGTGCCTGAGATAGAACCCAGGACCCAGCACTTTTGTTTCCCTGATTCTTAGGTTCAGTAAGGTGTGTTGATCACATAGTCCCCCCACCTCCAATCCCCCTCACACACACTATTTATAAGAAACTTTAGGGGCGCTGGGTGGCTCAGTTGGTTAAGTGTCCGACTTCGGCTCAGGTCATGATCTCACGGTTCATGGGTTCAAGCCCCGCGTCAGGCTCTGTGCTGACAGCTAGCTCAGAGCCTGGAGCCTGTTTCAGATTCTGTGTCTCCCTCTCTCTCTGACCCTCCCCTGCTCACGCTGCCTCTCTCTCTCTCGCTCAGAAGTAAATAAAACATTAAAAAAAAAAAAGAAAAAAGAAACTTTAGCTGTTTGAGTTTCAAGTAACCAGGGTTAAGACTTCCAGCAACAAAGAACTTTGAGGAAAAGTTCCACTAACATGAGATTTTGAATGCTCTTCTAGACAGTAACCTCTTCTCATTTTTCCTTTGACATTTTAAAACTACTTGGTCTGAGAGGAAGAGGGTTGTTTCATGCTTACAATTGTACTTAGGTTCCAAAGGAACTGATCTTGCTTTCATGTGTATGACAAAGGACCTGGGAAAGGAACATTTTTTAAGATTCACAGGAGGACCCAGGGGCTCTCACATATTAACTAAATCACAAGTATTTTAGCTTTTAATGGTCAAGCAAATACTCAAAAGATTGGTCAAAATGATAGACAAAGAAGATTTGTAGAAATGGTAAAGGAAAGAAAACAGGAACCAGAGTGGGAAGAACTAAAAAGAAGTAACTACACTCTTCAAATTATAATAGAACACAAAATATACCAGCAATAAGTCGATTATAGCATTTATTGATGATGGAATTACACTGGGAAACAATCACAGCAAAAGAGAATATTCTTTTGAATAGAATAGTTTACTAGGTGAAACATCCCTTTGAAACATAACATGCAAAAGATTGTCAAATGTGTCAGTATGGAAGCCCTTGGATTTATATTTACACATCTCAGCAGTGATTTTTACAAATTGCACTCCACATCATATCAAGTTACTCGTGCATGTGTGTAATACCCGTATCTTGGAATGATGAGCCACATTTTAGCCAAGCTTCTTGGAAACAAATTTGCTCACATTGAGAAGTATGAAAGAAAAGTTATTTTTGGTCTATGGGTGAACACTTATCCTTAGCTGTAAAGGAAGGCGATAAACAGTTTAGCTTCTGAATATAGAATGGTCTGTTCAGTGCTATGGTTTTTTGATAAAGTTTCTTTTTGGTCCTTGGTGCCTTAATTTCTTCTCTCTGATTTTCGGGAAAAGACAGAGGTATACATGAGACTGGTATTGGAGACTTTGGTGGCAGACATCTTGCTGAGACCGTTTTAACCAAAGATTGAGTTGTTTGGGAAGTAGTAGGCTTGGTTGAGAGTTCTTGGCATGGATTTAAAATGGAGCTTTTGAAATTCCTAAAGTCATCACAAGTTGGAATCAGCTGTTTGGTGGTAGATGAACTTTTTAGAGATGTTGGTCTAGGATTCCATTTATATTTGCCAGCATCACTCCAATTCCATTTTGAAGCATTTTGTTCCAGCTTACAAAATCCAGAATTGCTTTTTCTTCTTTCACGACTTTTATCTACACAAGTTGTCTGAAGACTCAAAGGGTCCGAAAGTCTGGGCTGTCTCACTTTGGGTATAGCTTTGGAGGAAGAGGGTCGTTCAGCAGCTGCCGGAGTACTGAAGGTAGTTTGTAGTCTGGGCCTCTCTTTTTGGATAGTCATGTGTTGTAATCTTTCCATTTCAAGTAAACGAGTTATCAAACGTTCAACAGAGCTTTCTGGAGGTTCCACTGTTGTTTTCCAATTTTCAGATTTTGAGAGGGCTAATTTGTGCAAGTCCAGAGTATTGAAAGGAGAAGGGAGAAAATCAGGATATGGAAATACTTCACTTGGTTCCTCTGTGAAAGATTCCTCAACATTTACTATTGTTTCTGGCTTTAAGTTCAGGTCCATCTTTTTAAAATAGCTGAGCAAACTATCACTTGCTTTTTCATTTTCTGATAAATCACTTTCATCTGTTAAGTTTTCTTCCACAGTGCTGTTTCCATATTTCAAGTTCCAATTTGGAGCAGGTAAAGTTTCACCACTGTTGTTTTCTATAGTTGAACATAAACTAACATAAGGCTCATTACTGTCCTTAAAAAAGTCTCCATCAGCATAGGGCCAGCAGAGACCCGATGGTATCTGCAGTCCAGGGTAAGAACCAACTTGCTTCTCAACTGAAACACTTGTTACAAGTGAGTGGTTCAGAGTGAAGAGCCTTATGGGATTACTGGTTACATTAAAGCCAGTTTCCACTGAAGATTTTTTGAAATCCCTTTAAAAAATGATTTGGTTAATGAATGGTTTGTTGACTAGAATTAAAATGCTATTAAAATGATAATCAAGAAGTAAAATTATCAAAGTCTGGTTAATGTTTAGTTTCCAATGGCCTATCTGTATCTATCTGTAATTGATAGATGTTAATTTCCAAATATGCTCAATTACGTAAAACTCTATACATGTTTAAAAAGTATAGATTAGACTATTAACTGGACATCCCTTTGTGCACACACATGCAACCAGATCATTATACCCACAAATGGCTGTGTCTATGAATGGCCACTGGATTGAAAGTGGTTAATTATATCTATTTGTCTATGAATATATTGTATTTGCACTGATGATGTCTGAGAAGGGGGTTATCCAACTCAAACTGAAACTGCATTGAAATGTTTATGACCCAGGATGAAATAAAAAGAAGCTCAAAGAATGTAATTAGGTTACTCAATAAAGCCTTCTACATTAGCCATTGTGGTTTTAAAAAAATTATGCACATATAAGGGGCACCTGGGTGGCTTAGTCGGTTAAGCGTCCGACTTTCGCTTAGGTCATGATCTCGCGGTTCGTGGGTTCGAGCCCCGCGTCGGGCTCTGTGCTGACTGCCGGCTCAGAGCCTGGAGCCTGTTTCAGTCTGTGACTCCCTCTCTCTCTGACCCTCCCCTGCTCACGCTGTCTCTCTTTCTCCTAGAAATAAATAAAAACATTTTAAAAAAAATTGTGCACATATAAAAGGAAACAAAACAATGTTTATCAAAAATTATCCTGGGGCGCCTGGGTGGCTCTGTCAGTTGAGCGTCCAACTTCGGCTTAGGTCATGATCTCACAGCTTGTGAGTTCGAGCCCCACATGGGGCTCTGTGCTGACAGCTCAGAGCTTGGAGTCTGCTTTGGATTCTGTGTTCTCCTTCCCTCTCTGCCCCTCCCCTGCTCACACTCTGTCTCTCAAAAATGAATAAACATAAAAAAAATTTTTAAATTATCCCATAGTTAAAAAAAAAAAAGAAGGAAACCATACAGTTTTTAAAAAATTATCCCATAGTAATTTTCACCTGGAAGTGCTCTTTTATTTTATGACTAATTCTTCTAGGTATTGTATTAGAATAAGAACTGCAAAAGAGCCAGGCCATACAACACTAAGTTTATAATAGTTTTTTTTTTTAAAGCTTACTGGAAGTACTGACTTTGAAAGAGTTGAAGCATAAATTGACATATATAGTCTCATTATCTTCTTGCTTCTTTTAATGTCAGTTTATATTAAAGACAGCAAAGTACTCTTGAAAGATTTTGAAAAATACTTTCATTTCTATGGAGAATAGTAAAAAGTTATTCCTTTACCTTAATATTAGTTATACCGACTTGCCTTCGTAAAATCACAGGAAAGTCACCTGAGATCTACGATTCACGACAGACATGTTTAGTGAAGAGCATGGAATCTGGGAGTGAGAACCTAGGTCTGAATCCCTTTGCCACCAGTGAGCAGAATGCTAAGGACAATACTGACCTTGAGGTGGTCTGAGAAGCTAATTACATAAACGTACTTTGCAAAATGTTAAACCCTAAATAAAAGATATTCCTTTATTCTCTTCTTGATGGCATATCGAGGAGAAAAATCTCAGTAATAAACTATTTCACTGATCCTGGGCTTCCAACTCTGCAACATCTTAGACTTTCCCAGTATTCATAGCAAATATCAAACACATTGTTCTGGTTAGTCCCCAGGAGATAGGCACTTTTATTGTCTACCTTTTACTGGTAAGGAAGCCAAGGCAGAGTGGTTAAGGTTACACATGTGGTAAGTGATAGAGCTGGGATTTAAATCTGAGTGGTGGGACCCGAGGTCTGTAATCCTTTCTGTTTCCTAATAGGTGTCATCAAGCTGTTAATAGTTTGATAAGAGAACACACTGCATGCTTCTCAAAAATGCTGGCAGTGTCCTCATAGGAGAGACATTGGGTCAAGAAACTTTGTGCTTTTTGTCAGACTTTATCCACAGACATGAAAAATTACGTATTTGAGCTTGTATTAAAGTGTTCTTAATATTAAGTTTATCCTAAAACAAATATTGTTTTAGAACTTGTCTGTAATCCTACTCACCACCGCCCTCTACTGACTCAGTTTATATTTGCTCTGTGTTAGTATGATCCAATTCATTTCATTTCATTTGACCTCTTACCTTGAAATCTTTGTTGACAGCTGAGCTCTTTCTAGTAAAAGTAGCCTTTCTGTCCCACTCAGTACCGACATTGCCTTAGGGCATTAGTCACTAGGGTCCCTTTAGCACTTCTTGGATTCACACCTCAAATTTCAGTTTAGGTGGAGTTTTATCCTGAGCCTCACAGAGGTAAAGTCCTCTGACTGGGAGATGGCTATCAAGTGAGCCATCCCACTGTCAAAACTGGGCAAAAACTGAGGAACAGAACTCAGGATCTTCATGAAACAGCACACTATATATAAAAGTGATCCAGCGCTCAATAAACGTAATCTCCACATAACAGTAACCTGTGTTTGTAAGAAGTGTTCTAGCTGGTTCTGATGCACGCTAAAGTTTAAGAACCAAAAAATAAGTAAGGTCTGAGAAGTTATATACTGTAGTGCTTATGAGCATGAACCAAGATCTTCTTACAACCTATTTCTACCATTCCATTCATTGTATGACTTTGGGCAAGTTACACACCGTGTCGCCCTGACTCAATGTTCTCATCTGTAAAATAGGGATGCTGACAAAGTACTTTATACATAAGGGATGGAAATCATTCCTGCTCCATGGGCTATTATTTTCCTATTACAGTTCTTTTTCCCTTCATTGAGAAGCCCAAACTGTATCCATATAAACTCTCATTTAAGGGCACAGAAATTCTTAATTGTCCATACATTGATGATCCCTGGGTGTAAGCCAGCCACTTCCTCGTTTAGGGTGCATTTCTATAACTCCCCCGTATTTGCACACAACACTTTTTCTTCAGGTTGTTTTTCTTCTTAAATATATTTTGCTAATTAAGGAGTTTACAAAAATAAACATTTTCTCACCTGTTCTCCATGGTACTTCCTTCATTAAGAGGATAACTCCATAACTGAAATATCCCTTGCTTGCTATTCTAATAACAGAAAAACCATGGACAACATTTTAGTAACTGCATGCATTAAAAAAATGTTTTATGAGTATGATGAATAAAATCCCACCTGTATTATTGTATTGAAAAAATATATTATAAAATATTAACTTAATGACCAGTTTGCAGCCCTGAAGAACAGAAAAGGCTGACTTGTTTGAAGAACTCTACAGAAATGAAATTTGTATTTTTAAAGAAAGAAATTTTTTAATGAGCATACATATAATTTTAAAATAATGCTTTGTGAATTATTTAAAACCAAACATCCTTACCTTGTTAACCGAACCTGAAAGAATGTGTATGGGAAAAAATGACAGTTAATAGTTACATAAAACTGGTTGATTTAAAAACAAACCCCCTTTAATATGTGTTTATTTGTATTATAAGTAGGAACATAAATTTTCAATGTTTATAAGTATAAATACACACATATAGGATTTCTTACCACCAGCTGCACTATCCTTTCCAGGTGGGAGATTTTTATTTTCAGGAACAGGTACTTCTGAATCCAAATTCCAGTGAGACAAGTTCTAAAACAATATTTGTTTTAGGATAAACTCAATGTTAAGAACACTTTAATACAAGCTCAAATACGTAATTTTTCATGTCTGTGGATAAAGTCTGACAAAAAGCACAAAGTTTCTTGACCCATTGTCTCTCCTATGAGGACACTGCCAGCATTTTTGAGAAGCATGCAGTGTGTTCTCTTATCAAACTATTAACAGCTTGATGACACCTATTAGGAAACAGAAAGTCTTTTACAATAATTTATGGCTTCATTCCCATTTTGTTAAAAATAATGACACACAGGTTTTCAAAATTGACTTTAAAAATATCCAGTTCCGTGTGTCCCTGGTACACAATGGCACACTGGCCAAATTTTCTGTATCTGAACATCAGATCTGATATCCTATAAAATCTTTCCATCAACCAAAGAAAATTCTCTAATCCTCACATTGTGCTCAAAACTGACCAGCCCACCAATCATTCTAGACTCCAGATATTGAAAAAACACTCAGGAAATATATTCAAAAGCAAACCAAGAAATGAATAGGGAAAGATACTGATATGTACTGAGTATTTATGTTTCAGAAACTTTGCTATGCCATGGGGGTGGGGAAGAATGTGGGGTGTGTGTAGGAGAGGATTGTACAAGTTATCTTGGAATAGGAAACATCAGGAGGTGAGGAATTTATTTTAAAAAAGTAATCTTTTACGAGTGAACGCAGTTGTTTCCTATCTCAAAATGAGAAAACCCTTTGTAAATTAAACTCTAAGCAATACACAAATAAAACGTTAGGTGTCATCCCCAAACTAAAAGAGGAACAGGGAGAATAAGCTTAAATACAGTCTGAAGGTTTAACTGGCCCACAAGAAAATTATCTCCTGACAGGAAGGGTAGTTGAACATTGGGAAGGTAGCCTGCAGATTATCTTTCTTTGGAGGTTAATTCCCTCCTCCCTGAGATAGCATGTAATTAGGTCTAGTATTTACTTTAGTCTCATCTGAGGACCTTTTAAAAAATAATACTTGAAAAAAAATTACCACAAGTTGTGACTCAGTAGGATAAAGGTAAGCCTCAGTTGTTTGTATTTTTAAAACCTCCCTGACAGATTCTCAGGCTTCTTTCTGCTCTGTGATTCTGGTCCACTAATGCACAAGTGAACATGTGAGAGAAATATCCTTACAGTGACACCTTAAACGGAAGCTGTTAATTGTGATTGAAGTCATCCAATAAGATTAATATAGGAGCGCCTGAGTGGCTCAGTAGCTTAAGCGTGGGACTCTTGATTTTGGCTCAGATCATGATCTCAGGAGTAGTTAGAGCCCTGGGATGGTGAGTTAGAGCCCTGTGATGTGCTCGTGCTGACAATGTGGAGCCTGGTTTGGATCCTCTGTCTCCCCATTCCCCTTTTTCTGTCCCTCCCCCGCTCACACCTGCACTCTCTCTCTCTCAAAAATAAATAAACTTTATATATTAAAAAAGATTAATATAACTCAATTTGTCAACTGATAAGGAATGCTATTAACACCGCACGATGTCAACAGGATTGCAAACTCCTTACAGGTTGGGAACTGATTACCCTTTTTGATACCCTACCTGCCTTACCAACACTTTTCACAAAATTATGTGTGAGAAGATTTTACAAGGTGAGCACAGCCTGATCGATCAAGGTGGCATCTTTCACGAAGCCCAATTGCAACAGGAGGCGTGTTGAGATTTGGAGGGAAGCTGGTGAATTTCTCCTTCATTGAGAGAAATAACAATTTTTTCCTTTGCTATTATTGCAAGTTCCCAAGAGCAACACCCCGCACAAACCGCTCACAATGAGAAAGCAGCAGGAGTCTCAGCAGGAAGCATCAGCGGAAGCTCGGTCTTAGCAAAGGGAGCTGCCCCAACGCTCAGGTCACCGCCACAGGCCGTACCTCGTGCGAGATGCTGGATGCACACGGGATGGTGCCACTGTTCTCTCCATTTCTTCTCCCCATTCTGCATCTCTGTTTCCTTAAAATCCTACACAGGTCGTGGGACAGGCACAACAGATGGGTAAGGTCAACAGTGATTTTTTTTTTTTTTAAGCTTGTGTTTTGGCTCCTCATCTAAAGGATGTTACAAAAATCTTTAGAATGCAGAGCAAAGGCACTATGAGGACAGGGGAGAGGTAACAATAGGAAATCAACCAGAAATAAGGGGAAGCCAGACCCCTCCCCCTTAAAAAAGGCACAGACAAAGCAAATTCTAAGATCTGACAGAAGTTTAGGAAATTAAGATCTTAGGTGAGACAAGAAACATATCAGATAGAAAGATAAAATACAAATTAGAGGAGTGCCGGGGTGGCTCAGCCGTTCAAGCATCTGACTCTTGATTTCAGCTCAGTCATGATCTCACCGTTAGTGGGATTGAGCCCAGTGTCAAGCTCAGCACTGTCAGCTCAGACTCTGCTTGAGTCTCTCTCTCCTTGTCTCTGCCCCTCTCTCATTTGCACTTTCTCTCTCACTCTCTCAAAAGAAATAAATACACTTAAAAAATACAAATTAGAAAAAATACGATCAATTATCTGGAACTCATAAAACAGGACCAGGAACTCCTTGGCTCTTCATTAGGCAAAACATGACACGTTTGAAAGGATATATCTTATTACAGACACCCTCCTGCCCCATGGCCATGCATGTTTCGGGGACACTATAAGGCCCACAGGATGAAACACTATTTTCCATACCCAACTATTATGATATCTAAGCCCGCTGCTGTCTAAGGTAGAAATATCAGAGAACCAGAAGATAACAGATAAACAATCACTGGGTTAAAGTATGACTATGTTGGAAAGAATCACAAATTAAAGCCACCGCACTAATCAGTATATTTGCTAATCGTTTACAATTTATTGTCTCCTAGAAGAAGAGGCTATCCTGAAGATATAGACACTACAGTTCAGGTCAGCAGCGATCCATCTGCTCTAGGCCGGGTCCTGGGATGCAACAACGAAGGAAGAGGAAGGAGTCTGCTGAATAGGTGGCGCAGCCTGGGGACACCCAAGTTTGTGCCACGGAGGAGGACCTGGGGCGCCTGGAAAACGCGGCCGCACCTGGAGAGAGACTAGGGGGCCTCTGTGACCAAGGGTCGGGTAAAGGAGCCTCGGGACAGGAGAGCGGGGAGAGAGGTGCAGGTGGGAGACACAAAGCCTTCGAGTGAGCTACCCTTCCTGACCCTTGCTTTCCAGGGCGGGGGGCGGCTCGGTCGCGGTCGCGGAGCAGGGGGACCACAGGTGGGGGCTCTCGGGGGCGTCCGGGGCCGCGGCTCTTACCCCACGGCGCCGCAGGCCCACGTGTCGTCGTCAGCTTCGTCTCCGAAGGCGCTGCCGCAGCGCGGCCCGGGCCCCTCCGCGTGCGGGGCGAACGGCTTGACGGGCGCCCCCTTGGACTCGGCCTTCCTGCAGCGGGAGGACAGGGAGGGCAGCGGGCGGCGGGCGGCCACGAGCGCGCCCCACTCGGCGCTGCAGGGCCTGCAGGGCGCAGGGGCCCAGGCCGGGCCCAGCGAGGCCAGCCTGGGCTGGGGCTGCGGCTCCGCGGGCCTCCGCAGCGGCCCGGTCGCCCGGCAACTACCGTCGAGCGGGGGCGTCCGCGACGGCCCCGCGTTCCACCCGGGCCACCGGTATTCGGGGGCCGCGGGTCGGTCGGGAGCCGCCAGGGCCCGGAGCCTCCTGGGGGTAGCCAGCCCTCCAACCCCGCGGAACAGGCCGCGCCGCCGGGGCAGGGCGAGGAGTCCGGGCCCCTGCGCCCCTCCACGCCTCCTCGGGGGCGGCCCAACCCACTCGGCCATCGCGGGAAGAGGGGCCGCCCCGGGCTCCTCACGGGCGGAGGTCACGGCCGCCGGGACTTGACCCGCCTTCCCCGGCCCCGCCCTGACCCTGACCCTGACCCCGAGCTGAGAGCTCGAATAAAGCCCGGGGGCCGGTCGTGTTGTGCGCTAGACCAAGCTAAATATATATGTTATGTGCATGGATCTATGTACAGTTCTACGGATGCTTATAATACGTAAATTTAAATAATTAAAATGGAAAAAGGAAGGAATCCCAGCTGAGAGCAAGCCCACCTCTGCGGTTCCAGATCAATCATTGGTCTTAAAACAGGAAGAACAGAAGCTGATTTTTTTTTTCTATCTAAGATACGTTTAGACGATAGGAGGCCAGTTTGGCTGTCCAAATTCATATCTCTTACTTGAGTTCCGTGAAATCGATGTGTGGTGTAGGGGAGAAAGGAATATATATGCATATATATGATATGGATATATTATTATACATGCATTATTATGTATATACACATATAACATGTAAATATGTAAGTGAATATTTACATATTTATGGCTGATATATGTGTATAATTAAATGAATATTTAAGGATATATATGTATAAGTTAATGTATAAGAATATATAAAGATATATGTGTATAAGTAAAGGATATTTAAAGAAATCAGAAATATTCTTTATAAGAAAGCATTGACATTTGAAGAAGACATTTTTGCAATCCTTTGCTAATGATACTATTGCGTTCTGTTGGGTTGAACATCCAACTATAGATTCAGACATCAAAATGTCTTTAAGCATCTAAATGCACTGGTTCTTAACATTTGGTGGGAAGAGAATGCATGCTCTTTTGAGAGTCTTCCCAGAAAATGCACATATAAACCAGATGTCCAACAGAATTTCAAGGGTTTGTCGGCCCTTGGACCTCCCACCTTCACCCTCTGCCCAGAGGTGTCTGTCTACTTCTTCTGCATGTCCATTTTCCTCTCAGAAAAGCCTTCCCTGACTCAGCTTTAAGGAAGCCTTCCCACCCACATTACTCTTTCATAACACCCTATTTTTATTTTTTTTCTCTGGAAGCCTCACAGTCTTCTTCATCTTGTGTGTTTTTCTGTTGCCTGTCTCTTCCCAGTAGTGTACAAAACTCTGTGAGGACAGAGGCCTTGCCTGTCTAGTTCACTGATATACTCTGTCACTTTAAAATTGTGCCTAGCACGTAGTAGAAGGACAATAAGTATAAGAGAATGAATATAAGATTTGCATAGGCCTCCTTGGAAGTCTCCCTCTTCGGCTCTCTCCTCCTTCAGACTGTTTTCCTTCCTGCTGATATAAAACATAGACCTGCTCTTATGCCCTCCTAATCCCAAAGAATGAGGTCCAAATTCTGTAGCCAGGCTTTAAGTATCTGCTTATCACTCCCGATGGCTGCATGTCCAACACCTCAGACATTTTGCATTTTCTGAAACACTCTCTCTCCTCCAGGACATAGATCATTTTTCTTTTCCTTTAATAGGTCCTCCTTTTTTTCCCCTCCTCCCCTTTCCTGCCTAGTTAAGTCCTATCCATATAAATCTGGCTCCCAAATAATTTTCCCTGACCCCTCAGGAAGACTAAATTGCTACCTCTTCCAAGATCCCTCATTTGGGTTATTCTGATTCACTTACAATTCCCTACTCACTGTTACATTATAATTATTCATTTCATTCATATCTCACTCACTATCTTTTCAATGCCTTAAAGGCAAAGCCTGGCCTTATTCTATCTGGCCTTGTCCCTGGCATATAGTAGGCACTCAATAAATATTGGAATCAATTTAATTACTCCACAAATAACATTTGCTAGAAATAACACTTGCTAGGATATGGTACCCATGTGGCAGGCATAATGCTGAACATTTTATATAGATTAACTAATTTAATACTTTTAGCAACATGATGGGAATAGTCACTCCTATTTTATAAATGAGTAATCTGAACTTTAAATATATTGCTTTCCCAACTTACAATTACTTGAAAAGTAGTGAATTGGGTAAATATTGGGGTCCAGGTACTCCCAGCTGATACTTTCTACAAATATATCTAGCTGGGAAATGGTTTTTTTTCTGCTGTTTGGATAGGAGACAAAAATGATGTGTGTATATGTGCATGTGTGCATGCCTGTCACTTTTCTAGCTCACACACCTCCTGTTTTCCTTGTTTCTGCTTGTTTCTGTGCTTTCCTTTGGTTTCAGAACATGAATTGTTTCCAGATCCCTTCACCTCCCTCTGAGATTTGTCATCCTTAAATACCTCCTCTAAGATTCTATTTTTTTTCCTTGACAGAACATATTCCTAAAAACCTTCATATCAATTTGACTCTTCCTCCTTTCTCTGGAGACTTTTTGAATGCTTCCATATCAGCATAAAAGTCATGCCCCCTCCCTATAACTTGTGGAATTGATAAAGTTTTTTTTTTTAATATTTTTTAATGTTTTATTTATTTCTAGGAGAGAGAGAGAGAGAGCATGAGCAGGGGAGGGTCAGAGAGAGAGGGAGTCACAGATTGAAACAGACTCCAGGCTCTGAGCTGGCAGTCAGCACAGAGCCTGACGCGGGGCTCGAACCCACGAACCGCGAGATCATGACCTAAGCGAAAGTCGGACGCTTAACCGACTAAGCCACTCTGGAGCCCCAATAAAGTTTTTAGTACTACAGCTTTATAACTATAGTGACGGCAGAGTCCCTGGACACTATCTATGGGGGAGGCCCCAGTCTAGGTGGTGAGGAGACACGAGAAAGAGAAAAAGTAAGCATGAAATGACATGGTAGTGTGAAATCTAAGGGAAACAGCTAAGTGAATCAGACCCTCTCCAAACCCTTGAGTCTGATTTGGCTCAAGTCCAGCCTTGGGAGCGAGGGGATTAGTTGGACAATGGACTGTTCTCCATAGTGGGTCGGGCACAGCTCTGACATCAATCTTTAAACCAACAGAATGCATTTTCCTTATAGGCCTTGGGATCAAGGCCCCTCCGGGAATTCAGATTTTAGTGGTAGCATCAGACTTGCCTTACTTTAACACTTGTTTCGCTAATCCAGTGAAGGAAGGTAAGGGAGATGTTCTCTGTCTCATGGCACTTAACAAGCTCTTACATTCATTACAATGGAGGTGGTCTGAATTGGTAGAAAGAAGGGACGCCTTGGACCAATCACTTTGCAGCTAAGCATGAATTGCTGATCACCTCAGTTTCCCCTACTATGACAAAAGTGACAATTTCACCAACAGAAAACTATTTTGGAAAACACTTTGATATACATTCCTTTTTGTCATCCAGGGTTATGCAAAGAAATGCCAGTGACACCACTGCTTAGCTTCTAATTATTCTGCAGGGAATGCCCTCTATTTCCATTCACCTCTTTCAAGACCGTTCATATTTTTCCATTACCTGTGCGTTTGCCTCCACTTCCCTTTATTCTTCCCTGCTGTATGGTCAATGTCGTGGCTGGTTATTTATTGTAGTGGAATCTTGTTCAGGGTAATTATGTAAATATTTTCAGAAAGTCAAGGCCATATTTTCTAATTAATAATATGCATTTTCATTCCCAAGAAAAGAAGATGCTATTCAGTGGGAAACATTTCAATTCAATTATGGGCAATTTGTATTTAGCGTGTGATTTAGATAATGAGTCCTTTGCCTCCCCTTCTCACCAGCTCCTACTTTCTCTTTCAGCCATGGCCAATTACATTCATCCCCAACTTAGGACTCCATTTCTGTGAGCACTTACCTTCCATGTCCTAACTTTCTTGGATTTGTCTAATTCCTTTATAGGAAATAATGTATAAAAATATTTTTTTGCTTAGAAGTTGTATTTTTCTTTTAAAAATTAACCTTGAATGCTTTGCTCCCTTCTTTGGGAGATCACCATTTTGTTGCAAAAACAGAACAAATCTTGTTTAAAACCTATTTATTCTAAGAATGAATGTGATAATGGTGCCTAGGAATATATCTCTAAAAGCTAAGCATGTATCTTAGCAAATTCTACACCTGCATATATCGCATCCTTACCATTGAATAGATACATTCTCAATCATATATGTCAACCTATATTTAGATTTTCCTGAAATACTTGATTTCTGCAGTTTGCACAGCTTTATGGCTTCCTGTCCTTCAGATGCCTGTGCTCTGCAATGTGTTTTCTTAGCCTTGTATCCCAAATGTACTTCGAATTTTTAAGTTTCCAGAGCAGGACTTACTTTCTGGCGCCAGGAAAGCTGTCGCTTGGGTCCTCATTCTGGTAGTTGGAGCCCTCCCACCTCATTTGCTTTGAACGGAACACTCTCTTTAGAACGCTTTCTTTAAGAAACTTGGAGATGATCTTTTCCCTTTGAACATTACTGAATACTTTGCCTTCTGGAAGCCAGCTGATCTTGTCACATCCACCATGGCAGAGGGGAAGGGGAAGATGTTCGGGAGACACAACAGCCCTCTTTGGAACAAAAAAAGGAATTGCCGTTTACCTAAAAGTCATGAATAAGAAATCAGCCTAACTAGAAAAACAACCCAGAGTCCTGCAGGTGCTGTGCTGTGGGATCAATTTAGTTAATAATACAGTGCTACTACCTGAGCGGCACACCTGGCCCTTCATAGCAACTCACCATCACAATAAGAAAGAAAGGGAGCACTGGCTTAGGAGGATTCTTTCTCAAATTTTCTTTGAGAAGATAATCATATAATACAACTGTGGTTTTGGAAATGTAGATGTATGGACCATGGAAGAACAGAATTGGAAATAAGTCGAATTCAAAACAAGATACAAAAAATAGAAGGATGTTTCATCAGAGGACATTAGTTCTGTAGGGTGGGACCTGGCTGGCTGAGATCAAGATCACACAGCTAGTCAGCAGCAGGAGGGCACCAGCCTCCAACTGCTGACCCTGGTCCTGAACGGTATTCTTTCCATTGCATCACAAACAGAGAAAGTGAATGAGATGGATTCCTTGAAGAAGTCTTATCCATTGCAGAAGACATTTATCCATCAGAGAGTTTATTTAAAAATAAAATATAATCATGTGGTGTACTTCTGATTTCAGCGAAGGTCAATAAGCCAAACAACTGGAAACATTCCATCAGTTGCTATTTAGAGCAATGATTAAGAACATATGGTGGGATGAGGAGTACAGTACAAGGAATATAGTCATTGGTATTATAATATCATAATATATATATGGTACTATAATACCATATTTACATGCAATATATCACCTCCTTGGCCTGTTAAATAACTTAAAACATGGTTTGTTCTTTTCAATTTATGTAAATAAATACTTAGTGTAATATATTCAAGTTTGCTTGGAAGAAAGAAGTCACCTATTGAAATATCCTACCCCCCTCACTTCCACAAGCTCCCTTCTGTCCCCAAAACCATCCATGAAATCATGAGAATCACATTGTATTCGAGTGATTCTGATTCTCTAACATATTTTAAATATATTTGAATTATACCCTTTTGTTTATGTTTAAAAGCCTTACTTTTTAAGTTTGCAAACTTAAAATTAATTTGAAAGTTCAGAAATAAAATTCTGTATCTTCTGCTCTGGGCACTAATGTATGATATGATATAACCATGACGCTTCTGTGGTCCTGGCCAAAGGCTTTGAAGTTTGGTAAGAAGCTAGCAAACACTGCCAGCTGTCTTGCAGCATGCTTGGCTCATATGGACCTCCTTGTTTCTGATCACTTTACAGTGCGCTTACCAGCCAGTTCATGGGATACAGCAAAATGGTGACTCTGGCTCAGATGGCTAAGCATGCTGAGATTAAGGAGTAGCTAGAACAACCCTTATTATTTGCATTTTGGCCTCAAATCTGGGAGAGGAGTTCTTGACACCTACCTTGCTCAGGGCTATGCTATCAAGTGTGGTGGGTTAAGATCATTTAGTACTTCTGCTCTGGGCCCACAGTGAGGACTGGCTTCTGCCAGTACAGCTAGAATGGAGCATTTTGTTGACTCTGTTACTTTGGATAAGAGAATAAGAAGCAGGTTGGCCTCTTACCTGGGTTAATCTGGACATTTCCTCAGCTGTGGGCAATGAAGCTCTTCGCTCAGTTCAGCTCAAGGACTGTGTTGAGGTAATCACGCTCCCTCGGGGCCTAGTAGGTCTGCAGAGTCTCAATTATGTACACACAGAGTTCATGCATGGCCTCCATGAAGGGCCAGATAGAAAAACAACACTGGATGTGTGCACACTGGCTTCCCCTCTTCCCTTTAGGAAAGCACTCTGTTTGCCTCAGCTGTTGTCCGTGTTCAGACGGGAAACAAGTTTCTGCCTGAAATCCCTGTAAGACTTGGCAAGATATTTTCAACAGGCTGATTTCCTAGTTTGAGGACAAGATGAGCACTCAGGGTTCCAGGCTAGATCTGAGCCATTGTGACTCTCAGAATGCCAAGCGATCGGAGACCAGAAAATAGATTCCATGATACCTTCTCCGAGATGGAGGAAGGTGTGGAGAAAGACCAGCTGTGGGGCACTCCACCCTTCCAACTCCTTATTTGTTCTTTGTAACTCAGTGGGTCATCATGGGGACAGCTGAGAACAACCACATTGTACTGAAACTTCCACTCCTTGACAAACCCAAGACACAGAAAAACTATGCCCAACCTGAGGTTCTGAATCACACCTTTGAGACTCTGTCTAACCTTCACAAACTGCTGCCAAATCTTATGATGGAGACACTCTATTCCTACAAGAGAGAAGCGGACAAACAAAATTGTATGTGGACAAAGGGGGAGCATGAACCTGTTTTAGTAAGCATACACGTTGTCTTGGTGCAAACTGCTTCTGCTTTTATTTATTTATTAAATATTTTTATTTGTTTTAAGAGAGAGTAGGCAAGCAGGGGAGGTGTACAGAGAGAGAGGGAGAGAGAGAATCCCAAGTAGGCTCTGTAAGTCAGCACAGATCCTGATGAGGGGCTCAGACTCACAAACTGTGAGATCATGACCTGAGCCTAAATCAAGAGTTGGTCTCATAACTGACTGAGCCACCCAAGTACCTCCTGGGTAAGAATTGACTTTACATGACAGGTGTGGCCAGTCCTTGAGAGCCATGGCCCCATGCATGCTGATTATGCTGTGGGGGCCCATGCTTTCTGAGCTCACTTCCCTTTCCTTTTATTGGACTGGTCTTTTATGAACCAAGAGAGGTCTGTCACTCTTCTTCAGACAAAGTCTACCTGTGGGATGATGGAACTAAGTGGGAAATCATCACTAAATTTTCAGGTTCAGATGTGATTTGAAGATGAGTAAGAAAATGTCCAAGTTGAAGGTCAGGCTTTGAAGCTTAATCCCTTTGCTCTATTTCCTGCTATTCCTTCCTCCCACTGTTCTTGTTATTCCCCTTCTCTCCCCACCAAGGATTACAAATGCCCCTCCCTTTCTGAAGTTTGGAGTGGCCCCCACTCCTGGAATTCTGTCTCGGCAGTTGATAACTGGACTGGTTTGAAGAATTGGGTGGGGCCTGCCTCCTGAAGTGTTTGTTCATGCTTCAGTGAAAGACAAAGGTAGCTGGTACCACTTGTGCCAATGAACTTTGAAAGCAAAATAGTAGCTGCCACAGTGGTTAGGATACAAGTCCTGGGGAGGAAGGTTTAATGGAAAATTCATCTACTTATATGCCGGTTAGTCCCAAGTCCCTGAATGCACAGTATCGTGAATTGATCCCAGTATCTAGATTACATTAAAAATTACATAAAAATGATCAAGGAAGATAAAAGCAACCTCCTAGAGTAGATAAATATTAAGACAGGCAATTCACCAGATGAAATATAAATTATCAGTAAGCATGAACACTGTTCAAACACGCTGGTAATCAAGGAAGTAAAAGATAAATCAAGGCAATATTTTTTAGGCCATCAGACTAGTCAGGTTTTAAAAGATCAATACTGGTGAACATGTGGGGAAGTTAATTCCCTCATAATGATTAGCATGCTAACTGAGTCAGGCTTTTTCGAAGATAATTTGAAAGTCTTTGCCAAAATTTAAAATGTATGTTACTGTCTTATTAAATGAGTTGAACTTGGCAAAGAGTAAGTAGAAAATAATTTTCTTTTTTGTCATAGCTTCCCCTTTGACCATTCTGTTGCTCTTTTGCTCTTCAGTCATCACCTTTGGGTGAAATTACAAGCAGATCTCATAGGTTTCCTAGTCATACAGATTACACTCATAGTAAAAAATACACTCTAATATCCAAATTGAAAACTTCATCTAGAATAAAACCTCTCTGCCCCCCACCACTCTGGCCTGACATGGACTCAGACACTGGGGGTGGTCCTGGTAGTACAGTGGGTTTCCTTTTCATTGTTCCATTCCCCCCCCCCCCACTGGCTGGTGTTGGGTTGACAAGGGTGAGGGTAGGAAGAATTGAAAAGCTTTTTTTCCTTGACTGTGAAATATCAGACTGGCACCTGTCATTCATACCTTCTAGAGGTGGCAGCTTTCCAAAGCTGGCCTCTTCTTTTCCAGGGGATTTGGTGGGTTCCCTAGCTGGAGGTCTCCCATTCCCTCCCATTGATGTTTCCTCTCATCCATCCCCACCCTTTCCCCAGCTTCTCTATGGTGAGTTCCCAACCCATATCAGCAGAGATCACCTTACTGTTTGACAGAGGCCCTTTTGAGATCCTATTCAAGATGACTCAGAACCAACCCCCTTCCAGGATCTTCACAGATGGGTTGTGGTAAATTCAACCTTCATACCTTTGCCCCGTTGGTAAAAGTACAACAGGTTCCCAACAGTGACCTCTTGTCTCTGTGGCCACAGGCAGCTGCGGTCCTAGTCGATTATCTTACACATTCTGAGGTGTTAGGGCTGAGTTGTGTCCCCCAAAATGGTATATTGAAGTCTTAACTCTGAAGTATCCCAGGATGTGAATTAATTTGGAAATAGGGTCTTTATAGAGATGCAGGCATAATTAAAATGAAGTCATATTGGGGCGCCTTGGTGGCTTAGTCGGTTAAGCATCCGACTTTCGCTTAGGTCATGATCTCGCGGTTCGTGGGTTCGGGCCCCGCATCGGGCTCTGTGCTGACTGCCAGCTCAGAGCCTGGAGCCTGTTTCGGAGTCTGTATCTCCCTCTCTCTCTGACCCTCCCCTGCTCACACTGTCTCTCTCTTTCCTAGAAATAAATAAAAATTTTTAAAAAATGAAGTCATATTGGAGTGGGGTGGGTTCCTAATCCAATATGTCTGGTCCTTGGACACAGAAGGGGATGATGGCCATCTGACAACAGAGGCTAAGATTGGACTGATGTATCTATAAGTCAGGGCAACACCAGGGATTGCAGCAAATACAAAAACCTAAGAAGAGGCAAGGAAGAATTCTCTCCTAGAGGTTTCGGTGGGAGCAAAGCCTTGGGCTCCAGTCCACGAACTGGAAGAACATGACCTGAGCCAAAGTCAGATGCTTAGCTGACTAAGCCACCCAGGCACCCTTAAAACACAATTTTGCCACTGAAAATGCATCCAGTGTTTATGTGAGGTTGGAGAAGTGGATTTTGATTTTCTAGTGATATTCCAATTGTATGTTGATTTCAACTTTGTTCCCTTGGCTTCCCAGTGTACACACTAATAGATACTGATAAACCTTTAGCAACGTGTAGTGTTCTTGCCATGTAAGAGTGCTGCTTGTGATCACTGACGTTCCTTGTTTCTGAGGTGTTTGGCTGCAGGGATTCTTCACTGGGGTTGGGAGCAATTTGAAAGAAGTAGCGGGTGCAGCTGAGGGGGACAGCATTCAGTGGAAGAAGTGCTTCCTCAGAGTCCTGAGTCTGTGCCTTGCAGGACATGCGCCCAAGGCAGAATCCAGTCACTGAAGGGACATTAGCCTCCAAGACCCTGAATTCTGTCTCATTTCCAGAATGCCATTTCTGGTGATTGCCTCAAAGGTACTTCTGGAGATGACCCTATTTCTCACGCTTTCATCTGTCAGATTATGAATTCAATAATGGATACCAGTGTCTCACCGTTACATGTCTAAAGCCATCTGTCTAGTAGAAATTTTCACCTGAGGCTTTGCCTGCACTAGACTATATGTGTTACCCAGAGCCATCAGAAGAAGGAAAGGAAAAAAAAAGGAACAAAAATTTGCAGTTAGAAACACGGGTTTTTCCCCCTGACTTTTAAATAATAGTTAAATCATGTGAACAACATAAAAGTGAGAAATGAGGATCCAGCGTACTGTAGGCATTTGGATCTACTGTGTCCAGATAACTGTCCCCCAAACATCACAAGCCTGGGCAAAGGGCCTTCTTCCTCCTCCCACCCCACGTCCCAGAACAGCAATGTAAAGGGCTATCCTGAGATTGGTAGGTACCGGTTTTATGCTGTTTAATACATTCTCCAGACAAGTTCTCTCAATGGCACCAAACGGAAAAGTAGGAAGTGGGAGGAATTTTAAAGCTTTTGTATATTGTTTTTAATGCTTTAGAAGCTACCTCTCTTGGTTAATTCATGGCTTCCCCCCCCCGCAGATGCTTGGGAAGGTTGCTTCATTGGATGCAGGGAGGGGCAGGGCAAACAGAAGAGTGGTTTTCACAGAGTGAGTGGGCTCAGGGAGGAGATGAGCAGAGCAGCTCTAGAAGAGGCTTGTGTGTGTGTGTGTGTGTGTGTGTGTGCGCGTGCACGCGCACTGTTCACTTGTGGGCTGGAGACTCTTGTGTGTGCATTAAAGACAATTATGAGATGTAAAAGCAACAAAGAATTTTAAAGCTTCAAGTTTTAAATTACTTATTTTTTACTGTCTCTGGCACACACACACACACACACTGGCTTGTGTACTGGTTTATATACATTATCTATGCTGATTTGTATTGCAGCATTCCACACACCAAAATTAGAAATTGGGGCACCTGTGTGGCTCAGTCAGTTAAGTGTCTGATTCTCGATTTTGGCTCAGGTCTTGATCTCACAGTTGCAGGATCGAGCCCTGCACTGGGCTCTTTGCTGGACATGGAGCCTGCTTGAGATTCTCTCCCTCTCCCTCTGCCCCTCCCACTGCCCAAATAGGAAAAAGAAAAAAAAAAAACAACTCAAGCAGCTCATAATCCAATATATCTAAAATTTCATCTATAAATTTATAATCAATATTATTTTATTTCCAATAATTTCTGGAGGCATCCCTACACTTTTTGTACTTTCTTTCAAAAGCAGAAAACTTTTTATAATTTCGGATAAGGCTGGCAGTAAGACTTAATTAAATACTCAAAGTGAGTTATCTGAATTTTTATCTTATTTTGGTGTGCAGTGCTAAATATAATTTTTATATTGGAGAATATGAGAATTTGTTATATTTGTTAAATTTCTTATCCTTTATAATTCATCCCTGATTCCTTGCATAAAGGATTTGAGGCAGTTTAGAATACCAAAGTATGTGTACACAACGAGAAAATAAAAAACAAGTCATTTGAGGCCCCTCAAAAATTATTTCTAGCTGAATGTCATCAAATACCTGAATTGGGTTAATTATTTCAGTCAAGTATTAAATTTTGCTTCCAGGGGTGCCTACGTGGCTCAGTCAGTTGAGCTCCCGACTTTGGCTCAGGTCATGATTTCATGTCTTGAGTTCCAGCCTCGCATCAGGCTTTGTGCTAACAACTCTCAGAGCCTAGGACCTGCTCTGGATTCTGTCTCCTTCTCTCTCTGCTCCTCCTCCACTCACTCTCTGTCTCTCTCTCAAACATGAACAAACATTAAAAAAATAAGAAAATTTAGCTTCCAAACTGACAACCAAAGCAAACCATGCTATTCCTATCATGTCTGTAAGGGCTTCTGAGTGCAGTGCTACCTCCCTCCCCCCTGCCCTATCCCACCCCCCCCCCCCCCCCCCCCCCCCCCCCCCCCCCCCCCCCCCCCCCCCCCCCCCCCCCCGGCATGGGATCCTGATTTAATTCACTGCTTCTAGGAGCAGTATGTGAATGCTGTCTGAGCCAGGCCTGAGGCCACTGGGCAGGAGCCCCAGATTCCAGCCGTTTTTTACTCACTTGGAATGATTTGCAGGCCTCTAAAGATCAATCTGTTAATCATTACCTCATTTAGTCAGATTGCCAAGCAGTGGCCCCTTGGGCCGATTCTTGGTTCTTTGGGGTCTGTGCCAACTACCCTGTCTGGGACGGACCATCAGTAGTTCAGTCTGAGAAACAACGGAGGCTAGCTGAGTTCTGAACTAATTTCTACGTAGGGCCGCCCTGGATCACTGGGGATCAGCTTCTCTTCCTGCATTAGGATGATCATGGGACTCTTATTTTCTAATATCCCCCAGCTGTACTGCAAAGCCATTCACAGTGTAATGGGAAAACTGGCTTTTGGTTCTCAAAGTGCTAACAGTTGGCAAAGAGAGAAGCTTACACTACAGTGTAAGTCACCTCTGTCACCAAATCCACCATGTAGTTCTACTGACTTCCTTTCCTTCCCTCCCTCCCTCCCTCCTTCCCTCTCTTCCGTTCTTTTGGTAGCAGGGCTGTTTTGATTAAGGAAGCAGTATACTGTATTACATTCTGGCACAAACTCTTTGTCCCACCGCAGATGAGTGATTTGGTCAGGGGCCAAACAAGGTCAATGTGAAGCAGTGGATGTGATGTAAATGCAGAGTATGGTTAATCTCTCTGAAGATCAAAATGATGGTGCAGTAAATTGCCATTAATTTTAGAATCATGCACAAATTACTTAAACAAATTTCAATATTTGTGGTGGGTATTAACACACTGGAGTTCATCCATTCATTCATTTATTAGCTGTGCATCTATTAGATGCCTAGGACTAGGCTAAGGTCTGAATGTCACTCAGTAATATTTTTGCAGTGAAGGAATGGCAGAGTTCAAGAGCAATTAGGGGTGCCTGGGTGGCTCAGTGGGTCAAGCGTCTGACTTCCGCTCAGGTCATGATCTTATGGTTTGTGTCGGGCTCTGTTCTGACAGCTCAGAGCCTGGAGCCTGCTTCAGATTCTGTCTTCCTCTCTCTCTGCCCCTCCCCCAGGCATGCTGTGTTCCTCTCTGTCTCAATAAGAAATAAACATAAATTTTTAAAAAAAATAGCAATTATTAAGTGGTATAAATATTCATTCTCAAGCTAATGCCATGTTACTCTTGCTATGCAAAGATGGAAAGGAACACTGAATTGTATGAATGTTTATTTTGTTACTAGCTCAGAATTCTGAATTCTCTGGCTTAGAAAGGATCTTAGCAAGACATCAGTTTCCAAAAGAGATTAATCGGACCCCCAATCCAAGTAGCATGCCCCTGTGGAGAAGAAAATCCATCAACAATGCAAATCGTGGGTGGAGTAAATGTCAATTATGGAATAAAAGCCCTGAGGAGCCTCTGATGTCAACCATAGTTGTCAGGTAGGTATCTACTTTTTGTGTGATGCAGGCATATTTAGAGATAATATAGGGTGAACACAAACTCTTGCCTTAGCCAAAAAATGTCTTAATGTGGTCTTTGAGATATATGGTTAGCATGAAAACATTGCTATGTATGTGCTATGCACATTAGCCCCATTTTCACACACCTTCATTGAGAGAAAACTCACGAAGACAGGAGGCATGTGGGTCTCCCATGGGCCATTGCATTTCACATTAGTGAGCATAGATCTAGCAGGGCTGGGCTGGGATTCTTGGAGAGGGACCCAACTGTGGAGCTATGGGGCTTTTATGCTGCATGTGTCAGGAAGCACCAGTCCACCCCTAGCATGACCAGGGCCTAAGATACAATATTACAAATGGTGGAACCTTAGCTTTATCTGTAGTCTGCTAGATTTTACACTGATGGAAATGGGAGCCATTTCAGGGTCTTAAAAATAAGGGCGATAACGATCTCATATGAAACCTCCCTGGCCTCCGAGGCCAGGGTGGAAGCAGGAGAGGGATGGTGGGTGTCAGACTGTGTGGGAACAGTGGGGATGTGGAATTGGTTGGGATTCTGGCACTTAAAGTTGCTTTGGTTTCCTTGGAAAATTATCTGTTAGTACACTTCCTTCCCTAATAATGCCAGACAGATGATGTTTCCAGATTTGTTTCTTCAGTATTGCTGCATGTATTGCTATACAATACCTAATAAGTGATTTCTACATTTAGCAGCTAGTAAGTATTCAAAAGTGTTGTTGCCAGCCTGACAGAAGAATATATAATTTGCTATAAAGACGGAGTTCTCTCTGCTTTGAAGGTAACACACAGGGAGAGGTTTCCAGCTCATAAATTTTGCCTGTACTGGAAACTCCCACTGAAATCATTGTCCTATGGAAAAAATTTTCTCATCTACAACCCCACCCCCCCTCCCCAGTGTCCTCAGTGGCATAACTTGACAATTAGATTTAAAAATCCATTATCAATGAAGGCAAAAAAATGTTATAAAAGAATTAGAATGATGGTATTTCCTCCTTGGACAATACAAGGCACTAAACTTGTGTTCAGAATAAGGATAGAAGTTTTTTTAAGTGATGATTCCTGATTACTCAAGATTATTTGACCATACTTTGCAGCCTTGTAAAGAAAGAAAACAATAGTTTATACACCTCAATTTCAGGCCACAATGTCTTGACATGAACTAATATATTTTACTTTACATCCTAGTTTGTTTGGTTTCTGAAAATACAGATTGTTAGAACATAAGAAATGACATATTTATTCACATTTTCTTCTACAAGCATTTATTTGTTTTCCTTAAAAGGTAGGACTGGTAAAAGCAGGCATCTTTTCATTGTTCTTAATGTAAGGGGAAAATAATTTCAGCATTTTGTTGGCTATTGGCTTTTGCAGGTTACTTTTATCGGTTTGAAGAAGTACACTACTGTTGTTGGTTTGCTTAGTTTCTATCTTAATGGATATTGAATTTTGTCAAATGCTTACACTGTATCTATCGAGTTGATCATATTTCTTTTCTATTAGTATGGTGAATTGCATTGCTTTTTGAAAATATTTTTATCATGGTGGAATGTACATAAAACTTCCTATTTTTCCCAATTTTTAAAGTGTACAGTTCAGGGGTTTTAAGTACTTTTACACTGCAGTGCAACCATCACACCACCCATATTTCCAGAACCTTCACATCTTCCTAGACTGAAACTCTGGACCCATTAAACACTAATTCTCTATCCCTGGTCCTTCTAGTTCCTGGCAAGCACTATTTTACTTTTTGCCTCTATGGCTTTGCCTAATCTAGATACCTCCAATCAGCGAAGCAATACAATATTTGACCTCGTGTGTAGCTTATTTCACTGAGCAGAAGTCCTCAAGATTCATCCACATTGTAATGTGTGTCAGAAGTTCCTTGCTTCTAAAAGGCCAAATAATATTCCTTTGTAGGTATATGCTATATTTTGTTTTATCCAAACAAAACCCCCACCATTTATGGAAAAGATCATCTTTTCCCTATTGAATGGTCTTGGCACCTTTGTCAAAAATCATTTGTTCATTAAAAATAAAATCGTGATCATATATGCAAAAGTTTATTCTGAGTTTTCTATGTTATTCCATTGGTTTATAATGGAATCATATGATTATATATTGGAGTTCTAATATTTGGTGTGTAAATGTTTATAACTGTTATATCTTCTTGCCTTATTGACCTTTTTACCATTATGTCTTTATCTCTTGTAAGAGTTTTCCAGTGTCTCTTTTTTCATTAGCATAGCCATCCCTGTTCTCTTTTGCTTACTATTTGCATGGAATATTTTTTTTCATCCTTTCATTTCTAACCCAAGCATGTCCCTAGATCTAAAGTGAGACTCTTTTAGGCAGTATATACTTGAATCCTGACTGGCTTTATTATGCATTCTATCAGTCCATGTTTTTTGGAGCATTTAACCCATTTATATTTGAAGTAATTACTAATAGGGAAGTGCTTACTTTTGCCATATATACCTCATTTTCTCCATGACTGCTTTCTTTTGTGTTTAGTTGATTTCTTGTACCAACACATTTTGATTCTCTTTTCATTTCTTTTTGTGTATCTTCTATGGACATTTTCTTTGTGGTTTACATATAACATTCTAAAGTTGTGACAATCTATCTTAAATTGTTACCAACTCAACTTCAATTGTCTAAGAAAACTCCTTTAGAACTCTGCCCGTTATTGATGTCACAAACTAAATCTTTACATATTGCATACCCATTAACATAGATTTATAATTCCATCGTATGCATTTGTCTTTTTAATCCTATAGAAAATATGGGTGCCTGGGTGGCTCAGTCAGTTAAGCATCTGATTCTTGATTTCGACTCAGATCATGATCCCAGGATTGTGGGATCTAGCCCCATGTCAGGCTCTGCACTGAGTGTGGAGCCTGCTTGAGACTCTCTCTCTCTCTCTCTCTCTCTCTCTCTCTCTCTCTCCCTCCTTCCCTCTGCCCCTCTCCCCTACTCACACACTCTCTCTCTTAAATAAATAAACAAATCCTATTAAAAATAAAAAGTGGAGTTTCAAACCCAAATTACCATAATTCAATTTTTATATTTGTGCATGTATTTACCTTTACTGGAGAATTTTATATTTTTATGTGGCTTTGAATTACTATCTAGCTCCCTTTCAACTTGGATGCTGTTAAGTATTTCTTGTAGGGCAGATCTAGTGGTAATGAACAACCCCAGGTTTTGCATTGGAAGGTCTTCAATTTCTCCCTCATCTTTGAAGTGCAGTTTTGTCAAATGTAGAGTTATTAGTTGATTTTTTTTTCTTTCAGTGCTCTAGATATATCCCACTGCCTTCGGGACTGCAAGGTTTCTGCTGAGAAATCTGATTATCTTATCAGTGATCACTTTCTATGATGAGCTGCTTTTCTCTTGACGATTTTACTAATCTTTGTCTTTGCCGGGTGTGATTACAATGTGGCTCATTGTAGGTCTCTTTCTGTTTATCCTACTTCTAGTTCATTCATTGAGCTTCTTGGATTTGTATATCCACATCTTTCCTCAAATTTAGTCATTCTTTTTTTCAAATAATCACTCTGTCCCTTTCTCTCCTCCTCTTCCACCTGGGACTCCCATCACGTGTATAGAAGTTGGCTAGATGGAGTCTGTCCCCTAAGCCTTTCAGGCTCTATTCACTTAACATTCGTACTTGTTTTTGCCCCTCAAACTCGATCCTTTCAAATGAACTCTCTTTAAGTTTGCTGATTTTTTTTGTCTACTTGTTCAAGTCTGCTGTTGAGCTGCTCTAGTGAATTTTTCCAGTTATTGTAATTTTCAGCCCCAGAATTTGTTTAAAAAAAATGTCCACCTCTTTGTCAATACACTTTTATTAGTTTCTTCACATGCTGTTTTCCTGATGTCCTTTTGCTCTCTATCCATGTTAGCCATTAGCTCTTTTGAGGTATTTGACATTTGTTTTAAAATCTTTGTCTAGTAATCAGGTGCCTTTTTAAAAAAAATCATTTCTGGAATTTTTGCTCCTTTTGGCCATGTTTTTCTGCTTCTTTGCATGCCATATGACCTTTTGTTGAAAAGTGGGCATTTGCAAAAACAGGCCCCTCTTACACTGATGGGTAAGACCGTTCTTATTAATGGGCTCATGAGTCTTCAATCAGCTTAGGCCTTCTCAGGTCTTTTCTGGGCATGCTTCTTGTCTAGGCTTGTATGTTTTACTTTACAATTTTCCCTCAGCTTTTAAATGTCTTAATTTCCTGAAGAATCTCCAGCTTGTTCTTAGGGACTTAAGTGTTCTATTGTATTCCACTGTTTTGTAATCTCTCTCATCCATGGGTCTGTAGTCAGCTTGTACTTTCTGTGTGTTCCATGGCCCACATCTAATGTGGTTTGTTTCACACCCAGACTATGGTAGTATTTCCCTTCTCAACTTTGACTCTGGCAAGACAGCAAACAGTCCCTCAGGCAGACCACAGATAGGTCAGAATGTTGCAAACAAGTTCCACTCTGCTCCTTCCATCCCAAGGGAGGGAGCCAGGAATCAGGTGAATTCCTTCCAACCACACCTTGCAGGGGAGTGGGTGAGGCAAAGGCAAGTAAAAATGCCACACAATTTCTTATAAGTTTCATGTGAATTTTCTTTGTTGGACATTCATTTGTTTGCTGTAGGTATTCAGTTTCTGTAGTTGTTTATTTGATGTTTCTGTGAAGAAATGAGGGCCCAAATCTTCCTACTTCACCATCTTGCTGATGCCACTATTTATTCATCTTTTCCCAGTATTTTCTTTTGTTTTTCACATTGTTTAATTTCTGTAGATCTACCTTCCAAGTTTATTGACTCCTTTATCACTGAGTCTGTTAGCAAGGCTCTTCAGATCATTTTTCGTAAATTTCAGATTTTCAGTTCTAAAGTTTATGTTTGCTTCTCCTTTTGTAGGTTGTGTTTCTGTGCTGAGAAGCCACATTGTTTTAATTATTCAAGTGTGCTTTACTTTATGGAACATCATAAAAACTGGTTTAAAGCCTTCATAGGACAATGCCATCTAGGTCATCTCAGGATTGACATGTGGTTTTCCTTCACCTGAGTGTTCACATTTGCATGGTCTTCTGCATGTCATTTGGTGTTGTACCATGGACAGTAAATATTATGTTGCTTGGATCCTGGGTCCTATTGACATTATCTGGAGAATGTTGTGATTTTTGTTTTAGCAAGTAATCAACCTGCTTAGAGACTACACCACTCTGTCCTGATCTTGTGTGGGTAATGATGAAAAATCCCAGTGCAGTTTCCAAAGCCTTTACTGTGTTGGCTTTAGTCTGTCCACTCATGAACCTGAGACTTGTGTGTGTTCATACACAGAGTTAGGGGATCTCTCTCTCTCTCTCTCTCTCTCTGTTTGGAGATTGTCCTCACGCTTACTCTCTTTCCCCCAGGGAATCCTTTCCCTGATTAGAAAGGGGTTTTCCTTTACTTCAGACTTTATTTGGCCAGCTGTACCTTGGCCACCACTGCACAGTTTAACAAGGTCTGCCTTTGCATGGAAGTCACATGCTCAGGTGGGCCCAGCAAACTGATTCCTCGTTTCCCACCATCTGAGAAACTCATCCTTGTGCAGTTGCTTCTTTATATTTCGATGCCCCAACACAATCCATCTGCTTTCAATTTCAGCATCTGCAAGTAATTGTTTTGCATATTTTGTCCAGAGATTTTAGTTGAAATTAGTGGGAGGGTAGGCAGTAGTTGGCTCATAGTAACACAGTATACCTGGAACTCCCTGCAACACTTCATGAGTTTGCCTCTGGAAGAGCTACTTAAATCCCTGTGCCTCTACATCCCCGCTTGTTAAATGTTTGCAGCAACAGTACCCACCTCATTTTTAACTTGTGGCATTGCCTTTTGAGGGTAAAATGTGATGATGGGCCATCAAATACTTTCAACAAACAGTAGGTGCTCAGTAAACAATGGCTATTACTATTCATATATTTTCAATAAGACTGAACATTTTGGATTATGATTATTGGAATAAAAAAAATGAAGTCCTCAAAAGTTACAGGTTCAGGGGGTTGACTACCTGGATGCTGTTACTTGAAGGAAAGATTGAAAAGGAAAGGGGGTATTTAGAAAAGCAAAATATTCCATGTTGGTTTTGTAGCTGGTGGAATGATACCCTCATCCTTGTCAACTAATAGATATGGCGCTAATCAAAGCAGAGTTGCAAGGGCAGTTAAGGTAGCTTGCAGATATGCCTTTCATAACATACCACATTAAATAAGAATGTATGTAACTATGTAATAATTAAGTATATAATTACTGATCCAGAACACTGCTTTTATTTCCAGTAAAATATCCCAATTCTCCCTTCATGCCTTTCTAATTAAATTATGGGGAAAATGGAAATAAGATTCTTGTTTATTTTCTAATAGTACTACTGCCCCATTTGCTCCCTTGCTAGATGGTTGAAAAAGAACATGCAACCTACCGAAGACCTCCAGTCGGTAATCCAGAGGTTGTCAGTGTTTGGGCCAATTAAGTCAGTTACCTTCTTTGGACGGCAAAGTGCTACTGTGGTGTTCCAAGACATGACTTCAGCTTGTAATGCTGTGAATGCTTTTCAAAGTAGGACCCCAGGCACAATGTTTCAGTGTTCCTGGCAACAGCGCTTCATGTCAAAAGATGTAAGACTCATTATGACCAAAAACCTATGTAGATTCATGCTTGTTTTATGTATAATTTGTTTTTCATCAGGGCTCTGGTGAAATATAATCATAAGTGATATTTCAGCACTGAGAAAAGGCAATGTTTATTCAGTTTAAGTATTGGAAATCACAAATGAGAGCACATCCCTTCCTCTGAAATGCTTAATGTTTCTGTGATAGGCATCACAGTTTGGCTTTTCGGGTTAAAAAGTTCATGATCGCGTTCATGCATTCATCTGACAGCCATCTTTCCTGGAGGATTCTGCTTTCTTCAGCATTAACAGCATGTAGCTTTTCTTTCTCCCCATTCCTGATGACCTGTTTTGAAATTCTCATGGCCTGAAAACACAAAAGTAACCATAAGGTTAAGAGGCATTGTAATAGGGTACCCAATAGTTCTGACTTTTGTTTCTCCATTGTTCACTTAATCCTGTCACACTTTCAGATATATGTGTAACGTAGGACAGTGCTTTTCAAACTTTAATGTGCATACGAATGACCTTGATGGGTGTGGGAGAAGGCCTGGGATTCCACATCTGTAAAAAGCTCAAGACAGATACTAAAGTTTTTGGTTCCAGGACCACATTTTGGGCAGAAAGACTGTCAAAGCGATCAGTCACCAGTTAACTGCATATAAAAATGAAAGTGCAAGGAGCCAGGTGGCTCAGTTGGTTAAGCGTCCAACTCTTGGTTTCGGCTCAGGTCATGATCACATCATGGGCTGGTGGGTTTGAGTCCCGTGTCCGGCCCCACGCTGTCAGCACAGAGCCCTCTTGGGATTTTCTCTCTTTCTCTCTCTCCCTCTCTCTCTGCCCCTCCCCTGTGAGAGCTCCCTCTCTCAAAATAAATAAATATACTTATAAAAAAAATGAAACTCCGTCCTCCCCAGAAAGTGCTACATGGTAGGAATCTCCTCAAGGTCAACCTATCTCTGGCTTCTCACCTGGATTCAAGAATAAGAGTGTTCAGCAAATACTGCCTATCATCCCCAGAGAGAAGTGCTCCTCTGCCTTCCTATACATATCAGAGAAATGAAATGCCTATTGAGAAGTTTCATAAAACTCAGTGCTTCTAGCATTATTATGGTTATTTTTAACCTCAAATTTAGATGTGCTTAAAGCTAACCAAGATAGGCCTTGTGTTTTAAATTCCTTATTTTCTTAAGGCAGATACATTATTTCCATGGTTTCTATTATTAAAAAGAAAGAAAAAAAAGGACACTAACATTTGGGGGCAACTTTGAATATGCTTTCAGCCTGGTCCAAACTTCCTTCTGAAAAGTGCTATCAGGAAACACTTCTGTAACAAGTCCTTGAGCGCATGCCTCTGCGGCGGTTAACTTCTTTCCAAAAATTAGCATCTCTGCTGCCTGAAATGAAAAGCAGGATTAAGGCATTAACTTAATGAAAAAAAGGTCAGTGAACCTCAGAACAGCAGATAAAGGGAGAGTCCCTTGTGGTCTTTGGAGGCTGCCAGGATTTCTTGTTCAGGGAGAAACTGAAGACCTCACAGGCAATGCTCTTGCAAACTGTGCTGAGGCCATCTTAGGTTCTCTTGAAGGTGTGCAGGCATTTTTGCTTCTGGATGTATCTATGGAGCAGGGAGTCCAGGACAGAAATGACCTGAAGCGGATGCTGACTTGATAACCCACAAAGGGTATATTTTATTTTATACACCGTAACAATTATAAAAAACAAAAAACAAAAAACAACAACAAAAAAAAAACAAAGAAAGGAAAATCATGGTCACAGCGAATACCAACCAAACTTTAAACACCCTAAGTCTCTAACTTCCCTTCCCTGGAGATTTTACCAGTGGTCTAGCTCTGACTGGTTTCCTTACCTGCACAGGTACTAGTACTTAGCTCTACTCGACTAAATGAAAGTGAGGACGAATTAATATTCAGTTTCTAACAAAACTGAGGTCCCTAAGCAGATATCCTTCTCTGTATTTCCAATTTTGCTTCTGGAAAAGTAGTATTTTCATAGTCGGATACTCTAAGCCTTAGGGTTGATTCTGCCCAGCCTTTCAAAGTTAAAATCTGTAGAGCCACTCAGGGTATGTGACAGAATAATGAGATTTAAAAAGTATGTATTTACAACAAAAACCTAGCAGTCAATGAAAACAGGCCCAACTCCAACCCCACCCCTTTCAGGCCTCAGAGTATGGGTGAGCCTCCCCTACCCCCCAGCTCTCCAGGCCCCCATCTTGTTGTGATCACCCCGCAGTCATGCACACTGCGCCTGGGCAACCAGGTTTCCACAGACACGGTGACAGACCTGAGCAGACCCCAACCACTCCAGGAGGCTGAATGCATGACTACAACTACTGACGAAGAGGCTGCTGTGACCAGAAGAGGCTCTGGAAGGGCGCCTCCCATGGCTCTCCAAGTAAAGGTGTCATCTTACAGCTTCCAGGGGTTGCCGCTCATCTGTACAGAAATCGGGTGGGGCTCTGAGCTGGCACAGCCCTGGTCCTTTAATGCTTAACGCCACAGTGGACAATGAGCGGGGCACCCAGCTGCAAGAGCAGATCTGAGTCTGGGGAGTTCTGGAGGGTTTCTGATTCTCCCTCATACCAGAAGACCATTTCCGATAGCCCAGCTCCTCTATATTGGAAACTTTTACAGTTGGAGAGCAAATGCCTCATTTTTCTCCTGTCTGTACTACTGAGGAAAAGAAGAGAGAGTACAGAGCTACTTTTGGAACAGAAGTCACTTATTACAATTTATTCTTTGGGCTCCCAAAAGTTACCTTGGATGGGCCCATTATCTTCGGAAAAGTGTAAGAAGAACATCCTTCTGGACTTTGGCCTAGGTGACTGAAAGGAGTGTGAAATGTTGCCTATTTGGAGAAAAAAGAAAAGAAAGAAAATTATTTTTTGTATGTGATTTAAAATAAATTTCATTATTGTCTACATCCTCCCAATACTTAATTGAGTAACTTGTTTTAGAATTAGGTTTATTGTAGAATTATATACACAGAAAGCTCACTCTCAGATACGCAGCTGGTAAGTTTTAACACATGTGTACAGTTATGAGCCACTACCATGTCAAGGTGTAAATAATCTCCATCACCCCAAAGAGTTCCTTTGTGCCCTCCATTCCTGTCATCCCCAAAGGACCACTGATCTGTTTTCTGTCTCTCTATTCGCCTCCTCTAGAATGTAATATAATGGAATCACTGTAGCCTTTCATCCTTAGCCTAAGACTTCTGAGAGTTACCATGCTGTAGCATGTATTAATAGCTTGCTTCTTCTCATTACTGAATACAAGAATTCCATTGTATGGATGTTATAATTAGTGTATCCATTTACCAGCGGAAGCCACTGGTATTATTTCCAGCATTTTGGCTATTATGAATAAGACTATTAATGATAATTTTATGCAGGTCTCTAGATGAACGTGTTTTCAATTCTCTTGCGTAAATACCTAGGGGTGGAACTGTTGGGTTGTGTGGTAAATGGTGGTTTAAAACTTTGTAAGAAGTTGCCAAAAGATTTGCCACCGTGGTATACCATTTAACATGCCCACCAGCAGTAAGTGAGTTCCAATTGCTCCATATCCTTGCTAAACCTTATTATTATCAGTTGTTTTACCTTGAACCATCCTGGTAGGTGTGTAGTAGTGCCTTGCAGTTTTAATTTCCATTTCCCTAAAGACTAATGATGTTGAGCATCTTTTCAAGTACTTATTAGCTCTTTTTATATTTTCTTTGATGAAGTAACCATTCTAATACTTCACCCATGATTTTTAAGTTAGATTGGTTGTCTTTTTATTATCAAATCATAGCTCTTTACATATTCTGGTTGCAAGTGATTTTCCTAATAGTCTCTTTCTCCTATGTTTTTAAAGAGCCATTTATACTGCATTTTCTGCAGGCTATATATTCCTCTCTGTTGCCCATTTTTACATTAAGTTGTTGATCTATCACTTTATAAATGTATTTAAAAATATATTAGGGATATTAGCCTTTATTATGCCAATTGAAAAATTGTTTCCTCAGTCTGTCATCTGTCTTGATTTTACCTCAGAGAGGTTTTTAAATTGGCTTTAAACTTAAGAATCTACTTCAATACTGGTTATTTAGACTATAGAGCCATCTTTAATTTTTTAATTATTTAAGAAATATTTTGTGTATTTCTTGATGAATGAGAAGTCTTTATGAAAGGAAATTAATTTATAATTGACAATATGTACAAAGAACATTTACACTTCATTTCCCCTAATCAGATACGGTGCTATTTCTTTTTTTTTTTTTTTTTTTTTTTTACAAATAGTTTATTGTCAAATTAGTTTCCACATAACACCCAGTGCTCATCCCCACAAGTGCCCTCCTCNTCAGTCCTCAGTTTTTGTCAGCATTCAAGAGTCTCTCATGGTTTGCCTCTCTCCCTTTCCCCCACCATTTCCCCCCTTCTTCTCCCGATTGGTCCTCTGTTAAGTTCCTCCTAGTCCTCCTATACGTGCACACATATGATATTTGTCCTTCTCTGCCTGACTTATTTCGCTCAGCATAACACCCTCAAGGTCCATCCATGTAGCTACACATGGCCAGATTTCATTGTTTCTCATTGCCATGTAGTATTCCATGGTATAGATAAAGATACGGTGCTATTTCTTAATGAATATTGTGAGAGGACATAAATAAATAATGTATGCAGCATATAAACAAAAATAAAAATCTAAAATACTAATGTTACCTATCATCCCCTTCCCTCCAAAAGAAAACTTTTTCAAGAAGCTATACTGCAAAGTCACAGCCTAAGGACTATAAGCAAGAAATTAAAAGAAAACACCAACCACAGCTTAAGGGACACAAACAGGTATGTGTGGAGCTGACAGTAGGCACCATTTAACTTATTTATAATCATTATTATAAGTAAGCATCTAGCCTATTTTCAGAAATAGAGCAGTAGATATAATTAAGGGTCAGGCTCTAGCATCAGACTGCTTGGTGATGCTGGTAGCTTCTTAACCTCTTTGTGCCACAGTTTCCCTGTCTGTGAAATGGGAACAAAAGCATCTGTCTCACAGGGCTGTTGTGAGTGGTAAGTAGGTATAGTGTGCATCAACAGAATGCCCAGTATGTGGTGAGTACTCAAATATGATTTTTAGGATTTCTATCTTTTTATTACCTCATAGGGGAAATATACTATTTGCTGACAAAGAAGCTAATAGACAATGTTAACTACTGCCCATAATAAAGAAGCATTTGATTATATGAGTAAATGTGGACCCACATCTAGTATGGTACTTGTTTATGAAGCCAATAAAGATAAATCCTATAAAATGAATTCCTCTCTGCAGGTTCTTTCTTCTGTGTCTTTTTCTGATTTGAAATTGAACCTTGGTTTAGTTCAGTTGGGTGAACTCTTAGCAGTGGTTGCTATTTCTCAAATATTTTACTTTGGGGCAAATCTTTTAGCATTGTGTTTTCTTTGATTTCAATTACTATTACTATACTATTCAATTACTATAAGATGGAAGTCCTAGAAACCTATAAAACGATGATGGATAGGATAGTCATTTTGAGTTCTGAGAGAGAATCAGGGAAATATTCAAAGAGGATGATATATTTGCTCTCTAAGTACTGAAGAATGAGACCCCCAAGTTAATGTCAGGAACTACTGACCCCACCCCCTTCTGGACTGGTGATTAATCAGTCCCCTAACACACAATGTGACCAGATGCTATTGATTTCTGCCTTTGGGCAGAAACTTCCACCTATAGAGGTTAAGCAGCCTAGCACCTAGAATCTCATTTGCTATTTTCATGGGAAAATTATTAATAAAAATTAGGTCTGCCAACATGCCAAATCTGATCAAACTGAATTTGGTAAAAAATGAACCCAAGAGGTTAGGATCTTAAAATGTGGTCTTGTCTATCAGTAGGGAAAACACCTCTAAACTAAACTAGAAATCTCTTCAGTGATAAAAACTAAATGTTCCCCATGAGGTGTTGATCAGGAAATCTTACCACTGCAGAAGCAAAAATTACTCTAAGAATCTGGTAACCCTACCAGGGGTTATTAGCTACACAGTAAAAGTTCTAGGGTAAAAGTTCTAAGATAAATGGTCACCACATCTTTGTTCATAATGACAGAACTGGAGAGAGCCCAGGGTCCCAGCAGCCAGGGTCTGGTTATCTCTGAGTGGTAAGACAAGGAGGGATTTTTTTAACTGAACCCTTTCCTTTGTGCTTTCCCAGATTTTTCAAAATTTTATGTTCTACTATGAAGTATAGCACCACTGTAGTAAGAACAGAAAGTGAAATCAATACAATTCAATGGTGAACACAAAGCTGAACTGTTTTGGCAAGTAACTTCACTGAGCTTCAGTTTATTTATCTGCAAAGAAGCGAGTGAGGGTAGATAGTACTTGAAAGTCCCTTCTTATCCAAAAATTCTATTCTAAAATTCTAAACTCCAGAATTTGTTCTCTTGGGAAAAAAGTATTAAATGGTCCACTTGTGTAACATGCAAAAATGCCATTCCTATTTTAGATTAATGGGAAAATCAAAAGGTGAGTGACTGTTACATAATTAAGACTAAAGAACCAAAAGAGTGGGGACAAACGCTCACAACAATCCTGGTGTTTAGGAAAACCTAAGTTAATAATGAAGGATAAATAACACAAGTTGAATTACATTAGGGTAATTCTTTAGGAAAAATGTAAATTTAGTCCATTCTACCATAAACCATGTACTACTAGCAACAATCAAAGAGAGTTCAATGGACCTCGTTTTTTCCCTCCTGACTTTGTACCTTTCTGGGGGCTAACTTACCCTGTCGGACGCATACACAATATCAAATAGCCCGAGAATGGTGACAGGGATTCCCACAGCTGGACCGTTTACCAGTGCAATCAGAGGCTTAGGAAAATCTATAAAGCAGCCTACAAAATTCCTACAGAAATGGAAATAAGAAAGCACATTTAAATGTTCCAAAGCAGCATTACTGAAGTATAGGCAAGACAGCATGAGTCTGAAAAAAACTTTCTGGCCAGGCTGGACACACATTTGAATGGCACTTGATGGATGCTCATGGAGTGAGTCCCATAAGCTTGACTTTGGTTCACCATGTATTCTGGGCAGCCAGGTCAGGGCCGTATGCCAGCTGCAGACTTAAAGAGACTAGGATGGCTGGTGGAGCATATGCTGCAATGTTATAACTCAGTGGGAATTAGAAATTTAGGAGGGAACTGAGTTAGGAAGACAGAAGCCTTCCTGTCCTCTACGCTGACACTACTTCACATGTCCCATTACTAGCAATCATGGAAACTATGCATTCCTCTGGTCAAACAAGAATTTGTTTGTAGCTCTCTGCTTCAATACTAGAGAACGTTTATTTATTCTTCACATATTTAGTTTACTTTTATGCTTTCTAATCTAATCTCATATAGAGTAGCAGGATGAACAGGTAACAGAAGTGACAGAATAAATACCCACATATTGACAGAGGCTGTTTGGAGAAATATGCTTGTCCAGGGCCCCATTAATTACACTGACACAAAGAAGTATTTTCTTACTTCTGCTCGACTAAATACCACTTTCATGAACAAGAATGAACCCTCTGGGATCACACAAATATCACTCTTACCTCAGTAAAATGGCGTCGTTTTTAGCTTTCTCCTCTAATCCACCAGGAACAGTGTCAGTGAAATTAGTCAGGTCATTCCCACTGGAGTAATAGTCACCATTTCCTATAAATAAAATCAGCAGATTCACCATTCATTCTGTGATTACTGAGCATCTACTCTATTAGCAAGCACCAGAAGTGCACTGGTAAACCAGCTATGGCTCCTGTCCTAATTTCACAGACTGGTGAGTAAGCTGAACACTGATTTGAAAACACATATAAGCAAATGTAGGTAATGTAATTCTGATACAAGGAGAGGTACTTGACAATGACATGAGAGTATGTAACAAGGGATCTGTTCCAATCAGGAGGCTTGAGGAGGGACATTCCTAAAGAAGGAATAGCTGAACTGGGATCTGAAGGAAGAGCAAGTTTAGCTAGAAAATGAAGGATAAGGCAGAATTCATACAGAGGGAACAGCATGTGCCAAGGTTCTGTGAAGGGGGTAACCCTGGTGTACGTGATAGGCTGAAAGAAACACCACTGTGCCAGAGCAGAAAATGTCAGAGGGGGAGCTGATGTATGTAGGATGAGGGCAGGCAGTATGGACCATGCAATGCTTTGCTGATCCATTAAGAAGTTCTGCCTTGGGGCGCTTGGGTGGCTTAGTCGGTTAAGCGTCCGACTTTCGCTTAGGTCATGATCTCGCGGTTCGTGGGTTCGAGCCCCGCGTCGGGCTCTGTACTGACTGCCAGCTCAGAGCCTGGAGCCTGTTTCAGTCTGTGACTCCCTCTCTCTGACCCTCCCCTGCTCACGCTGTCTCTCTCTCTCTCCTAGAAATAAAACATTAAAAAAAAAAAAAAAAGAAGTTCTGCCTTTTATTCTAAGACACATTGGTGGTGCTTGGTTTTAAAGTATAATTTACACACAATAATACCAGTTTTAAACACTTCGTTCAATGATTTTTATTAACTGCAAATACCTGTGTGATAGCCATTTGAAACAGATACACTTATTTCTACCATCCCAGAAAGTTCCCTTAAGCTCCTTTCCAGCCATCTCACCCTACCCCACCCTGCCCCAACGCAACCGCTTTCTGACTTCAATCACCACAGAACATTTTTGCCTATTTTAGAACTTTTATAAATGGAATCACATAATGTGTACACTTTTGTGTCTGTGTGCTCTTTGTTGAACTGTCTTAAAGATTCACCTATATTGTCGTATCAGTTCTTCATTCCTTTATATTGCTGTGTAATATTCCATTGTGTGACTAGTCAACAATTTGTTTATTCATCTGCTGATGCACATTTGTGCTGTTTTTAGCTACTGCAAATTGGATTACAAATTGTTCTGTGGATATACGCTTCATTTATCTTGAGTAATTGCCTAGGAGTAGATTGGTGTGCCACTGAGTTGGTGTGTTTTTAACTCCATAAAAGTTGCCAGTCTTCTGAACTGTTCTCATATCAGATGTGTAAGAGTTCCAGTTGCTTCACGTCATCACCAATATTTTGTACAGTCTGTTCTTTGGATTTTAGCCATTCTCATGTATGAAAGTCCCACTGTGATTCTAATTTGCATTTCTTTGATGGCTACTGTTATTGAGCACCTTTTCATGTACGGGCAATCTGTATGTGTTCTTTGATGAAGTGTCCAAGTCTTTATCTATTTTTTATTTTATTATTATTATTTTCTTTCATAGTTTATTGTCAGGTTGGTTTTATGTTTTTATTATTTTAAGTTTATTTATTTATTTTGAGAGAGAGCTCATTTGTGAGTGTAGGAGGGGCAGAGAAAGAGGGAGAGAGAGAATCCTAAGCAGACTCCATGCTCAGTGCAGAGCCTGATGACGGGCTCAATCTCACAAACTGTGGAACTCAAGTGTCAGATGCTTAATGGACTTAGCCACCCTGGAACCCCTATCTAGTTTATAAATCTGGCTGCTGTTCTTGTTAATTTCTAGGAGTTCTTTATATATTCTGGATATTAATCCTTTATCAGATTTATGTATACATGAATTTGTATATGCAAATATGCCCCCCCAGCCTGTGGTACTTGTATATTCATTTTTTTTTTTTTAATGTTTTATTTATTTCTAGGAGAGAGAGAGAGAGAGACAGCGTGAGCAGGGGAGGGTCAGAGAGAGAGGGAGTCACAGACTGAAACAGGCTCCAGGCTCTGAGCTGGCAGTCAGCACAGAGCCCGACGCGGGGCTCGAACCCACGAACCGCGAGATCATGACCTAAGCGAAAGTCGGACGCTTAACTGACTAAGCCACCCAGGCGCCCCTGTATATTTATTTTCTTACTACTGACTTTGATAAACATATATTTTAAATTTTGATGAGTCTAAGTTGTAAATAGTTTATGGTTAACACTTTTCATGTTCTAAGAAATCTCTGCTTACCCCATGGCTACAAGGATACTGTTTTCTTCTAGAAGCTTTATGTTTGTGAGTTTTATGCTTACATAACTTTTAATTAATTTTTGTATAGGGTAGAAGATGGGGTTGAAGTTCATTTCCCCACATATGGATATCTAGTTGATCTGATACCATTTGTCAGGAGATTTTTCTTCCTCCACTGAATTATCTTGGTGCCATTGAAGAAGTTTTAAATGGGGGAGGAATAAGATTTTTATTTGGAACAGGAATTTTTAATGGATGCGGTAAGATTGGACACGGCATGGGAAAGAGGTGGACAAAAGGGGATCAGAGAGATTAGATGGGGCTTATTTCAGTTCAGACAAGAGTCCATGGTGGCTTGGACTAGGTCAGAGGAGACAGAAAGGAAAAAGGATGGACTCCAGAGACACTGATGAAGTAAAATGGGGTTAGACTGGACACAGGAGGTAAGAGAGGGACAAGATCCATAATGAATGTTAGGATTCTACAAAGGGTAGAAGTGAAACCACTCACTGTGATTTGGGACACTAAAAGAGCTCCAGAGAGAGAGATATAAGAGGTGACACCTCTGAAGAAGTGCCAGGTGGATACACCAGTTGGGAGCCCCGTGGAACATCCTAAGTAAAGATACCAATGGGGGAAATCACCAGCATATAGATTTCTGCTGGATAGTGGGTATGGATATGGGGTCCAGGGAGAGCAAGAAGCAGGAAGCGAACAGTGCCTAGAGGTAAACCTTCAGGAACCCTCCCATTTGATGGCCACACAGAGTATGAACCTACCAAGGAAATCAGAGCCAGCAGCTAGGGGCAGGCCGCGCCCCTGAAGCCTAGGGTAAGGAGGAGGGAAAGTCAGATGAGGCCTGAAAAATGTCCCTGGATTTAATGATACAAAGGTCACAGTGGGGATCTAAGCAAAAGGTAGGGACCACTCTGGACTGGGCTCAAAGACATGTTTCCCAAGGAAAAATCAGAAGATATGTTTGTTTTATAGTAGGGCTTTAGATAGTTACATTTGGGGAGCTGAGAAACAAAGAGCTATATCTGATTTCAGTAGTAGTTTTACATAATAAATTTGTTATTTTTTTCTCACATTTCCATTAGGAGCAAAGAGTGTCATAAGTAGTGTTTTCAACAATTCTGAGTAGTAAAACTTATTTTCCAAACACATTGTTAGCTGGTCCTCATTGCATATATAAATTAATAGCTGAGTTTTCCTACAGACTCAAAATGTAAGTGATGGACAAGAGAAAGAAATGAAAATTACCTAAGAGTGTTCAGGAAAAAAGCAAAAGAGAAAACCATAACCACTAAAGAAGTGATACCATTAGAAGCTGTAAAAAAGAGGACAGGAATTGCTAAAAATGCAACCAGGGAACTGAAGATAAGAGATTACCGAGCAAAGTAAGAGGAGACAAGAATTAAGAATTCAGAGAAAATAAAAGACAACAGTCCCAGCAGACCAGATATTTCCACAGACAGAATTTCTTTCAAAAAAGAATAGATCGAATGAAACAAAAGTATTCAGAGATATTATCAAAGAAAACTTAAAACAAGGCCTTAATAATCAGTTTAACAGGATATGTTAAACAGTCCTAGGAAAAAGTGATAAGCAATGGGAAAGTATCCCATGGCCTTCTAGGGGGAAAAAAGATCTCATAAAGGGCTAATAACAAAATTAACAGTAGTCTCACCATTCCCTGGGGCAACATTCTATGCTATAAGATAATGGAGCACTATTTAACAGACCGTACAGGAAGAGAGGTTTGCGGGAATGCATGCTATCTTCCTAGCCTTTCACAGGGACAACCAACAGATACTGTCCAAAGGGAATAATACAAGATAGAGATTAGATGGGTATCAGACAAAGCTATAAAAGCAATTACTAAAATCCATAAAAATAAAACATTCAAACTATGAGAAATAAAACACACATCAAGGAAAAGACCATGAAGTAAAAAATAACATTCAAAGGAAGCATTATAAACACCAGGCATGTAAGATGCCAGATCTAAAATATAACATATCAGCCATATACATAAATCTAAACAGGTAAATGGACCTCTACCAAAAAAAAAAAAAACTACACACACACACACACACACACACACACACAAACTGGATCAAAAGGGGAAATCCAACAATGTGCTGCATGGGACACAGACCATAAAAAATAATTCAGAAAGATATATAGTTAAAAGGATGGGTAAAGGTTTGTTAGGCAAGTGCAAACAGTACTGAAGCAGTTGTTACGGCATTAATATTTGAAAAGATTGACTTTAAGGCAAAACCCATTAAATGAGACAAAGATGACCATTTTATAATAATGGATAACTATTCACAAGTCTCCTAGTGCCAATAAAAGAAAAATTTGTTTTATTTATTTTTCCTATTTTAGAGAGAGAGTGCAAGCAGGGGAGAGGGAGAGGGAAGGGTGAGGAGAGGGAACCCCAAGTAGGTTCCATGCTCAGTGCAGAGCCTAATGCAAGGTTCAGTCCCATGACCCTGGGATTATGATCTGAGCAGAAATCAAGAGCTGGATGCTCATCTGACTGAGCCACCTGGGTGCCCTGATAAAAACTTGTTTTAAAGCAAAAAAAATTTTTTGATATTAAGGAGAAACTAAAAAAACATAGTAGTCAACAGATGCCTTTAATTGTCTTTTTTCAGTCTAAGATTCATTAGAAGAAAAGAAAGAACTGGGGAAATCTAACATAAATTAGAAAGGTAAGTCTAACTAATACATTTTAAGCTCTACACCTTAAAAGAATAAGCTTAGTTTTGAATAGTTTCTGGATTTAAAAAATTGGCCATTTCTCAATTCTTTATCTTCAAGGTAGAGAGTTCAATATATAGTAATGTACACAAAATTTAACAAATTTTTAAAAGTTAAGCTAATAATTTCTGATTATAATTCAGTGAAGCTAGGAAATAATAAAGGTAATGGAAAACCACAAAGCAACTAACCAATGAAACAAACAAAAAAAACTTTCTGGAAATTTAAGGAACTATTGTTATTATATAACAATTGGATAAAAAGGAAACAGAAACCTAATATGAAGCATATATAAAAGATAAATATAGCAAAAGCACTATTTATCAAAACTTAACCTTTCAGTTTTCTCAGCTCTAAAAGCTGAGTAATTACAGGACCTAACTTCACTGGGTTTGTTGGAAGAAAGCTTAGAAAAGGTTAAAATTTTAAAAAGCTTTAAAAAGAATCCAAGTGCTTAGAAGAGCACCTGGTAAACAGAACAGAAAGTGTATATATATATATACATATGTCACCTATTATTATCATTATTATTAAATCAGCAATTTGGAATAGAGCCTGTAGATATATTTGCATGTTAGCTGAAAATCATACATCTAAGGATATTCACTGCAACATCACTTTAATAGCAAAAGACTAAGTACAATCTACATATTCATCAACAGAGGAATAGTGAAATAAGTTGTGGAATCCAAAAAAATGTTAATAGTTTGTGGCTTCGAAAGGAAACACTCAGATGTGTAGGTTGCTGACAGAACAGTTTTTCAGGATGTGTTGTTAAGAAAGGTAGGTGGGTATAGTATGTGTGTATTCTGTGTTTCTGGTTCTGTTTTTAAAAAATGAAAACACGCACACACACACGTATATATGTACAGTTTCTAGAAGGCATCAAGACAAACCAAAATTTTCTAGGGAATAGGGCTGGGGTTCCAAAGAGTGAGATTTAGTTTTGTTATGTGTTTTCATACTCTCTGGATTAAAAACAAAAACAAAAACATGTGCTTATGTTAAACTATTATAAAAAAAGTTAATTTGAAAATATATAAAGCAAAACAAAAATAAATATACGTAAAACATCCTTCTCCTGCATCAAACCAATGTCACTTCTAGTCTACTGTTTTTGTTCCATTCTCCGAAATCACCTAGGTACATGTGTGACCTGCCAGGACAATCTTTAGTTCTTCCCTTCTCACCTCCTCTAATCAGATATCAGATTTCTCTCTCCCCACCTCTTTTCTTATGAAGAGCTGTGTGGTATCTCTATATTATTTATTCTACAAACTTCAATGAATAAAGAAAGCAAAATCACTCCTGCTTCTGCCAGTGCCAACAGTAACAGCTCCCACCTACCATGTGCCTGCTGAGTGCCATGCCCTTACCTGCATGATCTCATGTCATCATCTCAACCATTCAACAGGGCTAGTAAAACACAGTCTTCTCCATTCCAGAAGCAGAGGTCGCCCATAAGTAGCGGGGAATGAAGCCAGGATTTGAACTCAAGTAGACCTGAGTCCTGAGCCTAAGCCCCCTACATGCACATGGTGCCCCTTCCAACTCATCAGTCCAGGTTTGTGGGCATTCATGATATTTTCCAGTGATTATCACAGAACTGATATAATTTTTACTGTTTTTTTATTATGTCTTAAATATTTTCTATATTGTTGGTCTTTACAATTATAATTGTTAATGCTTATGCAACTTATGCAATAAATAGTCTAGTGGATATTCTAGAATTTACTTTGTTATTCTATTATGGTAACATACTTAGAATGCTTTAACATTTTCTCAATTGCAAGTAATGCTGTGAAGATTATCTTTCTTGCCTCAAACCTTTACCTTTTCTTGGATAATTTCCTTAAGATAAACTTCCACAAAGTGGGATACGAACATTTTATATATTGCCAAAATGCCCTTTTCCTTAGCTATTTACACTTTTTACAGCCATTTACACTGCTGCCAGCAAGACATTAAAGTCATTTATTCTACCATAACCTTGTCAAAGTGGGGTATAATTGAAAATTTTGCTAATTAAGGAAGTACAAAATGGAATCTCATCTTTTGATATGTATTTGTGATTATTAATGAGGCTGCATTTTTCCTTGGTATTTACTACCTGGTCTTTGTCATACAAATTATCTATTCATTCTAGTCACCAATTTCTCTAGAAGGCCTTAGTACTTCTCTTACCAGTCTGTATGTCCTTTTTACATGATAAAGATCCCAATCTTGTGCCTATCGTGTTTTTTCTATACTAAAGAATTAAGAGTATCTCAGTACTGAAAAAGACCTTAGAGCTATCTACTCAGTTTCCTATCTGGTCGGAAATCCCCCCCAAACAGAAATTTAATTATTAAGAAATCCAAGAAAATGTCTTACCTGTTAGAACAGTTATGGCAGAGTCATCCTTGCTGGCACTTTTAAGTGCAAGTATCATTTCACCATACATCTATGTGAAAGGGGGAGACGAGGAAAAGAAAGGAGCTCTGAAAATGACAACCATTGCCTGGTGGATTGACTAAAGTCAGTTTGCAAGCCTGCTCTCTGCAAAGTGCCACCTGTTTATGTTGGTTGTAGTTACATAACCAAAAAGGCAGTCCAATACACTTGAACGGATGCTCACTCTTTTAACAATTACTCGGTGTGTATAATGGTACCATGTGCTATGATGGACATGGGGGGATTTATCCAGTTTTTCCCAAAGTGAGCAAGTAAGACACGGTCCTTGAGCTTTTGGAATTAATGGTGTGGTGTGGGGGGGGTTGGGGAAGGGAGGACTACGACGGGTGAAGAGTACAAGGAAGCACTGATGCATCTGGCATGGGCGGGAGGGTAGGTGGCCAGAGAGAGTTTCATGAAGCAGTTTTTCAGCTGGGACCTCAAAAAAGAGCCCAAGTGTCCCAGGCGGTCTGGAAAGCATTAATGAGTGTTAAAGGCTGGGATTTCAGGACACTAAAATGGCAGCCAAAGATAATGGAACAGAATTTCAAATCAGCAACGTCTCTGAAAATCTTGGATATGTAGTTGTTATAGCTTTTAGTGCACTGGTGCCATTTCTACCTTAGATGAGACATCAATGTGGGTGAGAGAGAATGATGAAGAGGGCTGATATTTATGCATACGCAGACACTGGTAAAAAAGATAGACTTTACATAATGTATGAGTAAAGGTGAAATCATATTCACTGAGGGAGGAAATGAGGAAGTAATGCCAATATTATTACAGTTATGATGACACAGCATGGTAGGGTAACTGGTAAAAGCCAGGATTATAAGACAGATCTTATAAGACAGAGGGTTTCAATTCAGGTTTCCTGGCTTATTTGAGCAAGTTACAACTTAAGCTAATTATTTTATTGTTAGATAATAATAGCAGTAGGCTCTGTATGGGAATTAAAGAAACCTCTGTGTGGAAAGTGCTGACACACGTCAGGCACTCTGTGAAGAGTACCTGCTATTTACTATTATCATCACCATCACCAGGATTATACAGAATTGAGTCAAGGGCAAGGGAAATAAAGTTTTGAGAATAAAATGTTTTACTAACTGAATGGCACATATCCAACTTCATGGATTTTTAAGATTATTTTAAATTAAAAAAAAATTTTAACATTTATTTATTATTGACAGACTGAGAGACAGAGCATGAGCAGGGGAGGGGCAGAGAGAGAGGGAGACACAGAATTTGAAGCAGGCTCCAGGCTCTGAGCTGTCAGCACAGAGCCTGATACAGGGCTTGAACTCACAAACCGTGAGATAATGACCTGAGCTGAAGTCGGACGCTTAACCGACTGAGCCACCCAGGCATCCCTATTTAAGACTATTTTAAAGTTAGTGTGCCCTTTCTGCTATAATGCAGATGATAAGGCCAATGAAGAAGGTTACAGAGAGCCCTCGCAAATTTTACTTGCAGTTCAGCACAAAGCATCTAATTAACTCCCTATAACTTTTTCAAGTGGAAGGGGTGGGAGTGGTTATTTTTATTATCATTCTAGTTCAATCAAAGATTCAAAGATCAAAGTTGCTCTTATAAAGCAGCTCATTTCAAGCAGAGCTGGGTTATGCTGTATTTAAGAGGAAGGCCTTCTTTCCTTTCTCCCTCTGCTTGTACAAAATAAAGCCCCATGCAACTAGAATAGTACTCCCTCTCAAGTCTAAGTGACAGGAACAAAGTCTGGGGACAGTCTATACTGACCACTACGCACATTCACTTATATCAATGTATATTTCATTTATATTAATTTATTTGTGCTTCCATCATTAGGAAAGTAGCAGTGCTTGTGGGCCATGGAGAACCTACTCAAAGCCAACTAATTCGAAATAACAATTGCCCAAACTGGTCGTGTGAAGAAGTAGCCACCATGACTCATCTTCCTACACCAAATCAAACAAGAGATCACAAAAAGAGGAATGATGCTGAAACACTATAATTTTTGAGTGAAACTGACAGGGGAAGAACAGAAAGGCAGGATAAATTCCTAGGGCAGGTGATGTTACCTTAATGGTGATTGCATTCTTTTTGTCGGGCCGGTTCATCATGATCTTTGTGATGCCGTCTTCAGAGGTTACCACCAGGGTTTCATATTCTGGTTGTTTACTGTCTGCTTCAGGCTTCACTTGGCTGGAGTCAGAGGAAGAACTCAAACCTGACACCAGATCCACATAGCTCTGCCTCGCAGTTTCCTGAAGAGAAGATGACAAATAACTTCGGCCCATGGTCAATGAGTAAATATTTTGAGAACCTTATGCTGCTAAGAAACAGCACCTTGCGATGAAGCAAGAATAAAGGTTCTGATGCAACAGAACCCATCAAGATCTCATACCTTCCATCTGCAATGGCTTAATAATGAGAAGCACCCAACTTCCTTCAGGAGGATAGCAAGTTAAATAAAAGCAAAGTAGCAAGTAAATTTACCTTGGGCAGACTGCCAAGGGCATTCCATGCATCCCATTTGGCCTTACTGATCAAGTCGAACACACCTGGTTTGGGTGTATTACAAGGTCCTTCAGTGGCCTGTGAAAAGGAGAGAAGCAATTATCAGTCAAATGTCCACGCAAACTGGAGCATCAAATATTTAAGATCCATAGAATGCACAACTAGCATGAATGTGCCTTTCTTCCCCAAATACTTTCAGAAGATACATAAATTCATCTGACTTTCTCCTTGCCCTCCCTTTGATGCTATTGCTAAAAATACACAACAGAAAAAAAAGACTGGAGAGATAAGATATGCCATCAGCTATTAGTCCCTAAAATAGGTTATATTTTAAAATAGGTTATAAATGCCTGCATGTGAAAATAATGGAAGGTAAGGGTTCTGGGAAAGTACTTTTTTTAAAAATTCCAGTAGTCCATTAGTTTTATACTGATGACCACATTTTTTCACACCCATTCAGAGGCATAAAAAAAAAATACCACTCATTCAGTGGTGGATTTCTGCTAACTGAACAGGGCTGTACCTGGGGTAGCAAGGATGGGAGTTGTCAGAGCCACTCGCCCTTTGGAAGCTTAACTAAAGGCCATACAAGTAGGAAGCATAAAAACAACTAAATTTTACTTATTTGAGAGTAGGTGGACTGAGGGTTTTGAGATGAATAAAATATCCCATGCAACTTCTTTCCACTTAAATAGCCACATGTAAAAACTTTAAATTCCCATAATAAGCCGAAAGAGGAAAGAGGAGGCTTTGAAAAACAAAGGCAGGGGCACCTGGGTGGCTCAGTCCGTTGGGCGTCAGACTTCGGCTCAGGTCATGATCTCACATTTCATAGGTTCAAGCCTTGTGTCAGCTCTGTGCTGACAGCTCAGAGCCTGGAGCCAGCTTTGGATTCTGGGTCTCCCTCTCTCTCTGCCCCCACTAAATAACCAGAAGCCCCCACTCTAAATCACATCGTTTGAGTCTCCAGGCAAAGATACTCCTTACCAGGCATGTTATCTCGAGGGCTTAGGGATTAAATCCCAGAAGTCAAGGGCAAAGGCCACACTTCTTTCTGAACTAAGTCAAATTCTTCACTATACACAGTCATATGAAAGTAAGGGAGACTCAAACCAATCACAGGAAGAGGGAAATAGATCACACCCAGGAGTCCAGAAGAGCTGACTTCTCAAGTAGTCTTTAGACATCACAACTTAAAAACTGAACTTAAAATTTTTGTTATAGAAATTTTCAAACAGGGGCACCTGGGTGGCTTAGTCAGTTAGGCAGTGGACTCTTGGCTACGGCTCAGGTCATAAACTCAGGCTCGTGAGTTTGAGCCCCACATCACGCTCTGCACTCAACAATGTGGAGCCTGCTTCAGATCATTTGTCTCCCTCTCTCTACCCCCCACACCCACCCTGCACATACACATGTGCTCTTTCTCTCTCTCTCAAAATAAACAAACATTAAAAAAAATTTAGAGGTGCCTGGGTGGCTTAGTCAGTTAAGCATCCGACTTCAGCTCAGGTCATGATCTCACACTCTGTGAATGCCAGTTCGAACCCTGTGTCGGGCTCTGTGCTGACAGCTCAGAGCCCGGAGCCTGCTTCAGATTCTGTGCCTCCCTCTCTCTCTGACTCTTCCTTGCTAACACTCTGTCTCTGATTTTCTCTCTCAAATATAAGTAAACATTAAAAACATTTTTAAAATATTTTTAAAAATTAAAAAATATTAAAACATACACTAAAGTAGAATATTCTAAGAAATTCCCATTATTCAACCTAACTCGATAACTAGCATTTTTTGGCCATACTTGCTTTGTCCATCCTTTTCTTTCCTTTTTTTTTTTTTGGTGCCCATTTTAGTGACCCCTGAACGCATACTATTTCACTATATAGTTAGTCTGCACTCCTAAAAAACATTAGCATTTTCTTATATAACCATGATGCCCTTAAGTAATAACTCCCAGGTATCACCCAATACTCCATCCATATTCAAATTTCCTCAGTGGTCTCAAAAAAACCCATCTTTCCAGTTGATTTTTTTCTAATCAGCAGACAGATAAGGTCCACCTCTTTGGTTGTTATCTCTTGTATGTCTCTCTTACTCTGGAGTGATCCTGAGGGTTACATTTTGGCTTAACAGTACTGCAAAGAGTAATATACAAAAACTCTTAGGTATACACGCTGTAGAGGCAAGGCAGCAACCTTAAAAACATGAGAAATGCATTTTAGTAAAACATACAGCATATCTATTAGAGAAGCCATCTGCTCAAAATGTCTTTAAATGATAAAAGACCTCAGGCATTTTACCTGCTTATAAAGTGCATAGAGTTTTAGCTTCACTTCATTTCCTGGATCCTTCAACTGTTTCATCTGATTCATCGCATGCTCAAAGTCTTTCTGACTGGCTCTCATTGCTGTTTCACTCATGTGCAGCTGAAATGCTGGGACCTGCAGGGAACTATAAACAGGCACACTGGTTTCTAATGGTTTCCAACCTTTACACACCAAAATGCTAAGTTTTTCCTTAAACATGTTCCCTATATCTGCCCCTTTACAAGCTGGCTGCAAATGGTTAGTGGTATAGGGGCCATGGGCAGGCAGTTCCAAGATGGGCCACTTTGGCCTGAATAATATTTTGAGTTAAAAGCAAGCAAAATCCAGCAGATTCAGGAAAAGCTCTCCACCTCCCCACCAAGTGCCTAAGTTTACATTGGAAGGAAGAGCCTGTGGCAATAAGAGAGCCACAGAGATTCCTCTTTATCTAAGAAACTTTGCCTAACAGGACCACCTTTGTTTGGACAATATCTCCTCTCACCTTCCTGCTATGGGTCTTCTCCATTGTATCCTCATAACCCTTACCCCTTCTCCTTAGCTCAGAATGGAAGCTTCAAAATACAAGTCATATAAGCCTCATGCTGCCTATCTTTGGAAATTCATGTCAGTGTGTATTCCCCATATGTATGAAGCTAAATTTGGTTTTCTGTTAATCTGTCTCATGTCCATTTGATTCTTGGTCCAGCTAGAAGGATCTTGAAAGGCAAAACAAATTTCTTCTTCCCCAATCTTTCAAAATGATCCCTGAGAATCAATACAGAGACTAACTGTAGTCATCTTAAAGGAAAAGGAAGCTACAATACAGCACAGTATTTGTAGCAATTCAAATTAAATACTGGTAAGTACAGCCAGAACCTGAATGGCCACAAAATTTTTTGATGGGCAGGCAAGACGGAAGTAATTGGGAGACTGAGCTGGAACAGGTCAAGGGAACAGAATCTGGTCTTTGTGCCCTGTGGGCCAGAAACCTTGTCTGCCCTTATTGATTAACAATTAACTACTCTAGGGTCATTTCTTTCTGTTCGGCAAAATATGTGTCTCAACACATAGGTGGAAGGAGGCGAGATGAGCTAAAATACAAGAAATGTTCAAAAAGACAAATGAGCTGTTGCTGGCATCCAAAGAGCCATCCACTTCTTAGTGAGGTAGGGGAACTACCTAGGGGAAATCTAACTGCTGTGGATGCTAGTCTGTGAAACTGGGCTGAACAGACTTAACTAAATACTCACCCCAGGAAGTTTAAGGAGCCAGCTAGAAGCAGAGCAGAAACAGCAAGCACAACCAGGTAAGTTTTTAGCAGGCAGAGGGGAGGAGAAAATTTCAGTGCACAATAGTGAGCCCACACGCAAAAAATGGGTATTCACAATGATGACCCTGGCATATAAAGTTAAGGTTAATTGGATCAGAGATGATTAAAACATACAGTTGTTAGTGAAGCCCAAACCTCATTATCACTTCTGCAATATTACAACTTTCAAAGAGTATAAACCCTATGTTCAAACCCTGAAATATCAGTAATTCAATAAGTCTTCACTAATTTTTATATTAAATAACTGAGTTAGTTTCTTTCCAAAATGGAGAGGAAAACTGCATCCTACATCTGGCACCTGTCAAGTTCCAAACAGAAAATGAAAGGAAAACAAAATGTCCATTAGAAGGCCTAAATAAACGTGCAAGTGTTCAGTTATTTAAAGTACAGTGAATTGTTTAAAAATTCCTTACAGCTTAGCTTCGCGCGCGCGCGTGTTCTTTTTAAGATTTTAAGTGAACTCTCCACTCAAGATGGGGCTCAAATCCAAGACCAGTGATCAAGACTGACATGCTCTACCAACTGAAACAGCTGGGCGCCCCCCACCTTTTTGGTTTTTACAAGTTTGTGTATCCCACCATCAAACATAATAAGAAGTATTCTCCAAGAAGCGAACAGTTGATAAGGGTTTGCATTTCTACAGCGTTCAGCAGAAAAGCCAAGAGTGCTTTAGATGTTCGACCTCATTTTAGCGAACTACCTCTGCAACCCGGAAGCAACCAGGGTGGGAGCGTGTAGATCTCAGGCTTCGTGGGACGCACTCCGGTCGGGAATGTGGCCCGAGGCACACGCTGAGCGCGGACACGAGTCGCAGCTCAGGCCTCGAGGCTTCCATCCCGACCATTTAGGGCGCAGCTGAGGAAGACGGCGCACGTTTCAGGACACTTGATACCACTGTGTCCTTGGAAAACCATAAAAGC